ATTTTGGTCTCCTTTACATGTAATATTTAATTAATTATTGTTTCATATAAGTGAGAGAATAAAATATCTATATATCATGAGCAAATATTTAGCCTTGAGTTTTTTTTGTTTTTTTTTTTCTTTAAAATATTTTGTTTTTAAAATGTAAGTCAAGATACATCATGTACATATTGTAGCAAAGCAAATGAGTGAAGAGTATTTGTATTGTATGAGAGAAAGTCAGAGAGCGAGAGAATATAATCAAATAAAATTTATATGTAACCTTAAATACTACATGTATAATTATAAAAATCAACTTGTCAGTGATATATATTGTATACTGAATTATTTTTTATATGTAACCCCTTGATACCCTTGTCAGGTGGTAGTGTAGGGGTACATGTATATTAAATCCTGACTATTGAAAAACAAATAAAAGATAAAAAAACAAAGATTAAATTGCCAGTGTACTTTTTTTTATTGTCAACAATTTACCTTAAAATGCTAGCTTTTAGATTTCTTCCTACATGTTCTATTCTCAAAACAAGTAATTTTTCATGAATAAATTTTGCACAACTTGTAGCTTGAAAAAAACACAGGGACCTATATAATAAGAATAAGGAGATGTGGTATGATGCCAATGAGACAATTATCCACCAAAGTTCAAATAAAGTGGATGTAAGCAATTAGACAATCGTACAGCATTCAAGAACAAGAAAATCCTATACCGTATAGTTGGCTATTAAAGGCCCAAACATGAAGAAAAAGAACAATTCAATTAAGAAAACTAAAGTCTTAATTTATTACAAAACAATTTTAGAAAAGAATATGACAGACATGAACCAACGACCACCACTGATCTATAGGCTCCTGATGGGATAGGCACATAAAAGTAAATAAAAAACCAAGAAAGGGGAAGGTTTAGTAAGTCCTTGGATTATACTTGAAAGATATTATAAAGTGTTTTGTATTTTTCAGCCAAGAAAAAAGACCAAAAAATGCCTTTTACTTGAAACCCATACCAAAATAGACTGGACAAGTTTGGTTTGCTGCTATGCCCGTGGGTATAAATATGCTGACAGCAACAATTGCAAGGTTATGCAAAGAAGCTGGACTTAAGGGATTCAGGTCGAACCACTCGCTTCGTGCCACTGCTGCTACCAGGTTATATGAAGATGGTCAGGACGAACAGCTGATATCTGAAATAACAGGCCACAAAAGTAAGGCAGTTCGCGAATATAAAAGAACAAACACCGAAATGAAACGAAAGGCCAACCAGACGATCAACAGTAAGCCGTCAGAACAAAAGAAACCCCGTTCAGAACTACAAATAAACAGTGCACCGTCTACCTTTCAAGTGGATGGCAATAATATCAACATAACGCTTCAAGTAAACTTTGGGAATTCAAAGTAACGTGTGAAGGATTTTTATTTCAATGCTGTTTAAGACACAACTGAGTCGTGGATCAACTATCATGTGAAATAAATTTATGTACATGTACAAATATCTGATCTTTTTCATAAAGTGTCTTATGAATAAGAATATGTGGTATGAGTGCTTATGCCTTCATTGAATGTTGCTCGTGAACCGTTAAAATGTTATCAATCACATTTTTTACTACACACAATAAAATTTAGAACGGAAATGTGTCAAAGAGACAACAACCCGACCAAAGAGCAGAAAAAAAGCATTTTATTCAATTGAGTTTCCAACCAAACAAATTCTGGGTGCTTTTGTTATCAGTTCTACGGAAGCGTATTAGCGCCACAAAGGTTTGCGTTAACGCAAACATAAGAAAAAAACATAAAAAAATAAATTGTGTGGCGCTTATACGCTTCCGTACAATTCTGCTGTGTTCTGTATTGTCAACAACATTTGTTTATTGGTAAACATCAGTCATTTCTTCGCTTGTAATGTAATCTACTCACTCATCTCTTCAATTCAATGAACCATAGTGAGTAGTGTTACATTACAAATAGGTCAAAACTTCAGTGGATTCTTGAAAAATAATCAACTGTTTCTTGAATAGATGACGTCACAACAATGGTTTAAGTATAATCACTGGTAGCTTCAGTGATTATATACATGTATTATAACTAAAATTTTCAGGAATTATGCATAATCACTAGAAAAAAATGTCAGGGATTATACATAATAACTGGAATGAAGAGACAATGAATAAAAGTAAAATAATTTATTCTATAAAATCATATTTTTAAAAACATGTTTAGAAACATAAATATTAAAATATTAAGCACAATATTCTAATACAAATCATTTATTTTTACTAACTATCATTGTAAATTTGAATGACATCTACTGTGATGGTCTGGATGGGGGTCCCTCATTTCTTTCTTCTTTAATATTTAGATATTTTTTTCTATACCTGTACTCTATCTTTATTTTTTGACTATTTTTGTCTATTCTTTATTTTTTATCCCTTTATTTTGCACTGTTTGCCCATTATTCTCTTCTGTAACCCCATCCAGACCCTATACTATTGAACATTTGCTCTGCTTATCCTTTTTTTTGCAACAAAAAAAAACAACAGAAAAAACCCTTAGACTTCACATATTGGAACTGATTTTACTGCACTTTGAAGAACAATAAAGTGCTCATTAAAACATCTAAAAACCGGTTCTAAAAAAGTCAATCAGACATCTCAAATTGATTCCTTGTGTATTATCTGAGCATAATGTCATGTTTCGTAGTCAGGAATTCTCCTTTTCAGCCCTTTTATGAAAGATGGCCATTATGTTTTTTGAGGGGACCTCCCTTTTCACGATCAACATACGGAATCGTATCACAGCCTCCTCCAAAATTGTGCTCAATCTGTCGAGCATGTGTTCTGTTTGTGTTTCTGGACGTTTAGCTGCATTTCTTTGCTTAGTTTGAATTCCTTATTTGTTAACTTTCATCCCCTTTGTTTTACAGCAATTACATGATCTGTGCATTTATTTTGTATTATTAATTTCAATTTAATATACTTATTTGTTTATGAGTTAATGTGGTTTAACAAAGTTAAATAGAATATCACCAAAAAAACTGTTCACTTTAATAAGACTTGATAAATGGACAGGGAATGGAAACTGTCCACTTAAACCATAAAGAGGTTATACATATGATTTATTTGTCTGTATTTGATTTATTTGTACCAAACAGAGAATCTTTGTATTATTGATAATCCCTGAAAACATTCCAGGGAATTTGTAAAATAATCTTAAAATTTTCAATGATTATGTACCTTAAATCACTGGTCATTTTCAGGGATTATACATGTATATAATAAATAATGATTTTAGTGATTATGCAAAATCCCTGAAAAATCAGGGATTCTACATAATCCCTGATTATGAAAAATTCACTGTAACATATATAAAAATATTAAGAAGATGTGGTATGATTGCCAATGAGACAACTCTCCACCAGAGACTAAATGACATAGAAGTTTACAACTAACTATGTATATATATATATATATACATGTACTAGAATACAACCGAGACATCATGGGTGCATGAATATAATAATCAGTTTTAATGCCAGGATTTCTAGTATTCGTTTTGTCATCATATTAAGTCACACCGTGAATTAGGTTGGCAGTTTTCTTTACTTTAAATAGCTTTCTGTCTGAACCTGTCCTTGTTTTCTACTTGGTATCTTACTATCAGACTTATACAATAAGCAGCTGGATGGATGTAGGAGTGGAACAGAAATCGCTTATCCTTCTGGAGAACCCAATTTTTTCTTGTTTTATTGGGTTTTTTTTATCATTTGTTAATTATAACCCCTTAGTTTCTAAAGAAACTGGAGATATAATCATGTGTATGTCTGTCCATAATTAATTCATAATTTTATTGTATATAGATATCTTCAGCAATAGCTGGGTTATATAGTAACAACTATGCTTGTGAAAAAGTAAACCTACAATAAGAAGTAATGGTGTGTGCTGATGGAGGAAGCTGAAGTAGTGTTGTAATATGTACATTCCTGAAATTATATTTGTTCATGTGTAACTGATAGCTATAGGGTGGAGGCTTTTTATTTTGCATTTTAAATATAGATTCATTTATTGTGTGTTATGCCCTTTACTGTTTAAAATAAAATACAACCAGCTCAGGGTTCTCACTAAGGGTTTCTGAAGGCCAGTCCAGGGACTCGTCTTTTTGGCCATGTCCAGCAGTGTGAAGATAAAATTTAATCGCTATATAATTTATTATTTCAGTCTCCACGACAAAATAGAGCAAGGAAATGTATTATGACATTAAATTTAAATTATGTTTAAACTTTTTTTTTTATAAAATTTTGATATATGTGCTCAGTTGATACAACATTTTACAATCATGAGGCTGCTTTGGTCTCACCCATTTTGAAAATGATGATAAAAACAATTCTGTGTCATTGTCTGTGATTATGTAATAAATTTTATCAGTTGATAGTATTTTGCCACCTTTTTGACATAATGAAATTTATGATAATTATTCAATAAAAACAATAAAGTTTTTTTTTAAATTTATCAGAAATAACAGTTTGCTTTCTTGGGGACATGCTAATGTGTAATATATATGTATTCTGGGAAAATTCTGTATTCATTTTAGTGTTCTTTATAAATTGTTTAACAGAATTTCATAAAACAATCTTTCTATGCTACAGTCATTCCTCTTTCATGAAATAAAATATCTGTATTGTGTCTAAATTGGTATCTTGCAGTGCAACATTCAAAACTTCAGATCAATGGCCTTGATCATTTTATCAGACCAAAAATTCATGCTTTTAATTAAAAACAGATTTGACTACACTTGTACAAAATGTAGACAATAACTTTCTGAAATAGATTAATGTCATTGTAACAAGTTTAAATGACAGATTAACATTGTGTATTTGCTTACTTTTGTCATGGACGGATTTAATTTTATGGTTCCTTGTATTATATGAACAAGCACATGTATTTGTTTACATTTGTTACTAAATATATCAACCAATTAGATAGCATTAACAGCAGGCGTCGCCTCTTCATTTTAAAGGGACAAAAGATATCTTCATGTAAATATCATTGATTTACATTCATGTGTCAAAATAAACCCACCGGTGATGAAGCATTGATTAGGGCCAGGGGAATTATATTTTATTTCGATCTGTTACATAATGAGAAGCAGTAAACATGGGTAAGTAAACATATGCTACCCTTGAATATTGGAATGCATCCAAAATTGCCCTCTTAAAGCTCTTTACTTGACAGTTAAACTGCTAAACAGGGTAAACCGCATAAGTAAAAAAAAAATACAAATTGTATGGGATAGTATACTATTTTGAGTTGTATTCCATGCATGAATGAACACAAACACATGACATTGTGTGCTCTCTTTAAACAATATTATAGATGCAGAAGAATTTATTCCAGACTGGACATAGTCAGGAGCCTGTTGTTCAGTGGTTGTCGTTTGTTGGTGAGGTTCATAGGTGTTTCTCGCTTTTTATATAGATTAAACCATTGGTTTTCCTGTTTGAATTGTTTTACACAAGTCATTTTGGGATCCTTTATAGCTTGCTGTTCGGTGTGAGCCAAGACTCCGTGTTGAAGGCCGTACTTTGACCTATAACTTTTTATACATTGTGACTTGGATGGAGAGTTGTCTCATTGGCACTCATACCATATCTTCCTATTTATAATAACCAGTGCGTTTTACTCCAGTAATTTGATTAATATACAAGACATTTGTAACACCCTCCTGAGGCCTCCTCTCTTCTGACCTTTTTTGATTTAGGGGTTTAATTATTCACTGATTTTGTTAGCTGTATTTTATTTCTTGTATAGGGCTGTTTCCCTTTAATCAAGTTTGCCATTAAAAAAAAATAGCAATCATACCACATCAGTCAATTTTATGCTAAAGTTTGGGTGTAATTAAGATATTGAAAAAAAAACATGCAAACCATAAATTGTGTATGGTCTACAATGTTTCCTAGCAATTTTCTTTAACACTCCACTTAAAACCCATATCCAAAACTTATTTTATGTAAGGACAAGGTGTGCTATTCATAGTATTTCTATTAGGTCAAAGCTCACTCGAGCTTGTGTTGTACAGTATTTATATATGCCGAATCAAAATAAAATTTTCTTATCTTATCTTAGTATTAGACATGTTAGATGTTGAGTCATTTTTAGACATTAAAATTAATTTTCTATTTTCACTATTCATGTCTACCCTCCACCACCTTAAAAAAAAAGCAAAGGGAACTTTTTATAAACAGTTAAAAACAAACCACAGAAGTATTAGTAGTCTTTCAAATTTGATCACAATGTGTTGATTCTTATACAAATGTACATAGACATGATAGACAATCATGTATCAGTGTATGGTATAAACACTGTTACATTTATCTTTTATTCAATGAGGTACATGTAGGCTATACATTTGTAAACCTCTATTTGTCTTTTCTGATTTGATTGTTTTGGTTGATTGCTGTCTCATTGACATAAATTTACAATTTTGCCTTTCTGTTTTATAAAATATTTATTTGTAAAAGCAAAACATGATAAAGTATAATTTTTTCTTTTGTTGGTACATGTATAAGAATTTAGACCATATTTTACATAAAGATATGTGTTGTATTTCATAAACTTTGAATTGTTTCTTTTGATCTATTGTTTCAATGATGTTTTTCTTCAACAACTAGTAGTACTTGCACAAGTAGGAGGCTCAGTATGAGGATTATGAAAATTCACTTCAATGCAATATAATGGAAAAAAAACAGTACCGGTAGTTAAATATAAGTAGTTAAATTTAGGTTGTTATTTTACGATATAAGCATCAGTTAGAAAATGCAGCCAGGGGCTTTGTAATCTTATTCAGAAACCTTCACAGTTAAAAGGATAAATATTAATAATAGTACATTAATCATATTCTTGTGGAATTGAATAATTCACTTTGTGTGAGGTAATTTGATATTTTTGTACTGAAACTCTTATGATTATTTGATATTATGTTGGTTTGCTGTTATCGTTTTGTCATTACATTTTTTATGGTAATGATCTTATGTTTGATTTATCATTTTTTCAAGTTCTAAAAGGAAATTAAAATTGTTCCTTGATTTACAGGTTTGCAAAGTGGTGTGAAATTTTGCCATATCCTACAGTTATATTCAGAAGTATAAATGTTATAAGTGAAATTCACATTTACATTAATTACATTTCAGTGAGTTTAAAATGAACTTTGTTATTCAAAGGAAAATAAGAGATTTTATTAATATGTTTATTGTTACAGATCACTGATTTTATATGACTTATCAAGACAAGGCAAACTAAAGTAAAAAAATTAATATGTGTGACCTTTTTTTTCTAAGAACAGAATTATGATTTATTTGATTCATTAATGTCATTATTTCAATTGTGTTTGTTTAAAAATTATAAGAATTTGCAGTTTAAGTGGGCGGCTAGGAGTCAGATATATACGTTTTTTTCACCAAGTCAATTAAAGTTGAAAAGGCTGTATAAATGTAATGTGTTTACATAAAAACAACTAAATTTTGAAAACTGTTGATCAATCTGACACTTACATATACTTCAGTAGTGCTAATGTTAGCTTACCCCTTGCTTTTAGGGCTTGTTTTTACTTACACAGTGAGTCAATGTCGTAAGATTTTTAGGTTAAATAGCAAGTTTTGGCCTTTGCTAACATAGACTGACCTAAGATTGATTTTATTTCTGTTCCACCATTTTATTATATTCCCTATTTTTATTTCTTACTCTTGGTTATGTTAGTAAAATCCCAAAATACTCAAGTGTTTAAAAATAATCTGAAAAGACAAAACAATATTGTTTAAACTTTTAATGAAATAATCAGAATGCCTAAATGCTGGTTCAAAGTACATGTGTACACTGTAGGAATCACTTTCTGGCTTGTATCTGATAATCTTGTCATCTTGTCATGGATTTACAATGTTGTCACTTTTACGAATGTGCAGTTATTTGACCAGGGTTGCAGTAATTGTAGATACGCTAATAGTATGGTGAATGTCAGGAAAGCAGGGAAATAGGATACAGTAGACTCCGGCAAATCAGATACTAATTAAAATGTCAACAAAATATCCAATTTCCCTATATATATAAATTTGAATATAAATTTGAATATATATACTACATATCTTTTTTTCAACCTAGAGCCTTCAAACTTTCTGAAAAGTTTGTGTGTACATTATAGATATGCATCTTACTTTACACATTTCAATGAGAATTTTTGAAAATTTTCCTGAGGTTTAAACAACGTCAGTTTCAGAAGTGTTCTACATGTAGATGTAGGGTATCCATTTTTGACAATTTTGTATGTTTAATCTTAAATCTCTTTAGAGATTTTAGCTTTGCTTATTTATTGAAATCAGTAGATCTGAGTTTAACCGTTCCATTATAATACATACTAGCATTCAAATGAATGCTCCCTTACACATGGCAAATAAAATTGTCATTACCATTCATTTTCCTTTCAAATTACAAACCAATAGTATTATAACCTTTCCTTTGAGTGTTTGGCCCATTTTTCTAAAGACTTTTTTAATATTAATCCATTTTCTGTTGGTATATGAAAAACCTTGAAGGTGTAATGGACAAAATTTTAAAATCTATTCTAAATTATTGCCCTTTGACCATTTTTTTTTCTGGTAATAAGGGAGACCCAAATAAGAATTTGTATACATAATGCTATACAAGTACAAAAATCTTATGTTTTTCCTACAGAAGAATGGCGGATTAAATGGACTAGTGAATTTCAAATTTTAAAGGATGGAGGTCTTAAATGTGCATTTACATGTACCCTAAAGGGAAAATACTAGTCTTGTATAATTGTCTTGGTTTCATGTGAAACACATTTACAGTAAAAATGCAAAGAGAGTGTTTATCTTAAGATGTCACTGATACCAATATTCTCTTTAAATTTCAGTTTATCAAGTAAAGAAGACAGAACACCACCTTACAGTTATAACAGAAGTATACATTCCAAAGATACAGATTTCCTACAATATGATTATTTTGATTTGTAAGTAAACTTGCAGCATCTTATTGCTTACAGTTGGAAGTTAAAAATTCATGCAAAAGAGAGGCGAAAGATATCAAAGGGACATTTAAACTCATAAGTCGAAAATAAACCGTCAATGACATGGCGAAAAAAGAAAAAGACAACAGCACACAAAACATACAACATAGAAAACTAAAGACTGTGCAACACACACCCCTCCAAAAACTTGGGGTGATCTCAGGTGCTCCGGAGGGTAAGCAGATCCAGCTCCACTTGTGGCACCTGTTATGTTGCTCATGTAAGTACAAACTCTGTGATAAGGCTAATTCAGTAGGTCCCATTTGGGGAAAAGGGGATGGGATTGTAGTTACGACAACTGCAACATATCCGTCGGCATCTGTGAAACAGATATTCCATAATGGTCAACCAACTGGTGATGGTGTCCGTAAAGTTTACGAGGGAGGATTTCAAATTCACCACTTGGAACTCTTGATTTAATAGCTATCTTTTGAGCACCAACCTTCGATCAAGGTAATCATGATAGGAATTACAAGCCCTGGAATATCGTATCGACTGGGAAATATGTACACATATGCAGGTGCTGCTGGAATGTTGCTACATAGAAATGGAAAGTTCACAATTGGGAAGCTGAAATCATCTCTCTTGTCTTAAAGTTTTGTTTTCAATCGTCTCTCATTGGTAATTTCTAGATGTAAGATATGAGGCAGACTGAACTGTATCTGTTGTATCTTTTATCTCAAGTTTGAATTTTGATGGGATAGATGCGTTCAACATAGTCACCAAGTTTTGAATTATTTTAGCGATAGGACATCATCTATATAATGGAAAGTGAAGTTACAGGATAATGCTAACTTTTTTTCTTTCTTCCTAAGAAGCCTCATGAATTAAGGATCAAGTCAGGAAGAAGGGGAGCACAGTTGGTTCCCATGGGAATGCTGATTGTTTGTTGAAAAACAGGTCATCCAAACCTAAACAAATAGGCTGTCAATGAAGAAATCAAGCATCTCGATAATGTCTATTTCAGAGAATTTTTGTTTGAATCAGAGTAATTTTTACAAAGTATGATTTATCCCTCCTTAAGACAAGATACTTGTATCTACATTGACCATTCTTTTTTATTAAACAAAGCAGGACCAAGTCTTTTAATTTGTCTTTTAGTTTGGAATGAGGGACACTAGTGTAAAGTGTTGAAAAGTCAAATATTTTAATACTATTGCATGATGAAAGAGTCTTAGATTGAATGTACTCCAGCAGATCTTTGGAATTTTTTAGTATCCACATCTGATTCACACCACCTCTAGAATAGGTAGTTTTACAATAAATTTGCAGCCCAGCTTTGATTGCATGATAAAACTGATGTTAATAAGGATTGAATCTATTATCATTGAAAATTGTTTTAATTAGAGGCTTATTTACTCCAAACTCATATTTGCCACATTAAAAAAGTATTATGTTATTAAATGATACTTTATTGTGCTTGTAAATTTTATCCATTGGTTTCTGTAGATTAAAGTAATTTTGGTGTATTGACATTAGAGAATCCATTATGTTGTAATTTTACATTTATATATAAAACAATATGGAGGCAGCAAATGGAACTTATTGAAATTATGTAAAAAAGAATGAAAAAGTTACTTCTCTGCATCTTCTTTAGTGTATAGTCAAGTTAGGTAACTATAGTTGGGTATATGGAGTCAATAGTAATATGATTTCCTTTTTGCACCTAGAATTTGGTGATAAATCAAAAATAATCTGATAATTTTTAAAAACTTATATATTTTACACTGTTTAAGAATAAGAATAAAGATAATCTGATAATTATTAAAAACTAATTTACTTTACACTATTTAATATGAATAAGACTAGAAATTATCTGATAATTTTTACAAAAGAGAATTTAATTAGCACTAGTTAGTCAAGAATTGAACATCTTTGACCCCCAAGGTTACCCAGTCATATTGATTGTACATCTTTGACCCCCAATGATACCCAGTCATATCAATATGCTTTCCTCATTTACCTTCATTATTTGTTTTCCCATTTACATATTCCATTATATAAACATGTATTATACATGTACCCTCTCTCACTGAGTGGATGGTATATTGCAATCACCTTGTCTGTCCGTCCTTAATATTGTTGCATATTACTCTGCTTCTTGTGAAATGATTTAATATTTAATCTGGATCTATATAGTTGGCATTGTTAGCAATTTTCAGATCCTCTGGGCAGTCACTTCTACCATCTGAGTATGAAATTATTTTGTAACATATCACATGTATTACTCAGCATCTGTATCATGTAGTGATTTGATATTTAAAACTTTAAGATGATTACTTGTACCATGGAAGGGATCTGCCAGGCAATTGCTTTTTACTTGATAATACATGTACTTAAAATTTTTGGTCAATATCTCATAACAAGTGGGAGTAATATACTTTGCATTTTATACAAACTTAGTCAGCAAGATTCTAAGGTGAATTATTTTATGGGTCCACTGGACCAGAATTGAACATAATCCTGTGTTGAAAGTTTGTTTCTTTCTTTTACCTGTAAACATTTAGTTCGTATTAAACAATGAAGATTCAAATAAAAAAAAAATTAATTCATACCTAGCAATAAAGGTCCCATAAGTACTTTTCTATCATATTGAAAGCATCTAAAATGATATTACACAATGAAATGCAAAATCCATAACTTTGTCAATTCAACCATATAAACCCATTTGCACACTGATGAGAAAGTCTAGGCATTAATGTCATAAGATAAATTAATTCACCCATAACCATATGGAAATGCTTTCTGATTTTATGCTTGTACATAATCATTGGCTGTTTACAGTTTATAGGATACCAGAAGGGCGGTAAACACATTCTCTGCAGGGGTCAATTGAAATGCAAGCGTATGTAAAAGTCACTTTTTCTATATAGGTTATTTACACCTGGATTCGCATCTCGAGATTTTCATACACACAATATGAACATTCAGTTAGTTTGATGTAGATGAAGGTTGACTGATATACAGGTATGCAATGCAAAGTGATGATTATATAATTACTTTCTATTTTTAGCATGAAGCCTACAGACTATACATATTCTAGAAGGTAGGATGATTTTAATGTCTTTCACAAGTACATTGATTGTAACACCTGAGAAAAACATGTTTACTTCTTATTCCAAGCATGCTGTGTAAGATAAATTTGATTTATATTTCAGAATTTTTCAGGTTTTGGATTTTAAAATAAAGGTGTTCTGATTTTAAAAACTGATTTTATAAAAGATAAAGCTTTAAAAATATGGTGAACAATCACATCAAGTGTTTTTGAAATGTCAAGATTAATTTTCACAGCATGCATGTGATAATTTTACAGATTTTATATTGCTTACGATTTAAAGATAAACAATGAATTGAAGATATTAAACATAACCCAAAAAGTTGTTTCTGGTATCAAAAATTGTTACTTTTAAATAGAAAGATGTGGGGGGAAAATCAATTTTTATCACCTACTCAAAATAACCTTGACCTAAAATGTGTCATTCACATCAACTCTTTGATGTATAAAAAATAGAAAGTTTGAAAGGAAGTTACATCACTGTTGTAATAAACGCATGTTTAAAAGTTAGCATTACTTTAATACAGATGAGGAGACTGAATTAAAGGCAGGTATAGTATTGATTCTAATACATGATCTATGGATTACTACATTTAATCCATCTGTCTATTACTTGAGCTATTTGAGAATGAGATTAAATTTAAAGTTGAGCATGAGTTTTTTTAACTGTTGATTGATCTTTCTTTAACTTTACCCTTTGAATTAGTAACAATATATGTGTATTATATGATCTGTCTGGAATGTTTAACGGGCCTTTTGTTACTTCATTATGAATTGAACTATAGCGTTTATCTCATTCATTCTTTATTGACACAAGTTTTTAACTTCTTTATGAATGAGTTATTTAAATCTCTGTTTACACTATACAGGTATGAGTATTCTTAAATCTTTGTTATGAATGGCACATCATGTTTTTGATTGATGAGACCAATATGTTATACATGTATATAAATTGACATGCTTGCCAACTACTGAAGGAAATCTGCCAGGTTTTTTGTCTTGTTAGATTATTTATATCATATAAAAATGTATTTACTCAAGGATTTCTATAATTTCATCCTAGTATATATGTTTAATCTGCTGTCATTTCTTCTTCTGGTTAGAATTTTAAGTAGGGTTCAGAAAATGCTTACTGACACTGGATACTGGAGGTTAAAGGTGGACTGTCCAGTACTTAGAAAAGAAGTCTTCCTTTACCCACCTAATTGTTTATATACATGTCCCAAGTAAATTAAGTTAATAATGACATTTTCTTGTCCAAAATGGCTTATAGTATAGTGATGTCAGGCAGGAGGGCTGTGAAAATTAGGTACTTAATTTGTGAAATCAACTCCTCCAGTTTTCAACCCAGATCCCTGAAACTTAACAGGAAGTTTGCACATTTTGAAGTTGTGCACCCTCAGTGTGCACCTGCTACTATGGAATTGTTTAAGGAATTTTATCTCATTTTTCCAGACTTGGGAAATTAGTCATTTATCAGCAAAATATAGTCACAAATATTGTAACCCCACCATTTGAAATTGACTTATTTGTATGCCCCTTCTGTAGTGATAGGGCATTAAGGTTTACCCTTTTCTTTCCGTAGACCGTACATACATCCTGAAATTGGTTTCCATTCTCTAACTTTAGTTTGCCTCAACCAAATTTAATGAAACTTATACACAATGCTTATTACCACAAAACTCAGATCAAGATTAAAATTGTTATTCTCCTTTATATATTTTTGTACTTAAAGTTTAGACAGCACTCAGAATAAACTATAAACTGTTCTTAACATGAACTGAAACATTTTGTAGTAATGTCCATTAAAACTCTATAATATTTAGATAACAATTGCTGTTGTCAAATTCTATCCAACATTTCTATGTTTGATTGGTATAAATATTTTTATTTAGTAGTAATAGGATTTTATAAATGAAAATAAACACTAGGTTGTTTCCTGAGAGATTTTACATACTAATGTAAAATGTTGGATTCACTCTCCCTGCAGCTTGCAATAACTTTTCAAACTACATAGTCTAACAAACACAGGTATATATTTAAGACAAATTTAAATTTGTATTTAGGATTGTAGCTATATCTAGGTAATAATTGAAGCATGTAATATCACCTTGGGACATTTGGGATTCTCTGTTTTCAGCTTTCACATGTGACAGGTAAAAACTTAACATTTTAAATTAACATATTTAGTGGACGTTAGTGGACACTTAGGACCATAGATTAGAGGATACAAAATCTAAATCATTTCATTTTTACAGCGTCATGTCATTGTATTACCTAATGGGAAAGCTTGAGCTCAACCTATGCAAAATAAGCTTGATCTTCAAATGATACTTGAATGAATTTAAATTTGTTATGTGTATTTGAAGTACAAATTGTTTAAAAAGATCAAAGCTATCTTTAATGGGTTATTAAATTTCAATAGTACATGTAAGAAGCTTAAAAATTAAACTCTCCATGAGAATTTTTTCACATTTCATGGTATTTGGAGGTCATGCCCTGAAAAAAAATGTATTACCTGTGACATTATTTCTTTTGATTAAGATTTGATTTCAATTAATGGAAAAGTACTTAATGGAGGAAGTGTGATATAAACACAACAGCAGCAGAAACCTCAAAGACAGTCTACGAGTCAACAAATGGTCTTTATGTGCTTTTATTCAGATACACATCTAGATATTTTATGAATAAACATTTGATGATAATAAGTACTTTATTAAATTGAACTTATCACAAGTTGTATTGTTAAAGTAAAGTGGGGGGTTGCCAGGATAGCAATTAACATAAAAAATAAATAATCAAATAATTCAAAGGAAGAGTTCTTTTATTGCTGTTTTGAAGAGAGAGATATATAATGACAAGGGAGTCCATATATCGGAAGGAATAATTTTTTAATGCTGTTTTTATGTCCCCTGCTTTCTAACAGGGAGGTGTATGGTGGAAGTCGTTACATTGCAGGAATAGTTTTTTATTGCTGTTTTAATACCCCATGCCATCAAAAGAGGGAGGTATAGTGATGGGGAGTCCATCCGTCTTTGAGTTCATTTGTTTTTCGCCTGTTAGTTCTGTTTGTCTATCCATCCGTTTGTTTGTCTCCCCTCCAACTTTTATATCTGTAACTCCTCCTGCCAACCCCTTATTAGAAGTTTTTGAATCTTTTTTAAAATCTGAACCATATAATGTCATTAAGCACCTTCTATTTTTTTTATCCACATTATTTTTGGAGTTTCCCTAAGCAAATCAGAGTCTAGTGGGGGTAGGAGGTCCAAGGTGTTATAAGTTTGAGAGATTTGCTCACAATAAATGTATCTCTAGTTCATCTAAAAGGTTGCTAGAAGTGCTTTAACAATGAACTAAAGACTTTCATGCCTTAAAACAAAAACAGTTCTTTACTTATGTGGTACTTTTGCATATTCCTTGATAACAGCTTCATGTCTTTGAAGGAACATGATGAGATGTACTAAAAAATAAACAAGATGGGCATAGTAAATTTTACTGGTACTTAAGAAAAGGCTAATAGTATATATATAAGATTGTTAATATTTACATAAATCTATTGAACATTTACATAAACACTGAACTATTAAAACTCTTAAATGTATACTTTCTCATTTGGTTTTCTGCCAGATGTTATATTATAAACAATTGTGTAACATGTATGTGTGTAACATGTATGTGTGTAAGTACACATTTTTGGAATTTCCTGAGGGAGTAAACCAATACTGACATATCAAACCCCTAATTGTTTTATCTTCTTAATGACCACTTAATCCAGTATCACTCCCTGATATAATGGGAACAGACAAACTTTTATTATGTTCACAATCATTTTGAAAGGGAGTTACAGTATAAATGGTAGTCTAAATCTTGGGAACACTATGTAGAATGTTGAAATCCAACTATAAGAATTAAGATAAGATAAGAATTGTATTAATCTAATCAAGAACCCATAAAGGGCATCATTTACAACAATATTAAGCACAATATGATTGGAAAAAAGAAAAACTAGATCCTAATATAATACTATCATGTTATGGACAGGATCAGAGCCTAACACATCATGTGTCTTACATAACTATTACAATAATTTCATAATAATTAAATATTATTTTATATATTTTGTATCCACCTGGATCTTATTTCTAAACACTTAATAATATAATTGCCTAGGCACATAAGAGTTGGTAAATGCTCATTTGTGAACAGCCAGAAATATTTTTAATCCTTGGGTAATTCTTTAAAATTAGTACAAAAACTGTTTACTTTATCCCATAATAATTTTCTCTGTTCGTTATATAAAGGACAACTTACTGTAAAATGGGTCTCATCTTCAATAGAATTTGATCCATGTGATAGGCAGTGATGACATAGACGCTGAGTTCTCTCTATGTATTTTTTACTATATCTATCTCTCTCAATTTTAAGATCATGTGCACTTATTCTCATTTTACATATAGCTCTTCTTATATTAAAATCTTTAATTGATAAATAAGCCTCCTTTACGAAGTCAGTCTTGAGGTTGAAATAATTTTCTAATTTACTATTACCTTGTGATAAGGTATCAGATCTTTTGACCACCCAAAATGTTTTAAAACTGTATAAAAAAATGTAGCACACAATCGATTTAATAAACAGTGTGTACATCTATATGTTTTCCATATATAGTTAAACAGTAAATAGTTATCCATCCATATCAAATTTATTTTATAAATAAAGTTTTTCTAGTTAAGCATACAAAGTAGGTTTTTATCATATCATATATGCATGGCCATGAAGACAACTTTGTTTTTTGATTGATTAAAAGTTAAAAAATATTAAATGACATATACATGTATACATGTATAATTAAATGAGAAGTGTACATGTCTGCATTTTAAACTTCAACTATTATCTGCTTAAGAAACACTTAACAAATTCAGTGCAGTTTTTAAAGATTCATTTTTATAACAAAAGATAAAATTACATGTACAGTCTGTTTTTTACAGTTCAGAGGACCCTTTGTATAAAAAAGTTATTTGTAATCAACAGGTGGTTACACTTTATTAAATGTTTGTAGAAATACGTATAGATTTGGCCAAATTATACAATAAATGCTTCATTATGTAGAGACACTTTTGCTTACACATATTAAGAAGTTTGAACACTTAACCATCTTCAAAAACAACAAAGTACCAATTTTATCAACTGCAGTTAGATTAAGTTGGCTCTATTTACATTATTGCTGTATATATTGGAAGGAGCAATTTCTTTTGTAGCCCTAGCTATAGACGTAAGGTTAGCAGTGAGCATTACCAGATGCCTAACATGAAAAGGAGACAGTTAAAAGGGGCGTATGAAAAGATGGATGACTATAGTTCAGATGAAGAAGAGGAAGGAGAGGAGGAACTATCATATTTTACAGACGAGGAAATTATTAATACCAGAACAAGTAAGTTGTTTTCCATAAGAAATTTTTTTTTTATTTTAAACTAGCCCATCTCATTGGGTCATTTGAGTGGCTGTGGATTCCTTTATTTTCGTGGGTATCAATTTTTGTGATTGTATGTCGAACATTGAAATTTGTGGTTGTCCTATACCCACGAAATCTATGAAAATTGATATCCCTTGAATAATAGGGATTCCACTGTATTGATATTACATGAACTAGGAATTATTTGCATCTTTTCCTAGATACCCTTTAAAAAGAATTTAAAGAATGATCAATTACAAACTTAGAATATTGAATGGACACAAAATGTCCCAAGTCAGGAGCCTCTGGCCTTTGTTAGTCTTGTATAATTTTTTGTTTTAGTTCATTTATATGTTTTGAAGTTTATTATGACGTCCATTATCACTGAACTAGTACACATTTTTGTTTAGGGGCCAGCTGAAGCATGCCTCCAGGTGCGGGATTTTCTCGCTGTGTTGAAGACCCATTGGTGGCCTTTGGCTGTTTTCTGCTCTTTGGTCGGGTTGTTGTCTCTTTGACACATTCCCCATTTCCATTCTCAATTTTATTGGAAATATATTCATTGATATAAGTTTCTTTTCTCATTTCAGTATTAGAAAATGGAATGTTGCTAAGATCTGGACACAATTTAAAAAATAAGAAGACATTAATAGAAAAAATGAAATTACGGAGATCATTGATGTCAGGGAATGACTATGAGGCTTTAACCTCAAGTAGTCGGAGGTCACAGACTTTGAACAGAACTAATATTAATACTAGTACTGATGTTAGGTCTAGAAATAGAAGATCACTTAACACTGCAAATGAGTACAATTCATATATGGGGGGATCAACATCTAACAGTCAAGGGACAACTATGGAGTTAAATAGTAAAGGTGGTAGAGGTCATACAAACCATTCCACAGATATTACAACTACGAGAAAAACCTTGATAGAAGAGTTTGAAAATGAAGATAATTTAGAAAAAGGAATGAAAGAAACACAGTCAACAAAGAAAAGGAAGAAAAAGGCAGCCGTTATCAACCATATGTATGGTAGGTTTGTTCAAAAGCAGGGACTATATAGAATTTTGGTCACCGGAACTTTATTGTATCCACTCCCAAACAGACTCAACCTGTCAGTTTACCTTGTTAGAATCTCCAAATTAATAGATTTGAATGAAACTGAACAAAGGCATTATGGGACTTTATCTTGAAAGTATATCCATTAATCCAAACATGATGCAATATGTTAATAACAATTTGTATTTATTGATTTTTTATGGAATTTATAAGCTGATATACAGACTGAAAGCTCCTTTCGGATTTTGACAAATGTTTTAATTGTTGCTTTGGAGTTATAGAACTTTAATTATAAAAAGTGTGAGGCAATATTATATTTTTGAATAATAACTTTTACACCAAGTGACATAAATAGCACAAAATATAAATGAACTTTCTTTTTAACTTGATAATTTCTGATTTGTTGTTCTGGCCTTATTAAAAGATGTAATGTAATTTAACAGATGTACAAGGTAGCCATAATTAGCAGTATTTATTGATTAATTATAAAAATATTACTTAATTCAACCATTTAACATCCTTTCCTTAATTTCTACCTTTTAAAAGTTTACAGTTAATTCAAAACAGGAAAATATGCTTGTGATACTTATTAGAATAGGGAAGTTAAATGTGGGATACATGTCATAATCAGTCAGTTATAAACAATGGATATTGTGCAATAATGTAGGATGCTCTACTTTCCATTTCTAAAGAAATACTGTTGTATAAAAAAATTAAAAGATTTTTTTATATCAATTAGTTATGGTAGTTGACATTTGCCTATTGAATATGATAGTCAGTTGAAGACACTCTTGAGATAATACAGATAAGTTCAGCTGAAAATTTAAATCTCCTTTGACATTGAACTGTAGATTAAATTCAGACCGAGATAATTTTAAATTATTTTTAAATTATGTATTTGTTTTCAGGTTTGGATTCAGAAGAATTGTCAGGTCAGTTGTGTTTGTATATAATATGACGAACAAGCAAACATAAGCAAAATTCTAGAATGAAGAAATAATGAGATTTTGAATAGATTTACTTGTGTCGTATACAGACTAATCATCACAAATGAAGCTCACAGGATCTTTGATATTGAACTGAGAACACATAGTACATAAAGCTCAAGAAGGGCACACTAATGACTATATTCAGAAGAACTTTTTACATCTCATTCATAATCACAATTTTTCTTTAGATAAAGATTTGTACAAAAGATATAATTTGATGGCTAAATAGAAATGTAAAACAAGCAATAGGTAATCTGTTTACTTTTCAATATTGTATATTTCTTACAGAATCTGAATGGTCATTGATGAATTCATCCTCTAGAGAGAACAACAGTAAATACTTTGTTAAAGGTCAAAGTTCATCTGTCAGTGAAACCAGCGTTACCTCAACTGTAGTCACAACCATTATAGGTATCTTTCATTTTCATAATCTTTCAAATAGTATTGCTATTATAATTTGGGCTATTCCATTAAAATGTATGTGGGAGGGTAGGAAGGGACTTTCAAAATATCCCTACAACCAAGAACCATTTTTTAGATAATTTTGCATAATGGTAATAGACGCATACTGAAAAAAGACCCATGACCCACATTCAATAATTAAACTTCCCTTCCTACCCTCCCACATACATTTTAATGGAATAGCCCATATATTTTTATACGACCGCAAAAAAATTTTGTGGTCGTATATTAGTATGACGTTGGCGTCGTTGTCGTCCGAAGACACGTTGGTTTTCGCACTCTAACTTAAGTTTAAGTGAATGGATCTCTATGAAATTTTACCATAAGGTTCAATACCACAAAAGGAAGGTTGGGATTGATTTTGGGGGTTATGGTACCAACAGTTAAGGAATTAGGGGCCAAAAATAAGCATTTTTGTAACTTCCAGACATAACTTGTGTGTTAGTGTATGGATCTCTCTGACATTGTACCACAAGGTTCCATATCACAAAGGAAATGCTGGGATTGATTTTGGGGGTAATTGCCTCAAAATTTTAGGAATTAGGGGCCAAAAAAGGGGCAAAAAACAAGCATTTTTCTAGTTTCATGACAATAACTTGTGTTTAAGTGTATGGATCTTTCTGAAATTGTACTACAAGGTTCCATATCACAAAGGGAAAGCTGGAATTGAGTTTGGGGGTAATTCCCTGAAACGTTTAGGAATAAGGGGCCGAAAAGGGGACGAAAAATAAGCATTTTTCTAGTTTCCAGAGAATAACTTGTGTTCAAGTGTATGGATCTCTCTAAAATTGTACTGCAAGGTACCATACCACAAAGGGAAGGCTGGGATTGATTTTGGGGGTAATTGCCTCAAGATTTTAGGAATTAGGGGCCAAAAAAGGTGCAAAAAACAAGCATTTTTCTAGTTTCATGACAATAACTTGTGTGTAAGTGTATGGATCTTTCTGAAATTGTACTACAAGGTTCCATATCACATAGGGAAAGCTGGAATTGAGTTTGGGGGTAATTCCCCGAAACGTTTAGGAATAAGGGGCCAAACTAATTTTTAGTTTCCGTTTTCTACCTTTAGTTTGCCTCAACCAAATGTTATGAAACTTAAACACAATGCTTATTACCACAAAATACAGATCAAGTTTGAATTTTGTTGGCATCACTTTTACTGTTCTAGTGTTATGCTACTTTACAAATGGAAAAATTGCTGAATTTTTCGTTTCTGTTCTCTAACTTAAGTTTGCCTCATCCAAATGTTATGAAACTTATACACAATACTTATTACCACAAAACTCAGATCAAGACCACATTTGGGTAGCGTCACTTTAACCCTTTTTCAGTTATGTCCCTTTATAACTTTATATGATATGGGAAGCGGGGGCATCATCTGTGTCCCATGGACACATTCCCCATTTTTTTTCATCTTTTTTCTTTAAAATTTTCCATTTTAAATTGGTTATTTGTGATTTATATATATAAGCAAATAATAATGATATGGTTTGAATAGGTAAATTAAAAATTTTTAAGTTGTTAGACCACATTCATTCTGTGTCAGAAACCTATGCTGTGTCAAATATTTAATCACAATCCAAATTCAGTGCTGTATCAAGCTTGAATGTTGTGTCCATACTTGCCCCAACTGTTCAGGGTTTGACCTCTGCGGTCGTATCAAGCTGCGCCCAGCGGAGCATTTTATTTAAATATTTATTTATTCTTTTTGCTTACATTACATGCATGTACATTACCTAAAGCCTTCACTTGGATGTAGAGAAGAATTCATTTATTTGAAGAAAGAGACAATGTAATAAAAATCTGGCAACTACATAAAATTAGAAATATTTCAGAGTACTGAAAACTTTAACACTTAATGATGGATATAGCATGAATGCTGAATATACAGATAAATAAAAGAAAGCAAAGCCATGATCTGTTTATTTTTGCTTAAGAACTCCAAAATAAATTCCCTTTGTTTGATATTGTATATGTATATCATTATGTAAATACATTTTTGTACTTTTCAGAATCTGTATCATACATAGCCAGTCCTATAGTCACACCCATTTGGAATACAGTGGGACAACCTGCTTCAATGGTTTTATTGACAACTGTTTCATCGATTTTTAGTGTATTACATTTTGTGTTGTGGACTTCATCAGGACAATATTTATATTCATTAGGAAAAACTGTATCAAATAAATCATGGAACTTAGTGCAATATTTTATCATGCATTTCATTCTATTGGATACATGGATATTAAAAAGGTGGGTAATATCATTATTACAATGTTAAAGTTTTTAATGAAGGCACAAATTAACATTTATTCGTTAGATTTTAAAAACTAAATGTTAAGCACACCACTGATAAAACAATACAAGAAAACATAAAAAAAAACCTTGTATTTATCAGATTGAATTACAATTGTTCTGAAAGTGAGGCATTATGGGAGATACATACAGATAAAAAGGTTTATTTTAATAGCATCTTCAAAATTGTATTTGATACTTTTTTAATTCTTTGTATGTGCAAACGTTTGAAAATAGTAGCCCAATGTATAACTACAGATATGAGAGTGAGGGATAATTGATTGTACATTGCATTACAAGTTAAATATTTTCAGGAGGAAGACATCAGCTTGTTGTTTATGTTTACCATTGTTATTGTTACTACCTCTCTTATTTATTGGAAGTAAGTATGAACAGTTATATCTTGTTGTTTCTATCCTATCTTAACTATTAGAATACAGTATAAAAAGTAATATTGTACATGTATGTACTACTATCTCTCACCTGAATTTGAATAAGATGTAAGAAGTAATGTTATATTTAAGTTTCTACCTCTTCTATACGTGTCCAATTGGAATTAAGTATCAAAAGTAAAATTGTGTGTAAGTTGCAATATCTTCTAATTATTTGAATTAAGTTTGAACACTACTTATAAGAACAACTTTATAGCTGCCTCAGTAACACTTAATGCTGACATTATTATTTGCTTCTTCAAATTTTCCGTTTTAATTGGAAACTGTTTTATCATGTTTATAGGTAGAAGTGTCTTGCCGCTATCATCAGAATCATCATGGTTATCAATATTTGCTACATCATCAAACAGGGTCATCAAAATTGCAGATGTAAGTTTTCATTGCACAGCCATCTAGCTTTCATGGCAGAAAATACAGTAAAATTATTTTGTCATGCAATCATTTCAGTCTTTTACACATTACATACATATTTTGTATTCTAGATGTTTATACCTTTGATTATGACATCTCATCCCCATTTTCTTTGTATCTTGTTTATTGCAATTGTTATGCCAGGAAGAGTAAACTTTCTGTAATGGCTTTTCTTTTTTGTAAAGGAGATCCAAGGCTTGCGGGATAATAATGATTTGTTTACAAAGTCTTGGATAGTGATTAGGTTTTTGTAGCCTTGTGCAAAACTGGTGAAAATCAAAAAGCCTTACATTTCTACCTGTTTCCACCTCATACAAAATAGATTTGATATTCCGAGTCAATGTTTTAAGTATTGCCTCTAAAAATGTCTTTAGGTATCATCTAATTTGGAAAACATGTAAAATCTTACTAATTATTTCTATTGACTTTGAAAAGGTGATAAACTTCCTCAACAGTTTTCCTGTTATTACTCTTATGTATGTTCATCTTAAACATGTTGGAAAGAATATTTTTGAAGTATACCTGAAAGATGATAACATATATTTTCAGTCAGAGGGGTCCAGTATCAATATGGGTCATTTGGAAGCTGAAGTCAGGAGAATCATTGTACAGCTTCAGGATAAAAGGAATGTATTGTCCAGAGCTGATGTCGAGGCTATTGTACAGAATATGTTACATCAGGAAGTATCACAGCTACGTCTGGACATATCTGGGGAACAGAATCAACATAAAGCTGCCATTGTAAGTATACATATATGTGCAAGTACTATGTTACACAAGAAAAAATTACAGCTTGGCCTTTATCTCTATGGGGGATAGAATCAAAAGTAAGCAATGCAACTGAAAGAGAATTAATAGCTGGACAGAATGTAAAAACATTTGTCAATTGTGATGGTATTTTGTACTTTAGAAATCTTTTGGTCTTCTTGTATTAATGGGTTGTTGTTGTAATGTTGAATACCCCACATCTCCTTTTATTAGCTCACCTGGCCTGTCGTCCGTCCGTTAACTTTTACAAAAATCTTCTCCTCTGAAACTACTGGGCCACATTAAACCAAACTTGGCCTAAATCATTCTTAGGATATCTAGTTTAAAAAAATGTATCCGATGACCCCTCCCATCAACCAAGATGGCCACCATTGCTAAAAATAGAACATGGGGGTAAAATGCAGTTTTTGTCGAGCCTGCGACTTTTGTCGCAGAAAGCTCGACATAGGGATAGCGATCCGGCGGCGGCGGCGGCGGCGGCGGCTACGGCGGCGGCGGCGGCGGCGGCGTTAGCTAACTTCTTAAAAGCTTTATATTTTAGAAGGTGGAAGGTCTGGATGCTTCATACTTTGTATATGGATGCCTCATGTTACGAAGTTTCCGTCAGTCACATGTCAAATGTCCTTGACCTCATTTTCATGGTTCAGTGACTACTTGAAAAAAAAGTTCAGATTTTTTGTAATGTTAGATTCTCTCTTATTATAAGTAATAAGATAACTATATTTGGTATGTGCGTACCTTGCAAGGTCCTCATGCTCGTCAGACATTTTTCACTTGACCTCGACCTCATTTCATGGATCAGTGAACAAGGTTAAGTTTTCGTGGTCAAGTCCATATCTCAGATACTATAAGCAATAGGTCTAGTATATTCGGTGTATGGAAGGACTGTAATGTGTACATGTCCAACTGGCAGGTGTCATCTGACCTTGACCTCATTTTCATGGTTCAGTGGTTATAGTTAAGTTTTTGTGTTTTGGTCTGTTTTTCTTATACTGTATGCCATAGGTCTACTATATTTGGTGTATGGAATGATTGTAAGGTGTACATGTCTAGCGGGCAGGTGTCATCTGACCTTGACCTCATTTTCATGGTTCAGTGGTCAAAGTTAAGTTTTTGAGTTTTGGTCTTTTTTTCTAATACTATGTGCAATAGTTCAACTATATTTGGTATGTGCGTACCTTGCAAGGTCCTCATGCCCGTCAGACAGTTTTCACTTGACCTCGACCTCATTTCATGGATCAATGAACAAGGTTAAGTTTTTGTGGTCAAGTCCATATCTCAGATACTATAAGCAATAGGTCTAGTATATTCGGTGTATGGAAGGACTGTAAGGTGTACATGTCCAACTGGCAGGTGTCATCTGACCTTGACCTCATTTTCATGGTTCAGTGGTTATAGTTAAGTTTTTGTGTTTTGGTCTGTTTTTCTCATACTGTATGCCATAGGTCTACTATATTTGGTGTATGGAATGATTGTAAGGTGTACATGTCTATCGGGCAGGTGTCATCTGACCTTGACCTCATTTTCATGGTTCAGTGGTCAAAGTTAAGTTTTTGAGTTTTGGTCTTTTTTTCTAATACTATGTGCAATAGTTCAACTATATTTGGTATGTGCGTACCTTGCAAGGTCCTCATGCCCGTCAGACAGTTTTCACTTGACCTCGACCTCATTTCATGGATCAATGAACAAGGTTAAGTTTTGGTGGTCAAGTCCATATCTCAGATACTATAAGCAATAGGTCTAGTATATTCAGTGTATGGAAGGACTGTAAGGTGTACATGTCCAACTGGCAGGTGTCATCTGACCTTGACCTCATTTTCATGGTTCAGTGGTTATAGTTAAGTTTTTGTGTTTTGGTCTGTTTTTCTTATACTATATGCAATAGTTCAACTATATTTGGTGTATGGAAATATTTTATGATCTATTTGGCAGTCACGCAGGTTTTATTTGACCTTGACCTCATTTTCAAGGTTCATTGCTCAGTGTTAAGTTTTTGTGTTTTGGTCTGTTTTTCTTAAACTATAAGCAATAGGTCAACTCTATTTGTTGTATGGAAGAATTGTTAGCTGTACATGCCTGCCTAGCATGGTTCATCTGACCTTGACCTCATTTTCATGGTTCATTGGTCAATGTTTAGTTTACTTGGTTAATGTTAAGTTTATGTGACAGTTGTAATAAAGCTTTATATTTAGGACTATCAACATAATATCAATGATTAGTAAAGAAGGCGAGACATTTCAGCGTGTGCACTCTTGTTAGCTTATATCTCTGAAACTAAAGCATTTAGAGCAAATCTGACATGGGGTAAAAATGTTCATCAGGTCAAGATCTATCTGCTCTGTTGTTGGGTTGCTGCCTCTGAATTGGTCATTTTATGGAAATTTTGCAGTTTTTATACCACCGCAAAATTATATATTGGAACGACGTTGGCATAGTCGTCGTCGTCGTCCCAACGTCCGAAGACACATTGGTTTTAGCACAATAACTTAAGTTTAAGTGAATGAATCTCTATGAAATTTTACCATAAGTTTCAATATCACAAAAGGAAGGTTGGGATTGATTTTGGGGGTTATGGTACCAACAGTTAAGGAATTAGGGGCCAAAAAAAAAGCATTTTTGTAACTTTCAGACAATAACTTGTGTGTTAGTGTATGGATCTCTCTGACATTGTACCACAAGGTTCCATATCACAAAGGGAATGCTGGGATTAATTTTGGGGGTAATTGCCGAATTATTTTAGGAATTAGGGTGCAAAAAAGGGGCAAAAAACAAGCATTTTTCTAGTTTCATGACAATAACTTGTGTGTAAGTGTATGGATCTTTCTGAAATTGTACTACAAGGTTCAATATTACAAATGGAAAGCTGGAAAAGTGGAATTGAGTTTGGGGGTAATTGCCCAAAACATTTAGGAATAAGGGGCCAAAAATAAGCATTTTTCTAGTTTCCAGACAATAACTTGTGTTCAAGTGTATGGATCTCTCTGAAATTGTACTGCAAGGTACCATACCACAAAGGGAAGGCTGGGATTGATTTTGGGGGTAATTGCCTCAAAATTTTAGGAATTAGGGGCCAAAAAGGGGCAAAAAACAAGCATTTTTCTAGTTTCAGGACAATAACTTGTGTGTAAGTGTATGGATCTTTATTAAATTGTACTACAAGGTTCCATATCACAAAGGGAAAGCTGGGTTTGAGTTTGGGGGTAATTGCCCTAAATGTTTAGGAATTTGGGGCCAAAAAGGGGCCAAAAAACAAGCAATTTTACAGTTTCCAGACAATAACTTGTGTTCAAGTGTATGGATCTCTCTGAAATTGTAATGCAAGCTACCATACCACAAAGGGAAGGCTGGGATTGAGTTTGGGGGTGATGAATCATAAGGGGGTTCAAAAGATTTGGGGGGGGGGATTTTTTTCCCTTTTTTCCCTTTTTCTTTTTCTTTAAAATTTTTAAGTTGGTTATTTTTTATTTATATATAAAAGCAAATAATAATGATAAGGTTTGATTTCATCAAAAATTGAAATATTGGGGTTCTTTGATATGCTGAATCTAACCATGTATTTAGATTCTTAATTTTTGGTCCAGTTTTCAAATTGGTCTACATTAAGGTCCAAAGGGTCCAAAATTAAACTTAGTTTGATTTTAACAAAAATTGAATTCTCAGGGTTCTTTGATATGCTGAATCTAACCGTGTATGTATTTAGATTTTGGATATTGGACCATAATAGGTAAATTAAAATTTTTTAAGTTCTTAGACCACATTCATTCTGTGTCAGAAACCTATGCTGTGTCAAATATTTAATCACAATCCAAATTCAGAGCTGTATCAAGCTTGAATGTTGTGTCCATACTTGCCCCAACTGTTCAGGGTTCGACCTCTTCGGTCGTATCAAGCTGCGCCCAGCGGAGCATTTTATTGGTTATTTTCTTGAATATTATAATAGATAGAGATAAACTGTAAACAGCAAAATTGTTCAGCAAAGTAAGATCTACAAATAAGTCATGACCAAAATTGTCAATTGACTGCATAAAGAGTTATTGTCCTTTAAAGTCAATTTTTCACAATTTTTTTTTACAAAAATCTTATCCTCTGAAACTACTGGGCCAAGTTCATTATAGATAGAGATAACTGTAAACAGCAAGAATGTTCAGTAAAGTAAGATCTACAAACAAGTCACCATCACCAAAACAGAATTTTGTCATGAATTCTATTCTTGTCTTTAATGTTGTAGAGTGTCCTTTGTTTAATATGCACTGCAGCACATAGACCAAGGTGAGCGACACAGGCTCTTTAGAGCCTCTAGTTCATAAGCCAATAAACAACATTTATTACATCAGTGAACATTCAGTTAAGTCTTGATACACCCGATGAACACAATCACTTAAATTAACTCCTCTACTCAGTGTTGCAAGATCTGATGAACAGAAAAAGCTATAGGAGCATTTTTTTTTTAATTTTAGAAACATATGTAGGTTAACAGTACCTCATTACAGCTTCTTGTATATCCATAATAATGGTTGCAACACAGATCAGAAGTAGGAATATTTTGATGTGCACTCAGCTTGAATCACAGATTAAATATCATTTAAGAAATCAGTTATTGAAACTTTCTAAGCTGCAAAGGTAAAAGGTTTAGATTCTTTTTTTTTAATGATGCATTGACATCTGCTCACAGTTTAATTTCAGTCTTGTTTAAAGAAATTATTTTTAACAGAGAGCTGTTTAAAATGGAAAAACTAAAGTAACAAATAGAAATGTGTATTTATATCTTTGTCTTCTTTTGTAGATGAGCCAGGGTAATGAATTTAACCAGAAATTAAATCTCATTAATTCACAGATATTAGATAACATTACAGTAAGTACCTGCTGTCAACTTCTTTTTCATTTACAACTTTTAGTTAGAATCAAGATAATTTATTGCTTGACATTTAGTATTGATTGATTGGTTGAATGTTGCTTGCTCAAGGTCCAACAGCATTTGGTATTGACACTTGGCTATAATTGGAAAGCTTTATGTTGACCTCAAGTCATTTTGGTTTGTCAACCTATATAACACAACTCATTTTATCCATATGCCAGGCCTAGGGACAAAAATTGCTATAAAGGATCTGCTGTATAAATGGATTATAAAACACATTGAAAATTGGGATCCACTGATGAAAGTGTCAAAATAAAACATTTCTAAATATTCACCATATCATTTGCATGAATATTTTTAGGAAAAAATTCAAACTTCAATACTTTAATACAAAACAGTTAGCAACCAATCTAAATGTATAACTTTTTATTTTATTATTTTAGATTTTACAAAATAGATTGTCATCAGAGATGCAGAATATTCAGAGGTAAGTTCAGATTCTTCATTCAAAGGATTTGAAAGTAAGAAACATTTGACTATCATTAGTTGCAAGTTTATGTCAGGCCTTCAATGAATGTCGGGAAGCCAGACCTAGATGTAACCTTTTTAATAAAGGTTTCCTGGCTCATCATTAACCTTTGAAAAAACCTTTCTAACTTCAATACTAAGCACAACAGAACATCAATTATTGTTTACATGAAACTTTATAAACCTTGACTGTAATGAAATATCTGGAAGCTGTTTTATATTGATCTGTATAGGGTCAAGCTTGACCAAATGATCAACAGATGTTTTGGTCGGTCAGTTGATTAACTGTTTAACAACAATTAGGGTCTATCATCAGTGAACTTCTTTTGGTTTTTTAGAACCAACAGAAATATATGTAAGAAATCAAAGCCATAAATAATTGAACCTGTATAGGTGAATATTTGCACGTACTTGCAGCCAACATTATACGTTACAGTCGGGGCATGAAAATTTTGACATGGGGAAAATAGTGACTGCGGGAAATGTTGACAACAGCCATTTTTGTCACTAGATGAAAGTTAAAAAATCATGTTTTGTTATATTGTTGAAACCCAGCACAGTGAAGCAGTAGTGACATAGAGGGCATTTGAGTCATCTTTCTTCCATGTTACTCTTTGTTAAATTGCAATTTCTTAAAAAAACAGCTGGTCAGAATTTACCAAATAGCAGATTCTACTACAGGAAATGAATTTGTGCACATTCTATTTTAAGTTTGATCAGACTGATTATTTGGGGTTTTCTATAGAAAAACATGGACATTTCAATTTGTACATATATTTTTTGGAGACAGTAGGTGACATACATCTTCTTAAGAAGACACACATTTTATTCTTTCTACTGTGGATTCATTATTATTCGTTGGATACCAATTTTCATGGTTTTCGTGGGTACAGGTGAACCACAAATTCAAATGTTCAACGAATTACAAATTTTCTATCAGGTTGCATGCAGACTTTGGCAAAACCACGAAATTACATATCCACGAAAAGGCAAGTTTTTTTGCAATCGACAAAAACGTACCCACGAAAATAAATGAATCCACAATATTCTGCATTATGATTAATTTGTATTTAAGCAAGTTTTTAATAAGTACTTACATTATTTTCAGTGAAGGAAGCACACAGTCATCAGCAGCTGTTTTAAACATACAAAAATTACAACAAGAAATATTAGATTTAAGGTCTGCTTTGGGGAATGTGAAAATATCACAAGAGGCACTTCAATTACAGATGAAGAACTGCTGTAAAAATGATAGTTTTTATGCCATGACTATACAAACTCATGTCAATAGGATATTACAACAGGTAGGTCAAAGTACAAACAGTTAAACAAACAAGATGTACCGTAATCAGATTTGTATAGTTCGCACTGGTACAAAGTCTGCACCCCCCCTTCTGGCTACGAGAATTCAGGTAAAAAAAAAAATTTGAAACTGGTCGGAAACGTTTCTTGAAATTCAGGTTGTATCAAATCCTATGCGATCGTTTGTGGTATTTTCCTAAACCCTGTTCTCCATCATCAAGAAGAAGTCAAAAATGCTTTTAAATGATTCTAGAAAATTTCAGGGGTGTTAAAATAAGTCAAAATCACAAAAAAACAATTGAGAAAGTTGTAACCGGAAGTAAGAATAGCACATGTAAATCGAAAATAAATAGGCTGATAGTATGCCAGAAATACTAACTTAATAGATAACACTAGAATACAATTTTGAAAGTAAATCAGTTCCATCCTTTAGTAAAATTCTGTTTAACATATCCATCATATTAATATTTAAAGGATCTCAAGCTAAAACAAAACACATGTGTCAGTATGCATCACCAAAACAGAACGAATAACCGATTACGTTTTGTAGTTTATACATCATGCATAAGCTGGCTCGCGGCTGACTTATACACTTTTTTTATTCCGTTAAATACAAGCGGTTTCAAGTTTATGTAATACAATGCTGTGAAAACAAACGAATTTGTAATGCAACATTTAATTTTGAAATTAATCACTATATAATGGATTTTGAATTAAAATTACACATTAATATTGGTTTGGTAAAATATTAGTTTTTGAAAATGATAAAAGGGAGCCCTCTACAATTTCAATAACAAACATGACGGAACGGTAAACAAACCTCGCGAAATTGAGTTTTTCTCTTATTTCTTGCCTATCGTACTCTATAATCTGCACCCCTGTCTGGCAGCTTTAATTTTGGAGAATAAAACCGCGTACTATACAAGCCTGAATTAGGTATATGTAATTTACATGCACTTGTCAGAATAGTTTTTATTTTTGTTTCTAATAATTAAGGCCCCGCCCTATAGTAATCAGTCTGTCTGTCCATTGTCTGTCTGTCTGTCCGTCCGTCCATCCGTAACAAATTGTGTCCGCTCTATATCTAGAGAACCGTTATAATTTCATACTTTATACTTGACATGTATATTAACCAACACCAGAGGGTGTGTCATAATGTTTATACAACTTCCTAGGTCAAAGTTCAAGGTCAAAAACTTTGGTTTCAGTTGACAACCCCATGTCCTATGGTAAAGATCGTGTCCACTCTATATCTTGAGAACCGTTATGATTTCAAAGTTTATACTTGACATGTATACTAACCAACACCAGAGGGTGTGTCATAATGTATGTACAACTTCCTAGGTCAAAGGTCAAGGTCAAAAACTTTGGTTTCAGTTAACAACCCCATGTCCTATGGTAAAGATCTTGTCCATTCTATATCTTGAGAACCGTTATGATTTCAAAGTTTATACTTGACATGTATAGTAACCAACACCAGAGGGTGTGTCATAATGTATGTACAACTTCCTAGGTCAAAGGTCAAGGTCAAAAACTTTGGTTTCAGTTGACAACCCCATGTCCTATGGTAAAGATACAATTTTTTTACCACACGTTATTTACAGCGGGGCCCCCAGAGATGATAGGGGTAGATATATAATTTGGGTTCTCCTGGAGTTGTTTACCATATATTAGGCTACTTTCTAGTATTTCTTTTCGGTGTCTCATATACATACATCCTAGTTCTTTTAACTACATGTATTGGTGGGAAAAAAATCATAATATATTTAAATATTTATTTTCATAATTTAGCTAATGCATTAATTCTTGTTAATTTTCAACAAAAGACAATTGCCAGACTAACCATTGCAATTATGTGCTTGTTGTAGTATTCTACCAAGCAAAAATTAAATTCTAATTATTTGGGGGGGGGGGGGGGGGGAGGGGGGGCTTTAATGAAAAGCTTTCCATTATGTATTGAATTTAAAGTCATTAGATTTGTAAGTCAGAAAACTTGATTGCCTTTTGTGATGTTAACATATGTTATGCAAGGAATTTTTTACTGTCAAGAGTCTCAAAATATGTGTACTGATATTTTGATTGATATTCCTTTAGTTGATGGCAGGTAAAATGACTGGTATAGATGACCAAGATTCATTCACTAAATGGTTCCATACCCAGTATGTCAGTCGACAAGATCTAACTGATCATCTGGCTAAGTTTGGTCAGGAGATTACCAAGATGGTCATGTTAGAAATAGAAAAACAACAGAAGACACAAGTAATTCTTGGAGAGGGAGGTTTATCAGAACAGGTAAATTACATCATAACAATAAATTAGAGAATGGGCTTCAGCTGGCCCCTAAACAATAATGTATACTAGTTCAGCGAAATGGACCCCATACTTAACTCTGAAAAATACAAATGAACCAATATAAGATTGTTCAAAACTAGAAGAAAAAACAAACCAAAAACCTGAAGTTAGTAACAAAAAGATTTTCCATGTTTTATTATGCCTCGTCGTCAGCCAACTGGGGCATTAAGTGTTACACTTGATCGTCCTTCCATCTTTCCCATTTTTCATTTCCACACACTTATCTTAAGTTAGCCTAATGCAAATTTTATGAAACTTGTACACAATGCTAAGAACGAAAACTCGAGACAGATTTCGAATTTAGGCTGTGAGTCATTTACCGTTCTAGAGTTATGCCCCTTTTTAACATTGAAAATTGCAAAGCTTGAATGGGGGCATTCGTGTCCTCAGAGACATTCTTCTTGTATTTGATATGGTGATGATAATGCAGAGCTTTATCAGATCCTTGTTTTTAAACAGTGCTGCTTATTGTCCCCTGCACAATGCGTTGCAGGGGACAAAGAAATACTGGGCGTCGGTCCGATCTTGTTAGCACTTTCACGTGTACAGTTCTTGCCAAATTATTATGAAACTTATATCATAGGTTTATATAAGAAATGTCTAAGATGTATTTGAAAATCAGTGCAGATCAATTATTTTTAAAAGAGTTATGCCCCTTGGAAACATTAATTATATGGAAAATTGCATCGTTAGTGCTCTCATGTGTGCAATACTTGCCATATTTTTATGAAACTTATATCATAGGTTTATATCAGCAGTGTCTTGGACAAGTTTGAAAATTAGTGCTGATCAATTATTTCTAAAAGAGTTATGCCCCTTGGAAACATTAATTATATGGAAAATTGCATTGTTAGTGCTCTCATGTTTACAATTCTTGCCAGAATTTTATATAACTTATATCATAGGTTTATATCAGCAATGTTTTTGATGAGTTCGAAAATCTGTGCTGATCAATTATTTTTAAAGAGTTATGCCCCTTGTGTAAATGAAATTTATATCATAGGTTTATATTATCAATGTCTTTTACAAGTTCGAAAATCAATGCCGATCAATTATTTTAAAATGAGTTATGCCCCTTGGAAATTTGATTATCTGGAAAATTGCATTGTTATAACTTTATGAAACTTATACCAAAGGTTTATATCAGCAATGTCTGACACTTTCTAAAATAAGTGATGATAAAATATTTTTAACGAGTTATGCCCCTTGGAAATACAAATTATAACAGAAATAGCATTGCATTTGCTCTGAAGCCTTCATTTCTCTAAGATATTTATAAAAAGTTTTAAAGAACAAAAAAAAGTTATTGCCCTTGTACCTTGGATAGATGAAATATGTGCAAGGCAGGGGGACATTGGAACTCTATTCTTTTATTTGATAGGTATTTTTTTGAAATAATAACTTTATGGCAATAATTTGAACTTTTTCTGCAGGTTGTTCAAAGAATAGTAGAGGCAGCTTTGTTGAAGTACAGTGCTGATAGACTAGCTTTGCCCGATTTTGCTTTGGAATCTGCAGGTATGTATTTCTGTTTGTGCTTGTGATTTGTTTAAACCTGTATGTGCACTCAAATTGCTTATTTCTATCTATATTTGAGAAAAATGAGTTAACATACAGTATTATAAGGGAGTTGTTGTTGAAAAGTAAAGGTAAATACTGAATATATAGAATAAGAAACCTACAAATAATTTGTCTGTTCTGTCATATGTTCCTTTGGAGTCTTAAGTTTTTTGTTATTTCAAACAATATTAATGAATAGGACAAATTACATTGATAAGTCACCAGTACAAAGCAGACTAGTACCCTTGTGTCTAGAATAATACAACCTATCCAAAAGAAACATTTGAATTGGAAAATGAATTGGAAAATTTAACATTCATTAGTTTTATAAAGCCTGTCTTATCAGACTGGTATATTGTAGTGCAATCAAAACAACACTTACTGGGTGAACACTTAATATAATTAATTTTATTTTCAAAAATTGTTTACATGAAATTTTGAAACTTTTGACAATTTCATAGGAGGAAGTGTAGTCAGTACCAGATGTTCTCAAACATACCATCGTAAAACAGCTCAGTACAGTATACTAGGCATACCACTCTGGTATGTTTCTAACTCACCAAGGACTGTCATTCAGGTAAGATTGTACAGAATCTTGATTGAAACTGGTACATTAAAACATGAAAATTTCACAAATACATATTTTTCTATAAATAGAGTTCTTTTATTTGCAGAGAACATAGTGATCTTCCAAAGTATGGCTTTATATTTAATATTCCGTGTTTTATTGGCACAACAGCTATTTTTACATCCCCGACAGCAAAATATGCATTCTTTATATGTAGAAATATTGTTCCAAGACATGTATTAAACCATTATTTAATAGCCGAGCTTCCAGTAGGTCATATTGCCTTTAAATAATAAAAAAATTGTAAACATATTTTCATCTTAGATCTGCATAATATGCATGCTTGGAAAACTTCAGTAATTTCAACCTTATATTTCTTATAATGCATTTTCAGCCAGAAATTTATCCAGGATCTTGTTGGGCTTTCCAAGGATCTCAGGGATATTTAGTGATAGAGTTGTCTACTGTGATAAAACCAACAGCCTTTACATTAGAACATATACCGAAATCTGTAACACCTGATGGTAAAATTACAAGTGCTCCTAAAGATTTTAATGTCCTGGTAGGTTTTTTTTTTTTCATAATTTGAATTAATAATTCAATTAGTCAAAGTTTAAAAAACTTCCTGTTAAAAATACAAACATGTTATGATGCAAACAAATTTGGGAAAATATCCAGTATATTTATATATATTCTTCTATATAGATATTAATACATTTAGAAAGGGTACATCATTGATAAAAAATCTAAACAACATGGATTACATTATCTGCAAATGGATGACTCATAGTATATAATAGTACAAAGCCTTTCGTTACACTCCTAATTTTGTATTTTTTAATTTAGGTTTGTACAATGTACTGTCTTTTGGTGTGTATAAAACGCACTCATGTACATATGTATTGTGTTCTTTTCTTTTATCTTGCTGTTTAAAAATTAAATAAATTTTATGATTCATTGATATAGATTAAGGAATGATGTCTCTAGAAGAATTATCATGTGGTAAAAGTTACAACACTATAATAGAAATGGTAGAAATTGTGATTCCCAAATTGTTGTAGAGCTAAGGGAGTTAACCGGATTATTGTAGTTATGAAACAATACATGTCAATAATAGCATTAGTTTAATGCTGTTAAGATATGTATAATGTAGATTAAAAATTGCATGTCAATAATGCTGTTAAGAAACATCTTGTATAGATGAAAAGGTACATATCAGTCAGATTCATATGATGAGACAGAAACACAACAATACATTACACACAAACTAGAGATCAACATGTGATCTTGAACAATAGACAATTTTCTTAATCATATGTTTTATATTTTCTGTTAATTTAATCCCATAAACATTATGGAAATTTTAATCACCGATCATAAGCAAATTTTTATTGTCTCAAACATAATTCAATGTTTTAGGGTTTAGCCAGAGAATGTGACACAGAAGGTACACTTCTAGGAAATTATACATACAATGAAGATGGAAAACCACTCCAATTTTTCCCTGTACAGGTATGACAATACTTCTATGATGTGAACTTATAAATATATTCCAAATTTTGACCCTGATTTGTGGTTCCCTGAACATGGAAATGTGATAGTGTGAGCAGGGCATGGTGCTCTATGTCCTATTTACTAGAAAAAAATTAAAGGCCTTGAACAAATGTTTTAGACAAAATTTAAAATATATTTTCAGTTTTGTGTTTTAACATCTTTAGGATGTTTTTTTATTGATTTATTATGCTTGGAAACTTTTTAAATTTAGTGTTTAAATATGAAAATAAAGCAGGGCTTCCAAAATTATTTTCAGTCAGCCGGACATTTTATATATTATCCCGATTTTAATCCCTTAAGACTAAATAAACAAAAGGCAATTATGGTAATCAGTTGCAGAGTTGGCCATCCCAATGATTGACATAAAAAAAACGATATTAAACTTTCTTTGATTCAAATTCGAAGTTCTGACGTAAACTGTTAAATTGGCAGTGCATCATTTGAAGTGTGCAACAATAAATTACATCAGCGTACTTATATTTGCCTTAGACTCTTTATTTGTGCAAAATAACGTTGTCAAAAACTTTACTTTCGTTTTTAAATCTAATACCGGATGTTATCTTGACAATGGTATAACATGGACCAGAGATGGATACGTAAATTCCGTGTACGTTTGCAAAGCATGAATGAGTGGAAGTAGCTCCTACTACGTTATTTCTTCAAGAAAATATTCGAAATAAACGTGAGAAAAAGGTATCAATGACAATTTAAGCATTTTTTGAAGAAATTAGGATGCATAATTAAATTTCACATCTGTGCACATGCGCACACGTGTACTAGTTCAAACAGAGACATGTCTCTAGTTCAAACAATGAGGTTATGACGATGTTTCATTTTCACCTTTTTAATTTTTTCATCAAATCATATTTGTAAACGTATTTCTGATAAGGCCAAAATTAAATTAAGTTTGTTTCCCCACTCCCCGACCGACTGAGAAAATAGCCGCCGACTCAAAAAAATTTGAAATTTTTTTTTTTAAATATCTCGGGTACGACCGGATCCGGATACGACCAGATCGGGTACAAACTTGCGTACTTGCCGGCATGGTAGACTGGTTCCCTGTCCTTTTATCTGGAGCCCAGATACCCCGTATGTTCAGGGTTCTCGTTTAGACGCGTATACGTGTCTTGGACGCATGGAAATCGAGCTGGACGCCTCATTTTTGAAACCCGTGAGTCCCTGGGACGCGTCCTGATTGTATCCCCTCAGTCCCAAACACATCGTTTTGCCTAGAAGATTTATAATTCGACATTGTTTTGACAAGAAACTAAACCGAAGTCGATGTCGAAAAATCTTTGTGATGCGTAGATCAATATTTTTGACAGCTGATTGATTTATAATTTACTTTGTCTGGCTTGGTTGAACAAGCCAATGAACGATCATGACCCAGTTTTGTCAAATTGAAAAGTAAAAATTGTTTGCAAACTTTTTTTTTAAATACAAATGCTTGACTACCTTAAATGAAATGCATATAAATCCAAACTAAATTATTAAAAGCAGTATAATCCAGAAATTAAATGAATTCCTTGACCACATGTTTTCTTTTGTTGACAAACATGTCACATTATCACTTTTGGCGGGAAAAATACTTGGGGAAACACCTAAATAACAGACAACCCTGTCTGGATATTTATAGACATTTAAAATAAACAGCTGATATAGGAGAGCCTATAAATAGTTAAACTTGGTATATATAATTCAATCTACACCAATTTAATTGGGAAAAGGGTGTAAAGGGGAAGGGGTTAATTTGTAAAGTTATTTTTTGTCATTTAAATATTGGTAACTAAAAATCACCAGAAAAATTCTTTTACAGAGTTTATTATTAAACAGTCCATTCATATTTTTCAAAAATATGTTCCTTTAGGATAAGGGGGACTGGCCAAATTCTTTGCAGTTTTTAAATTTTTCTAATAATTTAAAACTAAAATATCATGTTAATATAAAGGAAATTAAGGGGGTAGACATTCTAACACTTACATTAAAGATGCTACAAATGGTTATATGTGCCAGACATACACATGATCAATTTGTTTTGCTCTGTTGGGTATTAAAAAAAAATTATCAAGATATAAAAAAAAAAAAAACACCTACCTACATACCCACCTACAGCAATGTGGGTAGGGGTGTGGGGAAACATACATTTTTTTAATTGTGGCCTAATTTAAATCTTTTTGACTAAATTAATTAGATGCAAACCGCTGAAATGTAAGAAAATAACTTTGAATAGACCGATCAATGTCCGGTTCAAAATAGTTTACCTGTCACCTGAACAGGTAAATTTCAGCTGTTTGACAACTAATTAGTCTTGATTAAAATGAGAAGGTATTAAAGTAGGGGTTGTTTTGATAGTACTTAATGATCATGTCACTTTTATGACCGGAAATGTGTGGCTGTTAAAGGCAAAACGTTGGGTCAAAAAGATCGCGAAAACTGTTAAAATGACCGTCTCTTAAAGCCTTGAAATCTAAAAAGTAGATGACCGTTTCATGCTTTGCCCAGCCGGACTTTTACCAGACATTATACAATTGTCCGGCATATATGACCGTTTTGGAAGCCTTGAAATAAAGACATTATTTCAAACAGTTTGAATGAAGAAATACAAAAATGTAGTGGTCAACTAAAGAATGCAACTACTCTTTGAATAACCTGATGATAAAATATACACAAAGCTCTACTTTATCTTGCTTTCTTCTATCCTATAATAAGTGATCAGCCAAATTATCCTATAATGATGCTGCCGGCTTTAGGCAACTATTGTAACTATATTTCTTCTTGCAGACTACAGAGGGAGTCTTCAAGTTTATAGAATTAAGGATAACAAGTAACCATGGAAACCAGATGTTCACATGTCTGTACAGATTTAGAGTTCATGGAATTCCAGCAGAGCAGGATAAACCTTAAAACATACTGTATAGCAGTTAGCCAATATATCAAACATAGGTTTTCTTCTAGGAAAGGAACCATGACTTCAATATAAACCATCTTCAAGTGAAATATTTTCTACAGGGTAAAAATGAATGTGTCAACATATATCTATGCAAGAATGTGCAAGAGAAAATTTGAACTTTCACATTGTTCAAAGGAGATAAACAATTGGATATAAAATATGCTTAATAGAATAAGTGTAAAACTGTCAGTGAATGACATCATTGTTAATGATGGATTGGGGAATGAGAGAAAATGAAAGTACATTGTGTATAATTATTTATTATGCAAATGGAAACTAAAATGGACTTTTTTTTTTTGAAAGAAATTTGTTTCAATATTATATAATAATGCATGAAATAAAGAAATGAACAATGATTGACAAATTATTTGTGAAGAGATCTAACAGGGTTTGTATTTGTAGTGTATCCAACCAGACTTGAAAAATACACCATATATTTATTTTGTTTGTTAAAAAACCATCGTGAAAATTTATGTATAGATTTTTTATTATTATTATTTGTTAAGAAAGGTGTTTATTTTATATGAATAAGTTATTGTTTTTTTTATTTTTTTGTTGATGTCAATACTAATGGTACATGTACTATTTTACTTTGCTCAAATTCATATGAAATTAGCTACAATATAATGAATGCAGTACACTCTTGCTGTACCAATAAAACATATATTGTACATTGTACACAGGGAAGGCACTTTGTAGGTGTTTAAAATGGAGTTTAACACCAATCCATAGTTTAGGTTTCATAGTGCCTTCTTTGGTCCCCATATTTATGGAACAGCCCTTTAAGGGGATTGAAAATATCAGAAACAGTGAAATTGTCTCTCTTCTCAGTTTTATTTTTCTCGTAATATGTAAATTAAAAATTATCTCCATTTGTTTTACTGCATACCAGATAAATATTGGTTTTCTATGAAATATGATTTTGATGAATGTTATTTTTACTGTTATTTCTGTTTGTTTTATAATCAACGGGTGAACAACACAGTATTCATCCTTCTTTTTTTACTTCAAAACCCCATTGCTATGTTTTTACTGTGATACTTTCCACCTTGCAGCTATGCTGTATTTGTCTACACTTTACATCAGAAACAAGGTAATTAAAAAAAAAGAAAGATTCAAAATATTACTCTAAAGGTTTTGGAAATTAATTTAAGTAATTTTTTAAAGAAAATAAAACCAAAGCGCAGATATTTTTATCAAATTTCATGAAATATGAAACCTCTAAATTTGAGAAATGGATGAAATATTATTACTTCTCTTCTGTCTGGTACTTAAATATTTCTTAAAATGTATATAATATATTAAGATCACATTTGAGGACCAACTACAGAAACTTTGGGAATGGATCTCCTTTTTTTTTTCCTTCTATTTTTTTTTCTTAGGTGTTTAGGATTTTATTAAATTTTCTCTAATATTTCAAATTATTTTTCCTTCTTTGATTTGTTTTTGTCCATTCAATCTTATAATAACTGTTGTTTATAAGTGCTACCCCTCTGCATCGTTTGTGTGGTTTGAGCAAGTATGAAAAATTTCTCAATTAAACTCATAAAAATCATATATGTATTATTTTATAAAATATGCAATAGATAGTTGTTTTTGTGGTTTAAAAGTTGTATAATCTTAAATGATAGTGTACATTTACATTAGGGCTATTCCATTAAAATGTATGTGGGAGGGTAGGAAGGGACTTTCAAAATATCCCTACAACCAAGAACCATTTTTAGATAATTTTGCATAATGGTAATAGACGCATACTGAAAAAAGACCCGTGACCCACATTCAATAATTAAACTTCCCTTCCTACCCTCCCACATACATTTTAATGGAATAGCCCTTAGTATTTTAGGAGAATCTCAGAAATGCTGGATTTATTAACAGTGCAATTAAACATTGTATACTAAGTTGTATACCAGTTCAAATGGCTGTAGTTCAGTACCAGTACATTTATTTTTAAGGATTCAAAGGCAGCTCAATTAGGTTGTGTTTATTTTTTATTCATTATTATTGTTCGTCTTTTGCATATATCATCCATGTTTTTAATGCATAGTAGCTTTTTATTTTTCTTTACATGTATTGCGAAAAAATGTTTAGTTTAAGGTCATAGGTTATTTCTGGATAATTTCAAAGAAAGAAGACAGTTATTTTTCATTTATTAGCTTTGATATGGGACCAAGAAGAATGTGTTCACTTTCATTGATCTACATCAGTTATTCATATAATCTGTTTTCAAATTCAGCTTTTAGCAAATTATTTATGCCAAGTTTAATATGGCTTATATTTCCATGTCAAAATTTGACTAAAGTTTTTTTGACAAATCATATTTAATAAGAGATCAAAGGTTAAGATTATAATATATTGTCAAAAATATACTTTAATTTTGCTGAATGAATGTTTTTGTTATAAAATCAAGGATGAAGTAAATATTTTTTTCTTTTACAAAAGTCTTTATTAATTTCAAAACTATTATGCAGGCATTGACTAATATACATATTATTTTTTCACTTATCATAAAGTAGTTTGCTGGTAAATTAAATATGAGATTACAAATGTAGTTCAAACTTTACATGTAAAGTATTATTACTGCCATGAATATTCACTTAAAATCAAAAATATGCTTTTTGCTTAATGTGCTTTTTTTGTTATAGAAACAAGATGTTGTACTGTTAAACTTGTGTACAAACATTAGATTAAATAGTGTTGTCATCATTAAATGGTCAAAATAACTTGCTGTTGTTGTTTTTGCCACAGCAGCTAGGCGAAGGAGGGATTAAGCGTTACCCTTGACCGTCTGTCCATCTGTTCTTCCTTCCGTCCATCCCAAAAGTATTTTCGCATATTATAAGCAAGCTTGAGCGGGGGCATTCATGTCCTCAGACACATTCTTCTTTCATTTCTCATATGAAAAACTATCATTTACTTAAGTAAAGGAGAATTGTTTTGGTCATTATTTTAGGAGAATAACAAAAGAACTTCAAACAAAACTTGAAAACCATGATTATAGTATGAGTCTCTGATTTTAAGTAGTAGCCCTACTGTAATCTGTCAATCCATACATTCAAAGTTGCACAGCAATATATCTACTTGTAGGGTTGATGAAGATGAGATTACTTTCAATGTTGGTGATTTTTATTTCTTTTATTTCAGAGGTACAAAATATCTATAGACATTTTTAAAAATGGGAATTTTCAAGTCACACACAAAATTTAGTTTATTTTGAAAAATTACAATATGTTTTAAAAATGACAAGTGTTATATTTTATTTATTGAAGTGCACAATGATCAACATATAAAAGCTGCCTATGGCAATAAATCTAAATATCTCCGCAAAAGTCGGCCTTGCATTGGAATCAAGTTCTGAAAAAAGAAAACATATATTTATTGTAATTGTAATTAATGTCGCATGAAATTGCTGAATTCTAAATAAGGTTTTGAAATTAAATATAAATTCTGAATACCTTTTACTGTTGGATTTCTAACATAGAGACAAGAATTTCAAATATACCTGTAATAATAACTAACATTGAAATGACTGGAAACAATTTCTTTTGTTCCAGTATCCCCAAAATAACCTTTCCACTACAGAATTGTCCATGTAAGACACACAAAGATCTAAAATTATGCTGGCTGAAAGAAATATCTTTGAACGTTTGATGCTTATCATTTTTTCAGGCATTTGAAGACATCTTATGTATATTTATCCTGTTAGCTTCCTTATCTTTAACTCACTTATCATATAAGGCAAACTATTGCCCTGACAGTGTTCATGGGTATCTCTGACTTCATTCCATTTGTATTTCAGTGTCCATGGGTATCTTGGACTTCATTTCATTTGTACTTGTAGTGTCACTTTTAGACTAGATGTTCTTTAGTCTTAAAAACTGTACTATATTGCAATTGAAAATTTACTTTATGAACATCATTTCACTGATCACTGATGTGAAAGTATTGTTCAATGAAGCCAATTTGAATGATTTCCTTTGATTTCTCAAAACACAGACGAATATTTTATGACAAAGCAACAGATATTAACAAATCATACAAGATGGCATAAACAGCTAACACTGTAACAGTATATGACATCAGCTAATATATATTATCTACTTAAATACAGTCACAATCAGACCAATGATGAAAGTGTTATCCATTATACATTATGATATTTATACAACATTATTCCATTTTAAGATTGGATAACTTAATTACTAGTAGTCATTCGGCAAAGCTCATAGTTTTGAGCTGCAAATTGAAAGTTGTAATACAAGATACTTACAGCTTGAACAATAGGACTGTTCACACAGTTGGTGGGTGGAGTAAATGAATCAGCCTTGCTTATTCCTGGAGTAATGTTACTGAAACCTACACTCTGTATTACAAATTCTGAAATGAAACAATTTAAGCATGAGGTATTTTACGGTAAAAATAGTTGGTGAAATGGAGATGCTAGTCATTTGCAAAAAAATCAGTATATAATAGAAAGGATTCACATTTTGCATCATCAGTACCTACAGTGGTGTAAGAACAATAGAGAGATTTTTTTGTGAATCAGGTAAAAAAGTGTTTTGTTTATTGTGCTATCCATGCTTATTCAAATTCATTTTTGTTATCTTAAGTTTGTAATTTAAAATTTTAAAGTTATGTACAAATCCTTATGTCTTTGTTCACAAAATTTGACTAGAAAATAGAATTGAGCTGATTTTTTGTATTCCATATTATGGTGCATATTAGAAAAAATTGAAGAAGAAAAAATATATACAAAGACTTTGTTAAGCATTGAAGAGTTTAGAAGATGATTATCTCTATGGGGAATTTTAAAACCTCCTGGTCATGTGGTCTTAAGTGGGCAGCTGTTTCACTGACAACATCACATCTTGTATTTTTACGATGAATTTTTTTATGCATACTATGATAATAATTTCAGATAAGATAACATATACACATTGTAAAAAAAAAACCAAATGTACCATTTCCAGTTTGACCACTGACCATCTCTCCAACTGGAACACATGTATTAGCTGTTACTGTTACACCAACTTCTAACTGTCCTCTCATGTATGTGTATGAATTTATCATCATCTTGTTACTGGGAGGTCCCATATAGCTTGATCTCTGCAATTTTGCATCACCTAAAAGGTTAAAAGTAGAAAGGCAATATTTTATATGTAAATTATACATTAGTCTTTGTATCTAGAACTAAAATGTATTTATAAACGTTTTGCAGCCTATATTAAATGATAAATAACATTATTATTTAAATACTGTCTATTAATTAAAACAATAATAGCTGTTATGCATACATAACACATTAAAGTAAATTTCTTATTGTCCTTAGTAATATGTATGAAATGTTTGCCACTGGAAATTAAGCAAGTAACCATCATTCATACATCAGCATCATCAGCTCTATATTTGGCTTGAATAAACACCAACAGGTTTAATTGAGTGGTTCATACAATACAAAAATGAAGAGATTATGGGGATATACAAATGTATGTCCAATTATTTAGCACCTACAGAAATGATGAATTATGATAAAGCTAGAGAAAAATATATATTGCCTGTAAAATTTTAGATGTGGTTTAGTAAATTAATAAAGGATAGGTAACTTACTTGGAATACAGTTAGGAACAAATGGACCCAGAGGTGTTCTAGTGCAGTTATTACCGCTGACTGTATATTGAATGCCCTGAAAATAGTGAAGAGGCTTTTAACATCTGATAGACAATCACATTTCAACTTAAATTTCTTGTTACATTCTACTAGTACCATGTTTTAAAAGGTACAATAGATTAGCTTGTATGGTAAAACATATGAGGAACGTTGTAAGAAAATAAAGGTCACAAAAGTTTGTCCTACATAATTTTGGGGGTTTGTGATGAATTATATGATATGAAAAAATAAAAAAAAAATGTTATTTGCATACTACAGTAAGTAACAGTATTATTAAATTAGTCTTAGGTGCCTAGAAAAAAAGCAGTTTTTAATGCTTTTTCTGCATTTAAATCGTTTCACCATGCAGATATTTTGACTTTGTTTCAGAGAAATATTTCCGTACCTCATTATTAAAGAGGCATTATCTACAATTTAGACAACAATTCAAAATACGATTCTTTTTGTTTCAAGTATTAATAAAAGTGGAATTTTGAAATAATATTTCCTTATAAGTAGTCATGTTGGCCCAAATTTGTCAAAATAAGCCCAAAAACATCGCTGATGTATTATTGACTTGCAAGTCAATAATTTAACCTTATTGAATCCGTATTCATTTGACCTTCAACTTAACCCCTAAGCTGGAGATGGTTACGCATGTGATCGGCTACCAAAAGAAAAAGAATGTCAACATTGAAAGTGAAACAATGATGAACCATTTGGTTGACTTGATTCGATCCAAAAAAAAAATTATCTTGTACAGATAAAACGATGATAAACATACTTTTTCAACCTATAATATAAAATCAAACAGACCTAGAAAAATCCAATAGTAGTTGCTATCTATTTATATTTATATGTACGTTTGTTTTTGGTTATATGACCGTCGGAGGTCATCTAGATGACGTCTAGACTAAAATACACACGAAATGCTGATACATATTATCGAGTCCATGCATTGTTTAATCGTTTATTTTAGACTTTTTGTAATTTGGATATACGTTTTAGTATGTTATAAATCAAATATGAGAATTTGAGTCAAATCGGTAGACATGAATTTGACAGCTAATGCCCCTTTAAATATGCACTTAAAATAATTGATAATGTTAGTTATTGATATCACATTTAAGCTGATTCAGTTTAGGAGTTGTGGGTACAAATGAATGAACAAATAGACGGACGAACTGACAATTATTGTTGAAAACATACAAAAAAACGCACGGTGCTACCGAAAAATACACAAATTTGTACTTGCCTGTGCATAATTCAAAATCACACCAACATTTGTGTTATATCCTCCTGTACTCATGTACAACATTGCAGCCACGCGTTTGTTAGTGGCATCATACGCAACACTTATAGCGCCCTGCAAACAAAACAGTTGAGTTCATAATATCGAAAATCCTAAATTATTATATGACCTCCAAAAAATAGACCAAAATCAATTTTTTTGGATTTTTTTTTAGTTTCTTTGAGAAACTTTGACAGTTCGCTTTTAGGATGTCGCATAATATTCATTGACAATGTGAAGTTGAATTTGAGATGTCTATAAATCAAATTTTGGGAATTCCAAAAAAGTTTAAATTTCATCGATATTTCAATTTCAAGCATAGAAATAAAACATTGAGTTTCAGGACCTCTACAAAGATTCAAGCGAATGTAGGATACCCTTAGGTCTTAGAACAAACAAGCATGGAAATAGAACACTGTGTTTCACGTCCTCTACCAAGATTCAAGTGAACATAGGAAATCCTGAGGTCTTAGAATAAAAAAAGACACCCTTAATATGATATATGTAATGTCTGAAATAAACACACCCTTAATATGATATATGTAATGTCTGAAATAAAGACACCCTTAATATGATATATGTAATGTCTGAAATGAAGACACCCTTAATATGATATATGTAATGTCTGAAATAAAGACACCCTTAATATGATATATGTAATGTCTGAAATAAAGACACCCTTAATATGATATATGTAATGTCTGAAATAAAGACACCCTTAATATGATACATGTAATGTCTGAAATATTTCTGGTGGTAGAGATCCTAAAATCGAAATACCGGTCCAATAATATAGTTAAAATTTTGAAATCTAAATTAGGTTCTGAAATTCTTCAGGATGTTCTGAGATAGAAATTTTGGGGTCAATAAATACGACCTCGGAGCTCTATTTTTCCATCCTTAATTGACTTGACCTACCGTAACTATTGTCGGGTCTGCTGTATCATTTTGAGAAACAGCTATAATCGTCCCCTCCGTGCCTTCCCACTGAGCAGGGACACAGCATATTTGTGCTTGAGTTCCTACTGCTAGAGCTAGAGTTACTATGAGTACTATCATCTTGAGGTATCAACAATACTGAAAAATCGGCTACTACAATAATGTTCTGTCTTATCAGTTACTCCTTATCTGTATTACGGATCGTGGTATTTTCATCAAATAAGGAATTAAGAATATGATAATAAGGTGTAAGACCTCGAAAGGTTTCTGTGACATGATATAAAATGTTGGAACTTTGATATTGTTATCCCCGTGCGAATCAACAATATTACTGTCTGATGTGTGACGTCGGACATATATGCAGTAACAAAAACGCTAAATCGACTTTTTATGCGATACTTTTAATTTATATCTATAAGTCGGCAAAATCGATGATTTTGAGAAGTTGTTTTTATCCCGTTTCTCTTTTTTATACTTTCTTGACCCAACCAACATCAAACTATTTTCTCAGGCGCAGTTGTTAAATTTATAATTAATTCGTGTTCTGATGTTATTTTAGAACGACTAGTATGGCATGGTATTGGTTGCAAAAATTTGATATTTTTCATTTAAATACAATATTTTTAATTAAATTGGTATATTTCTTCATTTAAATGCAATATTTTTAATTTAATTGGTATATTTCTTCATTTAAATGCAATATTTTTTTATTTGAATGGTATATTTTTTTCATTTAAATGCAATATTTTTTATTCAAATGGTATAATTTGTCATTCAAATGCAATATTTTTTATTTGAATGGTATATTTTTTCATTTAAATGCAATATTTTTTCATTTAAATGCAATATTTTTTATTCAAATGGTATAATTTGTCATTCAAATGCAATATTTTTTATTCAATTGGTATAGTAGTTTTTTATTTATATGCAATAATTGCATTATGGGAAATTCTTTGACGTCATAAGGTCAAATTTGCAACAACGTTTGTGATTGGTCGGTAATTGTTTGGATTTCTCCCCTTTCTTTCTAAACATGAGTGACCAAGAATTAAAAAACGCGTCAGAATATCGCCCCTCTAACTAAATCTGGCGTTCGTACGAGTTCTGCACTGGCTGTTAAAATCTTCTGGTCCCAACTATTATTTCTATTGCAAAATTTCGATGGTCAAAACGTTCTGACCACAACTTTTCAAAAACTTTCCGGCATTATTTATGGATCTATATGCAAGTATAACGTTTTTTTGGAATAGATTAGACATCGTTGGTTTTCCCGTTTGAATGGTTTTATACTAGTCATTTTTTGGGCCCTTTATATCTTGTTGTTCGGTGTGAGCAAATACGACGTGTTGAAAACCGTACTTTGACCTATATAATGGTTTATATTTACAAATTATGACTTGGATGGAGATTTGTCTCATTGGCACTCATACCACATCTTCTTATATCTGTATACAACGTAAACCAGACGTTTCTTAGATTGTTTTCTTTTTTTAATAAATCCTTTGCCGCGCGTTGTGTACTGATTGATACTTCAGTCTGGGAGAACAAGATTTATTTCAGTACTAGTTGTAATTAGCTTTGAGCAAACTTCCAGTAATTGCAAATACTCTTATGTCGATGCTTTGTGTCTATTGTCTTAATGTTAGTTTTTTTGTGTGTCTCGTACCGATCTTTTGAGTTAATCTAATTGCAACTGATAATTGCAGGTTGTTCTTTTATTGGACTGTTACACCACTGTCCAAGCTTCGGGATGGGTAGAGTGCTCACAAACATGTTGTTGTACTGTTACACTACTGTCCCAGGTTAGGGGGAGGATTGGGATCCCGCTAACATGTTTAACCCCACCACATTCTGTATGTATGTGCTTGTCCCAAGTCAGGAGCCTGTAATTCAGTGGTTACCGTTTGTTGCAGTGTTATACATATTTGTGTTTCGTTCATTTTATTGTACATTAATTCGGCCGTTAGTTTTCTTTAGTTTTCTCGTTTGAATTGTTTTACATTTGTGATTTCGGGGCGTTTTATAGCTGACTATGCGATGTAGGCTTTGCTTATTGTCGAAGGCTGTACGGTGACTTATAGCTGTTGATTTCTGTGTTTGGAGAGTTGTTTCATTTGCAATCATACCACATCTTCGTTTTTATATTAACCCTGCCATCTTCTTTATTTTCCTGTCCCAGGTCAGGAGCCCGTGTAGTTTAGTGGTTGTCGTTGGTTCATGTCTCGACTAATATTTGAAATTTTGTAAATTGTTTTGTTATGTATAATTAGGCCGTTAGTTTTTCGTTTGAATTGTTCACACTTTTCATGTCGGGCCTTTTAAAGACGACTTTACAGTAATAGGTTTTTGTCATTGTTGAAGGCCTTACGATTGTCTATAATTGCTTACATCCACTTCATATTTAAAATCCGGTGGATAGTTACCTTATTAGCAATCATATCCCATCTCTTCGTTTTTATATTATATACATGACTTCTAAACTCGTGTTTTCCTGAACAAGCATGAAATATTTGTCACTGGGCGTTAAAAAGCAATAAACAATCAATCAATTTAAACTTGTGTTAAATAAGAGGAAAACCATTTGATATTTACTTATTTGTTGGGGTAGGGGACAGAAGGATTTAATATATGAATATGGTTGCCTGGTAAAAGAGCTGAAAATAGGCATGATTAGCGACAGATTAAAATGAATAATAATGCCCTCTCTTCCCTTCCCCATCCTTCATCTATAAATTAAACTGACCACCACGGAATAGCCCAATAGTGTTGAAAGTAGTGTTAAACACCAATCAATCAAAATTCCTTCCCTAGAATATCAAATAATCGTCCCTTAACTGTTATTGTTCGTGTAGTTCTTATATTTATCCAGCTTATCGTCCTATAGGGATATCCTACTAAGGCTGGCATACCATAAAAACGTTTATAACACAGCTCACTTTCTAATATATCAGCATTCATAAATTTATTAACGTCATTCAGACTAAACGACGCTATGTTTGTTATGTGCCTCTGCTGTCTAAACAACCTATCAAAAAAGAAGAGGTGGAAGAGAGCCAGAACATCTTCCCAATGCAAATCAAAGTACTGAAGTACTGAACATCGGATCACTGCAAGTTCTTGTGGATGGTCAAAAGCACTTGTCACAGAGAAAGATCACATCTCTATACCTGAAACTGAGGTAAATGTACAGAGATATATTTTTTTCTGAGACAAGTTCGTGCGTGGATGATGAATAAATGACATGAAATTCAACCGCACAGTAATAACTATTATATTGTGGTGATACAAATCAGTATACACTGGTTTGTTGTTATATATTATATTGATATAACAGTTACATGTATATATAATTTTCATCCATTTGTATATCATTCTATTCAACTATTCTAATCATAGTGCAGTGCAAGTGCATGGTGGACACTCTTCTGTAAAAATTAGATTTTTCTAAAAGATTGGATATGAGTAGGCATTCATATTTTCCCGTAAAAACAATTACAGAGTTACCGGTCCTTGCCGGGATTGTCGCAAAAATGTTCTTAAGATATACTTCCGTATGCTTTAACACAATTTTTACTTATATAATATATATATATATATCTAACGACAAAACATTTTCATAATATTAATTTATGTTCTAAACAAAAATATTTTCATCAGTATTCATTGAAGAGATGTATTTATAACAAACGATAAGGAATGTTAGTTTGCACTAGTTAATTTCCGCGTATTTATCATGTTTATAGATCGGTTACAAACCCAAAACGAAAGTTATGTGTGCAAATCTAGGCGATAGTAATACATCGGAATACCCTCACGGTCATCTCGATGTAAAAAACAGAAATGGACTTCTTCTGGCTCACTACCGAAGAACAAACAAACGCGCCCTATTAATATGTTTTAAAAACGCCTTGCCCCTACCCTTTTTTCCAAAAAAATGGCATTGTTAAATATATATACATATATATAATCATCATTAAAATGCTATTGTATTTTTATAAGACCTACTTTATTACATGATCTGGGACTAATGACATCTATCTATAAGTCCAAGCATACAGTAAATTATTATAATATGAATATGTTTCTTGTTTTAATAACCGCATATGATGCTATGCATGAGTCACCATTTATCAGGACAGGAATTGGGTTTACATAGAGAGAATAATGTGCAAAAAATAGATAAGGGGCGGGACCAAACCTATAGATAACATAATAAAAAAATGATGAAATATAAAGAATACGTTGATTGTTTTTTTTTTACCTTATGCCCAGTGGCAAATATTTCACGCATGTTTAAGACAAATATAATAGAGATCAAAGGATAAAGAAAAGAGTGAAATGGTAAAAACTAAAAGAAATAGAATTATAGAAACGATCTTTGATCTGAATCCCCCCCTTCCCCTCACACACACATCATAACCATCACTGCCAATACTCGCATATATACATCTCTATACAAATATCTAAATCTGAACCCCCTCCCACATCCCCCACCCCCTAGACACAGAGGTTCTGTTAAATGTATCTTATTATATACATTTTGTACGGGTCTAGATAATAGCTAAACGTACAATTCTATAATTTTTTGGATACAAAATTACAAATCATTAGAGAGTTGTATCTAATTATATTATATACTGTGTCACAAAATAAACTTGTATACCCCCCCCCCCCCCTTTTTTTTCCCAATGCAGCATTGAAAAGTAAATCATTTAAAAGTCCTGAAGAAAAAATATGTTTTGAAATATGCCCTGCATACTTATATATTTATGAAAAGACATATAGTAATTATTGAACTACTGTGGGGCTTGAAAAAAATCTATTTAAGGGATTCGGAGATGGGAACAGTAAAAATGCTCAGCAACGAATCCTAAATGTATAATGATTTGCGGCATATGACATGAGAGCACATATTATAGATAGTCCAAAATATGAAGTCCACGCCTTATACAGTGTACGTCCTATGTCATAGGACTATTGTTGTAACATGGGTTAGTTACTGGTTCCAATTTATCCCGAATTGTCTTTATTAAAGAATTAGTTCCGGAGTATCACAGCTCAGGTCTCTTCTTGTGGGTCTCTGGTTCTGCTGTCGTTATTAGGTGATTTTTTTTTCTACAAGTAGCAAAAAAGAGGGGGCTTAGTCCAAATAACTATAACGTCCTGGAAGGCTTTTTATTCTTTTTTATGTTTGCCTTCCTGCAACGTCTCTGAGGATCAAGAAAAGTAAAAAATGATATAGCATCAGAGAACGTCATGACTACATGTATCTGAACTTAGAGGGGAAAATAGGGGGGGGGGGGGAAGAGGGGGGGCTAGCTATGTATTTTTTTTTACTTCAATATGTAGACTGTAAGGGAGTTTCTTAAGAAAGGGTTGTCATTGGATGCATTTTTGCCATGCACGCAGGCATCTGTTTCTATCCATGAACATGTTGTGTGTCAAATTATTTATTATTACTTGTCAAATTAATTATTGTTACTTGTCACTTGCATTTTTTGCTCGACCTGGCATTATTGGCATTAACAGCACGAACGCCAAATTTAGTTAGAGGGGCGATATTCTGACGCGTTTTTTAATTCTTGGTCACTCATGTTTAGAAAGAAAGGGGAGAAATCCAAACAATTACCGACCAATCACAAACGTTGTTGCAAATTTGACCTTGTGACGTCAAAAAATTACCCATAATGCAAATATTGCATATAAATTAAAAATCTACTATACCATTGAATAAAAAATATTGCATTTGAATGACAAATTATACCATTTGAATAAAAAATATTGCATTTAAATGAAAAAATATACCATTCAAATAAAAAAATATTGCATTTAAATGAAGAAATATACCAATTAAATTAAAATATTGCATATAAATGAAAAATATCAAATTTTTGCAACCAATACCATGCCATAGACTAGGTGTGCGATCATCCTTTTTTTTATTATTTTAATCATAGACCTTCTTTGTACTTTTAATGGGTTCAGTGGTCGTGGCTTTGAAATGTATGTTTAAGTCACCAATCGAATTACTTTTTTTATATAATAATTTCGATAATTTGTAGCGCAGAAGAACATGTTTGATAACGAATGAGATCGGCAACCTTAATTCGTATAAAGACCATGATTAGTAAGTTGTCACTAGTACTAATCTTAAAAAGAGTCATACATGTATCATTGTTTAACGTTTGGTACCAAATCGTCTCTTTCTGTTATTACTTTTGTTTATTTGTTAGATTTTTTTATTTTCATTGACAGTTATTGTCATGTTTGATGGCAGTTTTGACTAGTTCACTTATTATAGCAATCTTTATCATCTAACACCTTTCTAAACGGGAGATCATAAGTGCATCTTCCGAAAAAGTTTGTTATTCTTTTAAAAAAAACAGTAATCATTCAATTGGTTTTTGTTCATCAAATCCCCGTATCAGCTGACTTTTGCGACCATGGTTGGTGGATGTAGCATCGTTAAATTTCAGTGGCAAATATCTAATGCTAATCAGGAAGAGAACGTTAATCTGACATGGATATGAATATAAAACCAAGTAGATGTAGTATGGTTGCCAATGAGACAACTATCTATCAGAGACAAAATGACGAAGAAATTAGCAACTATAGGTCACCGTACGACTTTCAACAATGAGCAAAACCAATACCGCATATCAAACTCAGTAAAAAAGGATCCTAAATGACAAAGGAAAAACAATCCTACCGAGAAAAGTGATGGCCTTGTTTATGTACAAAACAACGAACTCTTCTTTGTACAAGACGACACTCTGCGCCGGTTTTATTAACGTTCTGAAAGTTCACAAACTTACAATCCACAGGAAGAAACGCCGACCTACCCGGACATATTATTCTCACTTAGCCGACCAGTATTTGCTTTTACTCCGAAAAGTCGCGTATTCACCGGAAAAGCAGCAAACAGCAATTTTCAAGTATTTGGTCCCATACTTGATGCGAGCACCCTATCGCATAATCACTAAGATAGTTACCATAATTTTTTAATAGTAGCATAAGTGTTTCATATCTACTCATAATTCCACCTTCTACAATATTAAGTATGTCGTGGTTAAGTTGTCATTGTTCTACAACGAATGAAGGTTAAATTGGACGAGGAGATACTACAATACCATGAATTAAAAATTAAAATATAATAAAATCCAGTTGCATGATTCTAAAACATTTTTTGTATAAAAAAAAGGATAAAAGGACTTACCAAAATTAATGTACAGTTAAATAGACCAAACCAACCACTAACATCCGACTCCTTAAAGAAAAAACAAATAACAACACAGACGGCCTGACTGGGCACAGGGAAAAAACTTTGGTGGGGTTAAACCAAATTTGATTTGCTTACCAACCTCCCCTTTTCCTATCTAGAACATTTGCCCTAATAGTAAACTGACACGCAATAAATAAACTGTTAACACAGAGATATGTCTCGCCTTTTATTTTGATTTTGATTACGTAAATGTTGAAATCAAAATAGCAATACTTTAACTTGCAAGTTATGCAAATTATTCATAGTCAATGAGCAATGACTGAAGGTACAGGGCCAAACAATCGCCATGGAAATGAGATGTACCAATGCTAATACAACTGCATACCAATTATCATTGACCTACCACTAATGGTTCCCCTTAAAATGACCTAACAAAATAATACCTGTAAACTAAGTTAAAGTTTCAAATCCAATAGACCCATGACTGAGAGGGCGGGGCCAAATAATCTACATGGAAATGAGATGTGCCAATGCTTTAACAACTGCATAAAAAATATCATTGACCTACTACTAGTGGTTTACCATAAACTGACCTAAACACAAACTAATACATTGTTGAAGACGCCGCCGCCGCCGCCGGAAACAGCATATCTATTTTTTTTTGCTTTTTGACTCCGTCAAGGCGAGACAAAAACATGCAGAGTACTGCTACCAAGAGATCTGAAGAAGACCACCAACTTAAACAAGGAAAACTAGACAAAGTGATGCGCCGGCACTCCACTCTGAAGTATCTGTATTATAACAAAGTCAATGTAGGACTTTCTTTGAGATATTATTGTGTCTGGGAGACAAAAAGGATGCCCCCGCAGATGCAAAGGAAAATACACAAAGTTTAGCATGGGAGCACATAGGTCTATGGTTCACTGAAGGAGGAGTTATCTGGATACGCAATGCAACTCTTATGCAAGTAAATACTCGAGAGAAAAAAAGAACAAAGTTCAACTATCTCCCAAAAGAGCAAATATTAATAAAAATCAAAACCCTGACCACATGCACACTTTCAATAAATGTACAAACAGCCAGGAAAGTGAAAACTTCCTAGCATTCAAACTGTAGGAGGAGTTATCCGGAAACGCTATGCACCACTTATGCAAGTATATACTCCAAAAATTACAAAGTTCAACTATCTCCCAAAAGAGCAAAGATTAATAAAAATCAAAACCCTGAAAATGCACACCTTCAATATATGTACAAACAGCCAGCAAAGTGAAAACTTCCTAGCATTCAAACTGTAGGAGGAGTTATCTGGAATAACTATATACCCATAATGGGACGGACAGACAGGGGTAAAACAATATGCCCCCCCCCCAAACTTTCAGTTGCGGGGGCATAAAAAGACGGCAAATAATATGGAAATCAGGTAAAACTGAGATGTTCAGCAATAAAAAATATGATACAACGCAAAATTAACCTTGATCACCGTCCATAAAATGAGGTCGAGGCCAGGTGAACCTTGCCTGACAGACATGTTTACCTTGCAAGGATCACATATACCAAATATAGTAATCCTATTACTCATAATAAGTGAGTATTTCACATAACAAAACAACTATAATTATTTTATGGTTTTTCAAGCAGCCACTGAACCATGAAAATGTGGGCAATGACAATAGACATATGACAGAAGGGCACTTCGAAACATAAGGCATCTCCATACAAGGTATGAAACATAAATAAAAAATATAAAGATTTATAGTGTACGCCGTCGCCACCACCGCCGGATAGTAATCCCCATGTCTACCATTATGGGACTTTTGTCACAGGCAAGACACAATTATTGTGTTTAGTAAAGAGCTAATAAAGAATGAATGATAAATAAGTATATTATTTGATGAACAATAGAAATATAAATATCCAAACACGACGATTAATATCAAGTTGAAGGTGTATTTTCTTTGTCTTCAAACATAGTTTTCAACAAATTTTTCTGGCTGTCGCCTGAACGAAAAAGTCTCATCATTAAGGACGGCTTGGCTGGTGAGGGCATGACTTCGTCATCTGTCATATTCAAATCTGAAATAGATACAAGATCATTAATTTTCTGAAGGTTAATTGTAGAAATGTGTCTTATATCTAAAATAATTAAAGGTGAACAGCTAGCGAAACATACTTAGTGTGGAACATTAAATAAAGAGCTTTGTCATGAGCGCATGATACGCCCGTCACCCTTTTAGCTCATCTTTATTGAAATGAATATATATGATCAACTAGAAATTCTGTGAGCACTGCTCAAATAGAACCCCCCCCCCCCTTTTTCCCCCTAAACAAATAAAGTTCCATAACTCCGCAATGTCATATCAGAAATTTATGTAAAAAGGGAGCTTATTTCAATAGATATAAACAAGTCACCCAAGTTTCATGAAAACTGCTGAAAGCGTTTTTGAGTTATTCTCCGAAAACTGGCAACGTTTTAAAGTCCCAATACTTCAAAACTTAAAATCAGAATTTTTTCAAAATTGAAAGGGAACTTATATCAATATATATATAAACAATTCATCAAAGTTTCATAAAAATTGTTCAAAGCATTTTTGAGTTATAGTCAGAAAACTGGAAAATTCCCCATAACTCAGAAACGTAATCTGAAATTTATAAAAATCGAAAGGGAGCTTACGTCAATAGATATAACCAATTCACCCAAGTTTCAGGAAAATTGGCGAAAGCGTTTTTGAGTTATTGTCCGACGTCTTGAAGACGGACAGACGGACGGAAATCTGTATACCATAATACGTCCCGTAAACGGACGTATAAAAGCACAAATATTGTTGATAACAGATATTTTAACACTTTCAAATATTTAATTTTTAATGCAACATCCCGTTGGAATTTTACCTAGAGCTAATATGACATTGTGTTAGGTATAGAAATCACCAACATGTTGCTTCAGGTGACTTTATCTTCTATTTAATTGAAATCCATGTGAGAAAATTTTGGTTTCAATACCTTGTATTTTTAAAACCTCTTTTTATAGAATAACCACAAACAACACATATGGATGTGTCAGTTTAAAATAAATCTCACCTGGAGTGTTATCTTTTTCTTTATTTTTCAAAAAATCAGGTAGGTTGTTAGGATTGAAATCACACGATTTCTTATGAGATTTTAACATTTGCAACTGCCCAATGAAATCACAGCCCGACTTTCTAAATGGACATGCTACCTGAAATAAAAAATTAGCTAACATTTTCAGATGTACAAAAATATCACAGTGAATGAGTTGACAATGAAATTTCATCAACTATGATTAACTAACACCTCGTTAAAAACACAACAGCAATCTTGATAGTGGCCTTCTATTTGTTTGTTTGTTCGATGTCAAACCATCCACTTCATCACATCACACGAAAAAAGATTCCGAAGGGATTTGAGCGGGTCTAATTAAGTGGTCTGATGGAAAGTTGTCTCTTGGCAATCTAGGTGTCTAAAGCTATGACGTTGTTTTGGTCCTGTCTCAATGTTGTTTCCCCAACGTTTGCTTTTATTCATATATATGCCTTTTTTTAAAGTGTTCAGTTGACAGTCCATAATACACTCTGTGGCCCAAACAAATAATAAGATACATGTATTCAACTTACCATTTGATCTCCTATAATATTTTCAACAATAAAGTCATGGTGCATTTGGTTAAACTGTAAGCTCTTTCTAAAACAGAAAAAAAACCAATTAGCTATAATGGCAATTATTTTTGTAATTTCAGCTGCATATAAAAAAAGAGTCGTCAATCTTTGCCATTTGACGAACAGTAAACAATCAATCAATCATAATGTAAAATATACAGCAATTCCTTCATTTTTATGATTATATCAAAATAGTGAAGGTTAAAAATCTCTCCAGGAATCCATTACGGTACTAATATGGCTGCATATTCTTACTTACCTGTCCTCTGGGCAAGTCTTGCTGTTCCTTAACCATGACGTTATGCACTGAAAAACAGCAAATAATAATAAGTAAAAGGAAAATAATAGAAAACAAACATAAAAGGAAAATATTGCCCCGAAGTCACATGTTACAGGACTATCCATCCATCTTTTAATCCTCAAAATGCTAAATAGTTGTTTTGGGCGACTTCGCAGGCAAACAGGTGAGTGATTTAGACCTATATTGAAACCATTGGTCACATAGTATATTATTTCTATTTCGACTATCTATTAATGTGTTTTATCCAGCACTTACCGCTTTGCAGAAACTATGACCACAGGGAGCTCTGTATGGCTGGTTGAAAACGTCCTGGCATATAGAACAGAATAAGTGGGAACTGACCGACTCTGGATTCAGGAAGTATCTATATATATAAAAAGGAAAAGGGCGCTCTAACATAGTTGCACATAGAATATTAAGATAAGAATCGGTCCACTGTTGAAACATGTCTAACATGTCGCTTTTTATTTTGACTATACGAGAGCACTAAAATGAGCATGCTTTCTTCTTTTAATATTTAGATAAATAATATCTGCATGCATGCACGAACTGAATAAAAGTCAAAAGTCATTTTTTTATTTTAAAGTCAATGTAGATAATTTACGAATAACATTAAAGCTCTGAAGAGCTCTTGAATCAACAGCAAAATTATATAATACAGATTTTATTCATCTGAAATTTTGGTTTCCGTTGAAAATAGATATTAATTTGAAATGATATACATCTGTCAATCAGTTTATCATCCGAAAATACGCATTTAAAATCTGATGTGTGTAGTTATTCCTTGAACACTGCATAAGTCTACAAAGGAATTCCTACCGGTAAGTGTTGTGTTGTAGCATTTTCAGTAAAAAGGAACCAGGACCCAATTCTGTACACGTTTGCTGAGCGTTAAGCAGACAACAAAATATGGACGACTTTAATTTGTTAATTGCTATCCTAAAGATGGTCTGCATTCCGACTTATGTAATGCACCAGCAACTATCGATTTTATCTGTTCGAATGAAATGGTCACAAACATCAATGAGACCCCCCACCCCCCAAAAAAAGTCAATACTACACTGAGTACAATAATCGACATGTACATTTAACAATTTGATCACGAATTTGGATACCGTTACACCAGGTTTAACTTGCATGATCAACACGACGGTGCCACATGTGGAGCAGACACTGCTTGCCCATCTGGAGTTCATGAGTTCAATCACCCCCTGTTTTAGTAAAGGATTCGTGTTGCTTAATCTTTGTTTTTCTGTGTAATGTTTAAAGTTGTTGTTGTTTGTCCTTCGTCGTTTTTGTTTTTGCCAAGGTGTTGCCTGTTTTAATTTGACGTATGATTTCCTGTTGCCTTCTTGATATCTTTTTTGCCAAGGTTTTGCCTGTTTTAATTTGACGTATGATTTCCTGTTGCCTTCTTGATATCTTTTTTGCCAAGGTTTTGCCTGTTTTAATTTGAAGTATGATTTCCGATTGCCTTCTTGATATCTTCTCTCTTTTTTTGTAACAACCCACCATTGCAAAATATGATTTGATTTTGATTTTTGGTGTTTTAACGCCATTTTTAAGCACCGCTTTTGGGCTATTTCGTGGCGGCCAGTTTTTATTGGTGGAGGAAGCCGGAGTGCCCGGAGAAAACCACCGACCTTCGATAGGAAAACTGACAATCCTAGTCAATTAAGATTGGAGTCGAGTGCACCCGCACGAGCGGGGTTCGAACTCACAACCTCAGTGTTGACTGGCTAGTGATTACAGTAGTAACTACTTAGACCACTCGGCCACCGAGGCCCCTTGCAAAATATGCAATCTTATTGTCGAGTCCAAATGAGCAGTGTTCCTATGTGCTTATTATTTTGTAAGTCAGTTATATATGCCACTGAATAGTCAAATTATTGATACATGTAGCACTTCTTTTGTTTGTGTGTGTCTTTAAATGTTTAATGGGATATTAAAAAATAATACCACAGGAATAACATATAAGGGGCCCCCATATAAAAGATACCTTTCTTCTGGTTCTTCTGGGACTTTCTGTTCTTTCCCTCTTCTTTTTGTCATTATAATTATTGTAAACAGATCCTAAGACAAACGAGAACTGGTTGGTCATGATAACATATATATGATTACAAAGTTAGTGTCATTCCAACTTTCATCCATCCAAATAATTTAGGAAAGTGCTACTGTCTTGCACATATAAATACAGGTCGGATTCAGAGGCGGGTCCAGGAGTTTGAAAATGGGGGCCCTAAAATAGGCAATTTAAAGTTATGAGTAGAACATGTAAAAAGTCTATGCATTAACCATATATGTAGCTCCATAAGGGGGGTCCGGTCCCTGCCCTATTTCCCTAAATCCACCTCTGGATTGTCTTCATTAGCAATCGATCACAATCTACTGAACGGTAAATAAATCTTTTAACAACTCATTGAAAACAAACACATTACATGATATGAAACAAAAATACAAATTTTCTAATAAAATCATTGAAAAATTAAAATACAGAAAATTTGTTGTGGAGCTGGACTGGCGACAATGGAGGAACTTTTAGACTGTGGTCCGTGTAGCTTTTGGAATCAATTAATGAATAAAAGATCATAAAACTTACGGTAGTGTTTTACTTGTTTATAAATTCAAATTTCCCACTTTAGCATTTTTATTTAGGTAAAACGCCGATGCATACAGAATGATGTCAAGGTAACTAAAGGTAAATTTATTAAGTTTAATACCGGGAAAATATGATTTTGTTTGCCGATTCAGGTATTCATTTTTATTTTTCATCTGGTAGTTAAAAACCGAATCTGATGATAACGAAGCCTTTAAATCCCATCTAAGATAGACAAAACTCAAAGACAAAGGAATCGCATTTATTGTTGTTGTTCTTCATCTCAAATTTACATATAAAGTAAGGATATTATGGCACAACGGAGCAGAATCTCGCACCTCACTGCAAGTTCAAGATAGACCATAGCCATGGTTTCAGTAAATTCAAAAACAACTGAAATCTTCTAGAAGGCTTGTTGCTACATCTCTCATATATATTTTTTTTATTTCCCAAATTACAGGGCCCATAAAGGGCATAAAATCAGTTACAATTGATTGACATATATGCTTTAGGGAGTTTGAAACTTCCCTTATTGACAAAAATATGAGGGAGCAAAACTAGATATCACTGACGAGGTTCCTGACTTGGAACAGGACGCCACGGATCATGTTGCAGGTTCAAACTAATCTGTACTAGATAGTGGTATCACAGAAATATGGTGATTGACTGTGGAAGTATGATTCGATCTGCAGTGTTATCACAAATATGGAGATTGACTGTGGAAGTATGATTCGATCTGCAGTGTTATCACAAATATGGAGATTTACTGTGGAAGAATGATTCGATCTGCAGTGTTATCACAAATATGGAGATTGACTGTGGAAGTATGATTCGATCTGCAGTGTTATCACAAATATGGAGATTGACTGTGAAAGGATTCGATCTCAGCAGCATGCAGTGTTATCACAAATACGGAGATTCACTGTAGAAGTATGATTCGATCTGCAGTGTTATCACAAATATGGAGATTGACTGTGGAAGTATGATTCGATCTGCAGTGTTATCACAAACATGGAGATTTACTGTAGAAGTATGATTCCATCTGCAGAAGTTTTATAAAAAGCGGTATTTTGCATTAAGCTTTTTGTGCTAATATTATTTATAAAGCTATAACAATTCCGTTTAAACTGAGACTACTGTGTGATAGTAGTCTCAGGTTTAACGCAAGACTGAAATGTTTTGCTTTTCTGCGGTTGAAATTCTGGGCATTGTACAAGGCTTGTCTTTTGTGTCTTCCTTTACGGTTTATGCCTTACACTGCTGTTTAGCGGTCCTACTAAAAAGCGCGCGGGAAAAGAAAAAGCGCCCGGGGAAAAGAAAAAGCGCCCGGGGAAGAAAAAAAGCACCCGGGAGAATAAAATAATAATATTTTATAAATAACAATAAATGTTTTCCTGAATAAAAAAAAAAAATCATTGCTTGTTTTGTCCTTAATATAAATGGGGATATGTACGATGCTACATCTAAAGTGTGTAGATAGTGTTGTTGCACTTTTACATTTTAGATTTCAAAATTGTAGATAAGTAAGTAAGTAAATATAAACAAGAGCATATAGAAGAATCATGAACGATATTGCCCTCGATCAAAACGTATATTAAATTTCGTTATTTAAAAAAAAACAGTGCCCGAGGTCTAATATTCGCAACTGCATGGTGAACACTTTTCAAAGTTTTGTATTTTATTAAACACACTTGAATTGACGGTGGAAGATCGTGGAAGGGTTTCAACATGCCTGCCACTAAGAAAAGAAAAGTTAAACCCACTGCTAAAGCAAATATGATATTCTGGCCTTGTGGAATATGCCGTAAAAATTGTAAAATTGCAAGCATCTGCTGCGACAATTGTGATACGTGGTACCATCTACGATGTGAAGAGCTGGAATTGGCAGACTTTGAGATGTTTCTCACAGACAAAAATGTGAATTATTCATGCAAAGGGTGTTTTTCCCATGACCAATTAATATTTATCTGTGAAATTTAAGTTGTTTTTGCATTTTTCATTTTGATATCGTTTTTGAAAAACATGTCTTTTGATGGCTAACATTTTATAAATCTTCAGCATAAACTGTGATCCATTATTATCTGTCTTTCGAAATAGTATTCATATATTATTGTTAAAATTGAAACATTCATACCTGTTTTTGTGCTTTATTACAAATGTCTATTATCTGAATTTGCAAAATACTTGTCTAAAATTAAAAAAAAATCAATGTGCATAACTTATTTCATCGACACAAAATTGTCTCATGCCAATACAATATCTATATATTTTTCCCGGGTGCCTTTTCTTTTCCCGGGCGCTTTTTCTTTTCCCCGGGCGCCTTTTCTTCACCCCAGGCGCCTTTTCTTCAACCGGGTGCTTTTTAGTAGGACCCCTGCATAGTGTTCTATAAGTACAGACACCGATAATAGAATATTGGATGGCATGATTTTTATATCAGCAGACTAAGTTCGTTGAGCTTACGTACAACTGTTTCTTATTTAATTTATTTGTCATATCTATTTCATTAAGCTTGTATAAACAAAAGAGATGTGGGGTATGCATCAACAGAGACATATATACACATATGTCTCTGACATCAACAAGAGTTAGACAGATACCAAACGACACAAAATAAATTCAAAAGACAGACAGTATTTGCGTTTATTGTTTTGTCATGATTCATACTTTATATTCGTTTGAATTGTTTCACATTTTTCATGTCTGGACCTTTTATAGCCGTCTATACGGTTTTGGTTTTGCTCATTATTGGAGGACTTACGGTGAGCTATAGTAGCTAAAATCATCATCTTCATTTGGACTCTGGTTGATAGTTGTCTCATTGGCAATCATACATCTTCTGATTCTATGTTTAACAATAGACACGTGTTTATATTATATTTTAAGCTCTTAAACCACAAACTAGTCTTAGAAAGTAGCGAGAAAATTTAACAGAATATCAACGATTTACCATCAGCTCAGAATATATATATTTACTCATTTTGGGTGTTTCAATGGCTATGTATTACAGCCGAAACAACACATTGAAATCACAAGTCAGTCCATGCTTTTGTGTTTATTCCTTCCTTGTCTAATCTCTGGTGCAACACATTGTGATATTGCTACCCTATTCTCAAAATTAACCAAAACCGGACAACAAAATCAAGGTTATACCATTCTAAATACATACAAGGCTCCGTGTTGAAGACCGTACTGTGACCTATAATGGTTTACTTTTATAAATTTTTACTTGGATGGAGAGTTGTCTCATTGGCACTCATACCACATCTTCTTATATCTATGTATATCTAAAGACAATTCATTTCTTGCGAAAAGTTTACATAAACATATTTAACCAAAACATTGATGTATAGTATTAAAGTCATACTTTGAACTTATCTGAAGAAAAGCTCAATTGTGATATCTAAAACATCTAGCTTCCTTGAGTCTGAAGTGGGGAAAAGAACACATGAACAAAGAAAAAAATATGACCCAATTCTCCTGTTAGGCATAGAACAATAACAAAAAGAAAGTAATTTTAAAGAACTTTACAGACATGAATTTGACATGGACCCTGGTTTCAACGTTTCACTTCTGTACTTCAAAATCAATATGGATGACATTCTTCACCATGTTGAAGATATACAAGTATCCTGAACCGCTTCACAGAATTTTGTGAAACTTTCTAAGAATCTTACTAGGTTGATGTTGTTTTATAACTCCTATTTCATATCTTCACCTGAATGATTTTTTTGGGTATCTTTTGGATGTCAGTCTTTACTATATAATGCATTTGTGCACCTCTTCTTTTTTCAAGAATCATTTTGTGGTCTTCTTCAGCAAAACCTATGCAGACTACAGTGCAAAATTATATCTACTGCTCCTACATCATTTATCAGCAGTTTTAGGAAATTTTCTAAGAATTTTTATCATAAATAGTGCCATTGTGCACCTCTTTTGTTGTTTTTGATCTCAACAATTTTTGGTCTCCTTTACCAAAGTATAGACTTGGCAAGGGGTGGAGTATCACTTACCTCTAATTGTTAAAAGTCAGATGATATATAATCTATATCCTGTCGACAAAGAAGAATTATCCACAGTTTGTGACTTAACCCTCCTGATCAATTAGTATAGTATGTATTCAAGTTTAAGGAAGTCTAGACTTTATACTTTTATCTGAAGTGCACAATCAGGATGTATTGATTCTTATAAAGACAAACTCCACTGATACAACAGTATGACTAAAGTAGAAATTGTCTTGAGAACAGCTCTGTTGAGAAGCCAAGCACTTTAAGACATCCATCCAGAACTCTTCATAATTTGTACAAAACATCTGTTTTGATAGACCTCATGCATTGAAAGACAAATTCTAAGTAGTATAAAAGATGATAACTCAAAACAAAATCTAAATTACTGTATTCTCTTCTGCTCTGGTCCTCAATGCTCTTCCAACTTCGTACTTTATTTGGCCTTTTTTTTTATAAATTTCTCAATTCAAGCATCACTGATGAGTCTTTTGTCCGGTGTACAAAATTTTAATCCTGGTATCTATGATGAGTTTATCTGCAGTCTAAAGTTGTTGCACTAATATCATACTAGATTGGTAGAAATCTAGCCAAATCTGGTATTATTTAAACGGTTAGGAGGTATTTTTAAATACAACTTATTTAAGCTACTCATTGAATAAATACTTCTACTTTTCTTTCGTCGTTTACTGTTAGCCAACTTGTATACAAACATAACTTTTATTGGTATAGTTTGTATTTATTGTTTGTAAGGTTTCTGGCAATGTCAAAATAGATTTCATCTTCATTATTTGACCAGGGAGGATCCCCAAACTTGAAAAGTAATTTCCTAACTCCTGTTTATGCTTATTTCACATGTTCTCACTTTATTTCCTTTCTATTTTATTTGCATAAGGCCTGAATATTGTAACTGGGGACAATAGACTATTTTCATATTACCGACTTTTCACTCTGGTTTATATAAATTTTAGCTTCTCTGTGGTTGGACATCCTGGTACTCAGTCAAGTAGAAGCAACCAAACGAAGTAAAATCAAATGCATAATCTGTGCATATTAGGGGGAAAGTTTACTGTTTTCAGATTATTTTGTTGATTATAGAAAATATGAAACAGTTAATTTTCCGCCCAAATTGTACCGATTGCAAGGTTGATTTAACTTCTTTTGGTTGCTCTTACTTGACTGAGTACCAGGATGTCCTACCACTGAGTAGGTAACCTGTCAAAAAATATTGAATCTGGAGTCAAAAGTCGGTAATATGAAAATAGTCTATTCATGCTAAGAGTCATAGTGTTATCCTCATAAAATTAATCATAAAATAATTTTTTAGCACATGTACGCAAGAGGCTTAACTCTACCATAAATGGTATTTCAGTCAAAATCCTTTATCTTCACTGGTATTAAGATATAATCATATACTGTTTACAACTGTTCACGGCACCCATGCAAGGAACAGCACACCTTCCTCTCACTTCTATAACTTGCACAGGAAAGACAAATAAAAACTTCATGCCTGTTGCTACCTCTAACAAAAGTTTGTTGAAAACCACAAAAATCCTTGATTTGACCCTCACCTCTAGACAACTTCAATCTGTAATAGGACAACCGACTGACAGGTGATGGACACATATATATGAATAATTACTTATACTGATATAATGTGATAACATATCTTTTTAGTCCAAGCTAGCTACAACACAAAGGTGACATAAAACTTTATACAATTTTATTGTTCAAGCAATTGGATCAACATATATATCAAATGACTCAATAACAGATTAATGTTCAACAAAAAATTTCTCTGTTGGAGTGGTCAGTAGAAAATGGAAATGTATCTGTATGTACAATGGCAATAAACACTCATCCTGCACTTGCTTCCTCACTGAAACGAAAAAAAAAGTTAAACACATGTTAATATTTAATCAAAGATATCTTATAGACATTGTTTTCATCTGAAATACAAAGCTATTAATTCAAAAACCTTGTTTTTAAGATAGAACAAATTAATCCACAAGATGCCATTTTCTAAAATGTTCAACAAAGCGGGTAAAAAACAAAGTGTTAACACAGAGATATGTCTCACCTGTGTGACCTACCAGTTAATTGTCGACACTTTGATTCCACAAACAGCTCACCCATGTCTCGCTTCCAAGATTTTCATTACATGGAGACAAAAAATGAGATAAAATGCAAATTGAAAAGATGCAATGTTATTTTCTTCTTTTTGTGAAATTTCAAATATTGAGTTTGACTACTATATCAATATTCACGTGATGTCAGTAGAGATTTAAGGGGAATCCTGATGTGCCCCAGCTCCCTCCAAAAGTTAAACCTAGACTGTATAAAACCTGTATTTTGTTGTAGTTGGAAAAAAAGAAAAATTTTCAGCAAAAATTGTTTTAATCTTAATTTCTGGAACCATACCTGGATGTGAAAGATGAAATAAAATCTTTAAAAAAAAAATTGTTTTATCAAAAAACATACAATCATCAGATCAACCAGTAGTAGGTTTTAATTGTACACCTATGCATAAAAAAGTTACATACCAGATGGCACCTTGTGGATTTTAATTAATCTAAATTTGACACTATTATTTGAAAAGTTTAAGACGGGGTCTGTATAAATATTTGCCGCAAAATAAACTCCGGGTATTAAATTCCTAAAGAAAATGTTCCTCCGTTTCAAAATTTGCATCAAATAATCATAATTGAAATTTAATTACAGTTTTATTAATTTCTTGTCTGAAACTTTTCAAAGTGAATAGGTTCTATATAATAAATTTCATAAAAAATCTCAGGAAATACCTTACATGGTACTTATAAAAAATTTAACCTACATTTGCTGTGCTAGTTTTAATGTCTTATATGACGAAGATAAAAGGAAACTTTAAACTTTCTCTACAAATATGCATTAAAGTAACTGAATTTGAAACTAGAACATTTTAAATTTCAATCAATCAGATTAGTATACAGTATACTTATAGGAGTCTCATCAGTGGTGCTAGAATTAACAGTTGGAAGGCCCGCTATACCTGCCACTAAGGGAAAAAATGTTGTACTGTGTTAAAAGTGTTTATTGATTTGTTTAAACTTATAATTCACATATTTTAAACAATTTGAATGGATTTTTGATGAATTTTCAATAAACTTAAATGTATTCTATGGCATCTATTGGTTTTGTTTTATAACAATCTTCCTTAAACATCAACAGATTTGAAAATAAGAAGAAAAGGGGTGGAAGAAACAATTATAATTCAGAACTTTTCTATTAAATGCTTATCTGTGTACTTTAAAATAACCCAGTTCCAGAAATATTGTATTGAAAAATAACTCTGTTTCAGAAATAATGTATTTTAAAATTGTTGAAAAAGTATTCTAGTTTGTGTATTTCAACTGATGATTAATTGTAAAATATCAAAGCAGTCACTTTTACTTGCAGATGTAAGTTTTTGCTCATCGTTAAGATCTCACATTATTTTCAAGATGTTGTTGGTTTTCTAAAACTTCTTTTTTGTTCTATTTTAAAAATCTAGCCATTGTATTTGTATACCGTTTTTTAAAAGAAAGAAAAACTTCCCTATAAGAATTTTGAAGGTACTTCCTGAGAGTTATTTAGTGTAACCTTTGTAATAAGGTGGGATTTTTTTTAGTATACCTCTATTACAATGTTCCCTTTATCATCCATAATGGTTGACGGCTTTTCTCCTGTCCAGTTCTGCTTTCTAGAAAGCTTGTTCAATCATTCAGTGGGATAAAGAAAACCATTCACATAACATGTAGTAAACAGTTCATATTTATAAAATCACACACTTCTCTCTAACATGCTGTTTGAGTATTTTGTAGGTTTCTCATTTCATTCAAGATTTTATCCGATAAATCTTTCTATTCAACAACAACCAAATATTCAAAAAGAACACGGAATGATAAATGATGGTACGTATCTGCTCCAATCAAATTTCTCAACCTTATTTAACTTGTTCTTATTGCAGATATCAATTCTTAGAGTAAATTTCTGTTTCTTGTATTGCATATTGGTCTATTTTAGAAGTACAGTATGTATACAAAAGGTATTCCCTTCCAATATTTTCATCATTATTTCACAAAAATCAATCAATATTCTCAAAATTAACATTTGGTTTTGACAATTTCACAATTGAACTCAGTACTATTTGTAAGTTTCTGATATCGTTTTAATTTTTTTTTTTTCAAATTTAAGTTTTCAATAACTTACTTATATCTTCCAGATTTGTATAAGATAATTGATAATTTTTTGAAAAGTTATACCATTTGTCCATTTACTGTAGCTCTTTAATTTTTCAAGCCAATCAAAAACGTAACCCATTCTTAAAAAAAATTGCTTATCAAGACCGAATTTGGTGGCTAAAAATCATCCATCAATTTGACCCGAATTTTGTTTATGATTATTTTTCAATAACTTTTTTTAAACATTTAAAAAATGTGTAGCATCCAAATTAAAAATACAAATCAAGAATTGGTTATTTTTCGAATCAGATTAAATTTAGCCTTGAAGAAGCAATATACACAAACAATAGTAATCTACCTCTATTGCAAAATAAAAATCTCATATTGAGGTTTTTCCTTAAGATTGAATTTGAAGACATTTGTGAAAACATTAGCTGGATTTTAATAAATTTAATTATATAAAATGAGAAGTTTGGCTTCAAAGTAACTTAAATAACTTGTTCATAAGTAATGTCTGTAACTTGGATTTGAATTTTCCTTGGAGTTTGGTATTTTTGTTATTATACTTTTTAATGTATCAAATAAAATTCCTAGAGCTAGAGCACCATTAATTTGAATGACAACAGATCATACCTTATAAGGACTACACATCAAGCTGTAGTCTCAAGGAAGAGAGATTTAAGGAAAATTGAAAGCAGTACTGTATATGAAATCACAACAAGCATACAATACTGATTTTTGTTTTAATCATTTTCCTGTTATTAAAGTCATGGCTTTTTTCTAACAATCTTCAAGCAATAGAGGAGGCTTTGAAAGGGAAATATATCATGGTAAGGTTAATAGCTTTAAACCCAAAAGAACTTGGCCACTATAATAGTATATATTTGATCAAATTTACCAACACAACACATATTTGTTTGTGTGTATTATTGGGGTGCTGTCTCGCTAACATATACTTCATATTCATGATTTTATTTTTACTGAAATATCATCTAATTTTCTAATATAAGATCTAACAGAAGTGACCTCTTCAGATGCTTATCTCCCTTAAATCATTAGTATGGTCTTTCAATCGATGAGATAAAATAATCCTTTTTTTCACACAATAGAAGGACAAAAATCATATAATTTCTCAGAGGATAATAATTGTAATATAATCCAATTTACAACAGTCTGTTAGTCACAGATTTTGTTTTACTCTAGAAAACAATATGTTGCTTATATTGTACTTGTAAATGTTTGAAGCCTCATCTATTGTTTAAATAATGTTTAAATAACTGTAAAGTGTATGTTTAGTTATTTTTGTCTATAAATCTTATTAAATATCCTTTTTTTATGTAGAAAAAACATGAACATTGGCATTGCAAACATAAACTGCACCATTTACACTCAGAGAAATTAAATCTTACCTCGTAAATAAACATTTTTTTTATGATGTTAACATTCAATATACACTGTTCAAAATGGTACACACTCTACTGAAATCAAATAAACGCTCAATATTTATTTTATGTTGAGTTCGTCATAGTAACAACAAAAGTTGCCACTCACCTCTAGTGAGCAAGGTCACACCACCCAACATCTTCTGTTTTGATTTCAGTCTTACCTCTACATTCAGCATCAAATCTGTTTTCTGACCCAAAGGGAGTTGGCTTCCCAAAATGGACAAATTCCTACTTCAAATGAATGGCGCCACTTACCTCCAACTATCCAAGGTTCTGAGAAACATACCTTTGTTTTCTTTATCTTTACTGAAGGTGAAATTTACTGGTCCAAAAAAAGATTGAACTAACCTCACTATTGCTGCCAATATCAGAGTATCAGGTAGGAATGTTGGGAATTTTAAGGATATAAAAACAAAGCTAGTCTGATACCACTCAGATGATTTTTTCATTTTCAGATTTAGACCATACTCTTCTTAAACTATCAATGCTATGACACATGCAGGGAAAAGTATTGGTTGATATGCTTAAAATTATTCAAAAATTGCTTTTGTTCTTTTGTGCTTCATGTATTTAACAGCAATGTCTCTGTTATTACTGAAAATCAGTCTGCCACTTAATCTTATTAAAACTTATAAATCTATCCTGTATTTGATCCTTAACTTTATATTGGAAAGACCACATCTTTATATAACATACAGACCCCTCCAGTGATCCACTCACCTTGTAAATCTGGAGTAATCTCCCTTGGGCAACAAATCACTTACCTCATTTTGGATCATATTTTATGTCACCTTTCCTCATTGCATGGGTTCTTCAATGTTTTCAGGATTTTCGTTGTTTTCTGGTGGCTTTATTTCTGATCTTTCTTCACTTTTCTTTCTCTCTGACTCTTCTTCTGAAAAAAGAAATTGTGAATGTTCAAAATTGAGTTAATACAATGTGTAGCCAATATTGATATAACCAGTGCACATCTTCATTATAATATTTACTAGTAAGAGTCTTTGGATTTCAAATCAAAAATAAAATGTGTATTAACCAACCTAAGAATAAAGAACTAAGAAACACTTATACTTTCCAGTCAAGTCATAACCATGGACATAGAAATCTTTCAGTGGTATATGTTTTTGTTGATTCTTGGATAAGGCAGATATAAATAAATACAAGTGTGTTTAAAGTCACATTCATAAAAAGGGTCAAAATGCATGTTTTGTTTACATGCTGCATTTTTGATCCAAGAAAGGTTGCTCAATTTTTTCACTGATGTTAAGTAACAGGAAACACATATAATTGGTACAGTTGTACAACTATAATTTACATTTGTATCAAAGACATCTTAAAATATATAAAAAAAAATCTTATAAACCTGAGTAAAAATGACTACAATCAATGTTTTATAAAAATAAGGATATGTGGTATGATTGCCAATGAGACAATTATCCACCATAGTTCAAATGAAGTGGATGTTGGAAATTATAGGCAACCATACGGCCTTCAACAGTGAAAAAAACCATACCATATAGTCATCTATAAAAGGCCCTGACATGAAAAATGTGAAATATTTTAGTCTATATTTAATTACCAGATTTGTCTTCTTTCTCTATGCTCTTTTCTTTTTCTCCATTTTTTTGCTCATTGTCCCTGCTTCTCTCTCTGCTCTTACGATCCTTTTCACTACTCCTTTCTCTACTCTTGCGATCTTTGTCTCTACTTCTATCTCTACTCTTACGATCTTTGTCTCTACTTCTTTCTCTACTTTTACGATCCTTGTCTCTACTTCTATCTCTGCTTTTATGATCTTTGTCCCTACTTCTTTCTCTACTCTTATGATCTTTATCTCTACTTCTATGATCCCTACTTCTTCTGTCTCTGTCTTTCCTATCTTTATCCCTGCTTCTATCTCTACTTCTCTTGTCTCGACTTCTATCCCGACTTCTTCTATCTTTATCACGACTTTTGTCTCGACTTCTTACGTCTCTACTTCTCCTATCTCTGTCTCTTCTTCTGGACGAGTCCTTGTCCCTTGACCTTGATCTAGTCCTTCGACGTCGGTGGTGATGAGATCGGTCACGTGATCTGCTTCTTGACTTGTGACGATGTCGACTTCTGCTCCTACTTTTTCTACGCCTGTTAAAAAGATACAAGTTTTAAAAAAAATATTAAATAAATAGATATGTCTCGCCTATCGGCATAAAATTCAGAAAAAGACAATGTGATGGATAGCAACATTGCTTATTAATTCAGTCACTGGACCATGATCTAATGGGCAGGGCCTGAAAATGGTTGACAAACTGAGATATACAGACAGCAATGTAACTTTATAGAAAAATATCATTCTTTATTGTAAGTAGTTCCTATCAATATAACTTAAGCAGAAAAACTTAACATTGAAAATTGGAAATTAATTCAAAAGTCACAGGACCATGTTCTAGGGGGCAGGACCTCAAAATAGTCGTCAAACTGGTGTGTACTGATAGTAATGCAACTTTATACAAAATATCATTGATCTATCACAAATAGTTCTTATCAAGCTGACTTAAGCAAAAAAACTGAACATTAAAAATTGCTAATTAATTCAAAGTCACTGGACCATGTCCTAGGGGTCAGGGCCTCAAAATAGTCGTCAAACTGATATGGAATGATAGCAATGAAACTTCATAACAAATAAATAAATGTGATCAAAGATTTTACAAATCTAATGCGCCATACTGTGCAATTAAAGATTACTTCTTGAAATTTTTCAATATTTGAAATTTGAAAAAAAAATAATATTTGAAGAATAATTCTTTTAAATTTCTGAAATCTGAAATGAAAAAAAAAATTGCCCCCCCCCCCCCCTCCCCCTTTTTCCAAAAAAAAAAAAATTCTTTCCCTCAAGATATGGTCATAATCTCAATTCAAATTTCCAATGGAGTTTGCAACCATAATTACCAATTTAAATACATCATAAAAGTCTTAAATAGATAATTTAAAAGCAGTGTAAGGGAGGTAATCCAACATTGTACAATTTTGTTTTTGGATTACCTCCCTTTCACTGCTTTTAAATTGTCCATTAACCAGGAAACCCTTGTTTTTTCCCCTTTTTTGCCCCTAATTACTTAACGGTCTGAGCCATAACCCCTCAAAGCCAATCCTAACCATCTCTTTGTGGTATGGTAACTTGTGGTATCATTTCAGAGAGATCCATACACTTAAACACAATTTATTGTCTGGAAGTTACAAAAATGCTTACTTTTGGCCCCTAATTCCTTAACTGTTGGTACCATAACCCCCAAAATCAGTCCCAACCTTCCTTTTGTGGTATTGAACCTTATGGTAAAATTTCATAGAGATCCATTCACTTAAACTAAAGTTATTGTGCGAAAACCAATGAGTCTTCAGACGACGACGCCAACGTCATACCAATATACGACCGCAAAATTTATAAAACTGAAAACCATTTTTACAACGGTCATGTTACTGTATCAAGAGCTCAAAGTTTAAAGAATTTCTGAAAGTTTAGTTTGGTTTAATATTTATGCCTACTTATAATTAGTCAAAAAATCCTGTATGTATTTATCCACCTCATATTTGTTAAAACAAGAGTGCACACGCTGAAATGTCTCGCCTTCTTTACTAATCATTGATATTATGTTGATAGTCCTAAATATAAAGCTTTATTACAACTGTCACATAAACTTAACATTAACCAAGTAAACTAAACATTGACCAATGAACCATGAAAATGAGGTCAAGGTCAGATGAACCATGCTAGGCAGGCATGTACAGCTAACAATTCTTCCATACAACAAATAGAGTTGACCTATTGCTTATAGTTTAAGAAAAACAGACCAAAACACAAAAACTTAACACTGAGCAATGAACCTTGAAAATGAGGTCAAGGTCAAATAAAACCTGCGTGACTGCCAAATAGATCATAAAATATTTCCATACACCAAATATAGTTGAACTATTGCATATAGTATAAGAAAAACAGACCAAAACACAAAAACTTAACTATAACCACTGAACCATGAAAATGAGGTCAAGGTCAGATGACACCTGCCAGTTGGACATGTACACCTTACAGTCCTTCCATACACCAAATATGCTAGACATTACTTATAGTATCTGAGATATGGACTTGACCACCAAAACTTAACCTTGTTCATTGATCCATGAAATGAGGTCGAGGTCAAGTGAAAACTGTCTGACGGGCATGAGGACCTTGCAAGGTACGCACATACCAAATATAATTGAACTATTGCACATAGTATTAGAAAAAAAGACCAAAACTCAAAAACTTAACTTTGACCACTGAACCATGAAAATGAGGTCAAGGTCAGATGACACCTGCCCGCTAGACATGTACACCTTACAATCATTCCATACACCAAATATAGTAGACCTATGGCATACAGTATAAGAAAAACAGACCAAAACACAAAAACTTAACTATAACCACTGAACCATGAAAATGAGGTCAAGTTCAGATGACACCTGCCAGTTGGACATGTACACCTTACAGTCCTTCCATACACTGAATATACTAGACCTATTGCTTATAGTATCTGAGATATGGACTTGACCACCAAAACTTAACCTTGTTCACTGATCCATGAAATGAGGTCGAGGTCAAGTGAAAACTGTCTGACGGGCATGAGGACCTTGCAAGGTACGCACATACCAAATATAGTTATCCTATTACTTATAATAAGAGAGAATCTAACATTACAAAAAATCTGAACTTTTTTTTCAAGTAGTCACTGAACCATGAAAATGAGGTCAAGGACATTGGACATGTGACTGACGGAAACTTCGTAACATGAGGCATCCATATACAAAGTATGAAGCATCCAGACCTTCCACCTTCTAAAATATAAAGCTTTTAAGAAGTTAGCTAACGCCGCCGCCGCCGCCGGATCACTATCCCTATGTCGAGCTTTCTGCAACAAAAGTCGCAGGCTCGACAAAAAACCCAACAAACAGTAATATTAATATGTGGTCAGTTTATCGCTGCATTTTTTCAGGGAGATATGTTCTTGTTAAAAAAATGCACAAGCAAGTAGCTTTTCTTTCTTTTTCGTTAAATTATTGATTTAATATTCAAGATCCCATAATTTATGCTTTAAAAATTCTTTTCTCAAACAATATATTTTTTTTACAAACAAGTAAGAAGTGGTAAGTATGCATATAAAATATAAGAACAAACCTGTGTCTATCTTTACTTTCTGATCTCCTCTTTCTATCTCTGTCCCTATCTTTATCCCTTTGTCTTTCCTTTTCTTTCTCTTTTTGTTTTTCTCTTTCCTTTTCTTTTTCTTTTTCCCTTTCTTGATCTCGTTTCTTACGATCTTCTCTTTCCTTTTCTCGTTCTTTTTCTCTTTCTTCCCTTTCCTTTGCCAATCTAGACTCTCTTTCTTCATCTTCCATAACTTTTTTCTTCAGTTATACAAAGTTGACACAAATTAAGTTCAAAATTAGAATGCAATTTTCCAAACACGTCTTATTTTCAATATAGCAATATACATTTACAGAACATGTAAATGTAAAGAACCCTAAGTTAAGTATTTATCATTCAAAAGGAAAATGATCTTAAAATTGAATAAAAGAGATATTGGGTATATATCAATGAAACAACAGCCTTTAAACGGAATAAAACTATACAAAATATCTTGACAATATGCTGCCTTCAATAAATGACAAGTGACTATACCGTATTTCAAGCTCTAAATCTTTCCATCTATTTTTTATGGTTTTGAACAAAACTGCATTCATTTTTCTCATTACATTATTGCTGTATTATAAACAAAAACAATGATTACCTTTTTCCAATCCTCCACATAAGATCTGATTCTAGCATAACCTGCATGCTGTTTTCCCATTAAATGTTCATCAATTCTCTGTTGTACATCTCCTACCACTAACAATGCCCCACATACGGTACAAACTTCCATTGTCTTCTCGGGTTCATTTGATGCATTGGCTAACTTACTCTTAAAACACAATTTACATTATTTGATTTGATTTTTAATGTCTAAAATTTAAGTTAGGGCTGTTCCAGAAAATACTATGCCCCCCCAGGGAGGGCACTTATTTTTAACCCCCACCACCCACAGAAATAAAAATAAGTTAGAACAACACTCCCTTTGCACTTTGGTATTTCAAATACAACCACCCACATAAAGTTAAAAAAAATTGCCTTCCCGGGGGGGGGGGGGGGGGGACATTTCTGGAACAGCCCTTAAGATAGGTACAAACAATACAACCATTGCCATATCATAACAATTTAGAAATCTTCTGTACTATTTAATTCATAGACTCAATTAAAGTTTTTATGATCTAAAACTCCTCTGAACACGAAAATGGCATATAGTTTAGTGACATCCCTTGTAACAATATATATTTCCTAAACTTTGTATCTAAACGGTATAACTCCTTCAACATTAGTATTAACTTTATCAGTAGACAAACACAAAATTAAAAATAGACATAATGTGCCCATAGATTCATGAATATCTTTTCAAATTTTTAAATATTTGGGAAGCAAAACTTTTCCCTTTTAATCATATAATTTATTTTATTTAAAAATTATGATTAATACTGTGAATATGAACTCCATTTACATACCTCCTCTAACTGCCTTCTCTCATCTCGAAGTTGCTCACAAAGTTTCATCACTCCTTGAGCTTCCTCAACCTTTCCCTCACAACCTAGTTCTTCTGCCTATAAAAGTAAGAGTTGATTTAAAACTTCATTTGGAAATCATAATACACCAACCTGCTTCTTCTTGATAAAAGTAGACCCTTTCTTTTGGAATATAACATTTGATGAAATAATGGTAATACTTCAGCCATAGTGTCAAAAAGTTTGATTTGAGTACTATCTATTGTAAAAATATCAGATTTTGATGAGCATCGTTTGTACATTAGTGATCATTTGATTGTTGAAACAATGTAATGTTAAAGAATATAAATGACACAGAGATTGTTAAAGTGACAACCTTTAAGAATATAAGTGTATTCAAAGGCTCAATAGGTTTATATGGATCTTATCTTAATCTCTGAGCTCCATAAACAACATCACCATAAAAAATTAGGATGTGATATCTTATTTGTATTAAGATTTCTACCAGTAAACTTCCAAAGCAAATCTTTGTAGCAAAAACTTTTCCTTCTTACATTTAACAACTTATTGGTACAGAAAGCTAGTGTATCTTATCCTATAACATGCATATGAACATCTCAATCATGGAATTTTAACTACAAACTTACCTGCTGAACTAAATCATTGATTTTTTCTGTCAATATATTAATTTTCTCATCTTTCATCATATTCATATTGTTACTCAACTGTAAATAGTTACAAAAGCATGATATAAGATTAAAACAATCACAAGAAGACATATTAAAATTAGTTTATACTCAACAATTATATTGGTTATTTCATATCAACTGTGTACCGGGTATGTTGAAGGTGCAAAAATAAAACATTGATTTTTGTGTATTTTGAATAAAAACTTATCATTAATCAAAAACACTTTTAGTTCAAATGGTATATATAAATATGAAGATGTGGTATGAGTGCCAATGAGACAACTCTCCATCCAAGTCACATGGTATAATAAAATGCTTCGCTGGGGCGCAGCTTGATACGACCGCAAAGGTCGAACCCTGAACAGTTGGGGCAAGTATGGACACAACATTCAAGCTTGATACAGCTCTGAATTTGGATTGTTATTAAATATTTGACACAGCATAGGTTTCTGACACAGAAAGAATGTGGTCTAAGAACTTGAATTTTTTTAATTTACCTATTATGGTCCAATGTCCAAAATCAAAATACATGGTTAGATTCAGCATATCAAAGAACCCCATTATTCAATTTTTGTTAAAATCAAACAAAGTTTAATTTTGGACCCCAACTTGGACAAACTTGAAAACTGGGCCCATAATCAAAAATCTAAACACATGTTTAGATTCAGCATATCAAAGAACCCCAAGAATTCAATTTTTGCTAAAATCAAACTAAGTTTAATTTTGGACCCTTTGGACCTTAATGTAGACCAATTTAAAAAAACGGGACTTAATATTAAAAACCTAAATACACGGTTAGATTTGGAATATCAAAGAACCCCAATAATTCAATTTTTGATGAAATCAAACAAAGTTTAATTTTGGACCCTTTTGACCTCAATATAAACCAATTTGATAGCGGGGCCCACAAATAAAAAATCTAAATTCATGGTTAGATTCAGCATATTAAAGAACCCCATATATTCAATTTTTGTTGAAATAAAAAAAAGTTTAATTTTGGACCCCAACTTGGACAAACTTGAAAACTGGGCCCATAATCAAAAATCTAAATACATGTTTAGATTCAACATATCAAAGAACCCCATATATTCAATTTTTGTTGAAATCAAACAAAGTTTAAATACTGGACCCTATCTTGGACCAACTTGAAAACTGGGCCCATAATCAAATAAAATGCTTCGCTGGGCGCAGCTTGATACGACCGCAGAGGTCGAACCCTGAACAGTTGGGGCAAGTATGGACACAACATTCAAGCTTGATACAGCTCTGAATTTGGATTGTGATTAAATATTTGACACAGCATAGGTTTCTGACACAGAAAGAATGTGGTCTAAGAACTTCAATTTTTTTAATTTACCTATTATGGTCCAATGTCCAAAATCAAAATACATGGTTAGATTCAGCATATCAAAGAACCCCATATATTCAATTTTTGTTGAAATCAAACAAAGTTTAATTTTGGACCCCAACTTGGACAAACTTGAAAACTGGTCCCATAATCAAAAATCTAAACACATGTTTAGATTCAGCATATCAAAGTACCCCAAGAATTCAAGTTTTGTTAAAATCAAACTAAGTTTAATTTTGGACCCTTTGGACCTTAATGTAGACCAATTTAAAAAACGGGACCCAAAATTAAAAATCTAAAAACAAGGTTAGATTTGGCATATCAAAGAACCCCAATAATTAAATTTTTGATGAAATCAAACAAAGTTTAATTTTGGACCCTTTTGACCACAATATGAACTAATTTGATAGCGGGCCTACAAAATAAAAAATCTAAATACATGATAAGATTCAGCATATCAAAGAACCCCATATATTCAATTTTTGTTGAAATCAAACAAAGTTTAATTTTGGACCCCAATTTGGACCAACTTGAAAACTGGGCCAAAAATCTAAAATCTAAATACATGTTTAGATTCAGCATATCAAAGAACCCCATATATTCAATTTTTGTTGAAATCAAACAAAGTTTAATTTTGGACCCCAACTTGGACCAACTTGAAAACTGGTCCCATAATCAAAAATCTAAACACATGTTTAGATTCAGCATATCAAAGAACCCCAAAAATTCAATTTTTGTTAAAATCAAACTAAGTTTAATTTTGGACCCTTTGGACCTTAATGTAGACCAATTAAAAAAACGGGACCCAAAATTAAAAATCTAAATGCACGGTTAGATTTGGCATATCAAAGAACCCCAATAATTAAATTTTTGATGAAATCAAACAAAGTTTAATTTTGGACCCTTTTGACCTCAATATGAACCAATTTGATAGCGGGCCCACAAATAAAAAATCTAAATACATGGTTAGATTCAGCATATCAAAGAACCCCATATATTCAATTTTTGTTGAAATCAAACAAAGTTTAATTTTGGACCCCAATTTGGACCAACTTGAAAACTGGGCCAAAAATCTAAAACTAAACACATGTTTAGATTCAGCATATCAAAGAACCCCATATATTCAATTTTTGTTGAAATCAAACAAAGTTTAATTTTGGACCCCAACTTGGACCAACTTGAAAACTGGGCCCATAATCAAAATTCTAAACACATGTTTAGATTCAGCATATCAAAGAACCCCAAGAATTCAATTTTTGTTAAAATCAAACTAAGTTTAATTTTGGACCCTTTGGACCTTAATGTTGACCAATTTAAAAACGGGACCCAAAATTAAAAATCTATATACACGGTTAGATTTGGCATATCAAAGAACCCCAATAATTCAATTTTTGATGAAATCAAACAAAGTTTAATTTTGGACCCTTTTGACCTCAATATGAACCAATTTGATAGCGGGTCCACAAATAAAAAATCTAAATACATGGTTAGATTCAGCATATCAAAGAACCCCAAGTATTCAATTTTTGATGAAATCAAACAAAGTTTAATTTTGGACCCTTTTGACCTCAATGTGGACAAAGTTGATAACGGGGCCCAAAAATCAAAAATCTAAATACATGGTTAGATTCAGCATATCAAAGAACCCCATATATTCAATTTTTGTTGAAATCAAACAAAGTTTAATTTTGGACCCCGATTTGGACCAACTTGAAAACTGGGCCCATAATCAAAAATCTAAATACATGTTTAGATTCAGCATATCAAAGAACCCTAAAAATTCAATTTTTGTTAAAATCAAACTAAGTTTAATTTTGGACCCTTTTGACCTTAATGTAGACCAATTTGAAAACGGAACCTAAAATTAAGAATCTAAATACACGGTTAGATTCGGCATATCAAAGAACCCCAATAATTCAATTTTTGATGAAATCAAACAAAGTTAAATTTTGGACCCTTTGGACCTCAATGTGGACCAATTTAAAAACGGGGCCCAAAATCCAAAAACTTAATACACGGTTAGATTCAGCATATTAAAGAACCCCAAGAATTCAAGAATAAAACCCCATTGAAATTGATCAAGAAATAAGCAATTTATACGAAGTATCTTCTTTTGCACAATACTGTGCAATTGAATATTTCTTGCTATTGTGCAATACTGTACAATTGACAATTTCTTGCTATTGCGCAATATTGTGCTATTGGATATTTCTTGCTATTGCGCAATACTGTGCAATTGAAGATTTCTTGCTATTGCGCAATACTGTGCAATTGAAGATTTCTTGCAATTGTGCAATACTGTGCAATTGAAAACTTCTTGCTATTGCACAATACTTATTATATAATAATTTACACATCCTGTTTGGTGTGTATCTCCTACCATATCATTATTATTTGCTTTTAAATATTAATCAGAAATAACCAACTTAAAATGGAAAATTTTAAAAGAAAAAAAAAATGAAAAAAAGAAAAAAAAAGAAAAAAAAAAAATCCCCCCCCCCCAAATTTTTTGAACCCCCTTATGATTCATCACCCCCAAACTCAATCCCAGCCTTCCCTTTGTGGTATGGTACCTTGCAGTACAATTTCAGAGAGATCCATACACTTGAACACAAGTTATTGTCTGGAAACTAGAAAAATGCTTATTTTTGGCCCCTTTTTGGCCCCCAATTCCTAAACGTTTCAGGCAATTACCCCCAAACTCAATTCCAGCTTTCCCTTTGTGATATGGAACCTTGTAGTACAATTTCAGAAATATCCAAACACTTACACACAAGTTATTGTCATGAAACTAGAAAAATGCTTGTTTTTTGCCCCTTTTTTGGCCCCTAATTTCTAAAATTTTGAGGCAATTACCCCCAAAATCAATTACAGCCTTCCCTTTGTGATATGGAACCTTGTGGTACAATGTCAGAGAGATCCATACACTTACACACAAGTTATTGTCTGGAAGTTACAAAAATGCTTATTTTTGGCCCCTTTTTGGCCCCTAATTCCTTAACTGTTGGTACCATAACCCCCAAAATCAATCCCAACCTTCCTTTCATGGTATTGAACCTTATGGTAAAATTTCATGGAGATCCATTCACTTAAACTAAAGTTAGAGTGCGAAAACCAATGTGTCTTCGGACGACGCCGGACGACGCCAACGTCATACCAATATACGACCAAAAAATTTTCAATTTTTGCGGTCGTATAAAAACTAAACACATGTTTAGATTCAGCATATCAAAGAACCCCAAGAATTCAATTTTTGTTAAAATCAAACTAAGCTTAATTTTGGACCCTTTGGACCTTAATGTAGACCAAATTAAAAAACAGGACCCAAAATTAAAAATCTAAATACACGGTTAGATTTGGAATATCAAAGAACCCCAATAATTCAATTTTAGATGAAATCAAACAAAGTTTAATTTTGGACCCTTTTGACCTCAATATGAACCAATTTGATAACGGGGTCCACAAATAAAAAATCTAAATACATGGTTAGATTCAGCATATCAAAGAACCCCATATATTCAATTTTTGTTGAAATCAAACAAAGTTTAATTTTGGACCCCAATTTGGACTAACTTGAAAACTGGGCCAAAAATCAAAAATCTAAATACATGATTAGATTCAGCATATCAAAGAACCTCATATATTCAATTTTTGCTAAAATCAAACAAAGTTTAATTTTGGACCCTTTGGACCTTAATGTAGACCAATTTGAAAACTGGACCCAAAATTAAAAATCTAAATACACTGTTAGATTCGGCATAACAAATAAATAAATGTGATCAAAGATTTTACAAATCTAATGCGCCATACTGTGCAATTAAAGATTACTTCTTGAAATTTTTCAATATTTGAAATTTGAAAAAAAAATAATATTTGAAGAATAATTCTTTTTAATTTCTGAAATCTGAAATGAGAAAAAATTGACCCCCCACAATTTCTTTTTATCCCCCCCCCCCACCTTTTTTCCCCCAAAAAATTCTTTCCCTCAAGATATAGTCATAATCTCAATTCAAATTTCCAATGGATTGGCAACCATAATTACCCATTTAAATTTACCATAGTGCTAACTTAATCTATTTTATAATAGAATTAAAAATATAGTGTCAAATCTTTCATATGGATTTTTTTGTAAAAAAAAAAGATGCAACATTTGCAGATATTTTTACTGGTCTTCCTTTATAAATATGCATTTCTTTAAACATAATTTAAAAGCAGTGTAAGGGAAGTAACTAAAACGTTGTATTTGGATTACCTCCCTTACACTGTTTTAAATTATCTTTATTGTTCATTAACCATTACTTTATACATAATTTAAAAGCAGTGTAAGGGAGATAATTTCAATGATGTATTTGATTTATCTCCCTTACACTGCTTTAAATTATGTTTTGTACTAAAGTATTTGTCCATTAACCAGGACAACCTTGTTTTTCCCCCTTTTTTGCCCCTAATTCCTAAACGGTTTGAGCCATAACCCCCCAAAGCAAATCCTTACCATCCCTTTGTGGTATGGAAACTTGTAGTATAATTTCAGAGAGATCCATACACCGTTGCACAGTTATTGTCTGGAAACTAGAAAATGCTTATTTTTTGCCCCTTTTTGGTCCCTAATTCCTTAACTGTTGGTACCATAACCCTTAAAATCAATCCCAACCTTCCTTTTGTGGTATTTAACCTTATGGTCAAATTTCAAAAAGATCCATTCACTTAAACTAAAGTTAGAGTGCGAAAACCAATGTGTATTCGGACGACGACGCCGGACGACGACGACGCCGGAGCCAACGTCATACCAATATACGACCACAAAATTTTTTTGCGGTCGTATAAAAAGTTAACAATTATAGGTCAAAGTACGACCTTCTGCACAGAGCCTTGGCTCACACCAAACAGCAAGCTAAAAAGGGCCCCATAATGACTAGTGTAAAACAATTCAAACAGGAAAACCAACGGTCTAATCTATATGAAAAACGAGAAACAAGAAACACCTATGAACCACACCAACAACATCCACTGAACAACAGGCTCCTGACTTAGGACAGGTGCATATAAATGCAGCGGGTTTAATATAGACTTGTTATGTTTAAACATGTTTTTTTCTATTATGCTAAGAGTAGACTATTTTTATATGATACTGATTGAGGTACATCCTCTTACTAAAAGTCTATAAAAACAGTAAAAATTCAAAGAATCCTTAAAATTAATTATTTTTCAATACATGCTGAAAATCAAATAGTTTCATTCATCATGATAAATTAATTTTTTTGTGTTAATGTTTGCCTTTTACATGTTTCCAACTTAGAATATATGACTAAACCGTAAAAACCTTTTTTTCAGAATGACCATATGAATTTTAAGATGATGAAATCATTAGATAAATGATGCAAAATATTTTGCTGTGTTTTCCATATTTTTTTTATGAAGGATGGGGATTGACTTAAACAATAGTGGTCATTGATTTTGAAGAATAGAGCTTATAAATAGTATTAGGAATTTACAATTTTAAAGTATTGGCCCTAAATTACTGATGTAGGCCCCACTATGCATAAACCTTGTTCAGTCAACAGAGCTTAATGTTCTCTTCTGTTCAACTATGAACTAACAAATTAACATATTATTAATACTGATTTTACTTACACTGCCCTGTTGATTACTCAGAGCAAGACGCTGATGGCCTCGCTTTATTCTTCTTTCACAATCTGACACCAAACTTTGTAAATAACGGTGAAAATCTTCTTCATAACCAACTTTACCAAATCTTGCACTCTTTGTATATCTGTAAATAAAAAAAACAAAGATATATGGAATGTTAACAAGAAAGTTTTCAAAGATATTTCTTAAACAATTTTTTTTATGGTATAGACTTTTTCACAAATGATGAACTTAGCATGTAATGACTCATGAGGCCCTACAACCAACATCAATTGATTGTTATTAATTATTTTTTTCACGTTTGCTTAAAGAAATGACGGGCGCTGCAAAATCAGGGTATCCAAATGCATTCCAAGTTTTTGATTGATTGATTGATTGGTGTTTAACGCCACTTTCAGCACTACTGTGCTATTTCGTGGCGTCAGTGTTTATTGGTTGAGGAAGCCAGAGTGTTCCGAAAAAACCATACCGTATAGTCAGCTATATGGTATGGAAAACTGACAATCCTAATAAATTAAGATTGGAGTCGAGTGCACCTGAACAGTATGGGATTTGAACTCACAACCTGAGTGTTGACAGGCTAGTGATACAGTAGTTGGACTACTTAGACCACTAGGCCACCATCCCCCAGTATTTGCCCAGACTTCATAATGACAAATTACTATTTAACTGATCTCAGCATGACCCTTTACATTTGAAAATAAATAGGTAAATCTCCTCTGACATGAGTATAAAGATATGAAAATATGATAAAGTTGTATCCAAACTCACAACTTTAGATGAAGTACTTAGATCACTCCACCATCGAGGCCCTTATATGGAAACTAGGCCGATATAAATTCCATGGAATATAACAGACCATAAACCCACAGGCATTTTTTCAACTAATGTAAAAACAAACTTGTATCATTATAAATTGGGTTATTATTTTTTTCTTTTCAATTGTTTTACATTTTTCATGTTGGGGCCTATTACAGCTGACTATACGGTATGGGTTTTTTCATAGTTGAAGGCGTTAATGTGACCTATAATTGCTTATATTCTGGTGGATAGTCTTTTAGTTGTCTCATCGGCAATCATAATTTCTATATTTAGTGAATTTAGTCAGGACTCAAAACAAGGGATTAGTATTAACACAATAACTGACTGTCAAGTTTAGAAAAATATGCGTGCAATAAAACAATTCAATTTTTGATACTGGTTGATAAAATTTCAAGAAAATTGAAAATTAAATTGCAATTAAAGAGCCAAATAGTTTTGAATGTGAGAAACAAAAATTACTGTTAAATGTGGACCAGAATGTGTAATATTCTTCAGACCTTGTTCAATTCAGGAAACTGAATTTAGAATGACCACTAAGACATAAAGCAGGGACTGGGTTTTCAATAAGTTTGAAGTGATTTGGCTGTTTACTAATTTGAAGCTGATAGGAGACAGGTGGAATCCAGGGGGCTTGCCCCCCGAAAAGTTTTGTTGACTTACATTGAAAATGGTGCACTTTGAGGCATTTTCAGACTGTTTACAAGTGCATAATAAATTGCTTCGCCGAGCGCAGCTGGGTTGGACCACAGAGGTCCAACCCTGAACAGTTGGGGCAAAAATGGACACAATATTCATGCTTGATACAGGTCTGAATTAGGATTGAAATTAAATGTTTGACACATGATAGGTTTCTGACACAGAATAACTGTAGTCAAAGAACTTAGAATTGGTTATATGATTTGAATTTATATTCAATGTTTTGCTTTTGTGCAATTCACTATGCTGTTGCGAATTGCTCCCCCCCCCCCCCAAAATTTAAACCCCCCTTTTTTTTGCTTTTGTGCAATTCACTATGCTGTTGCGAATTGCCCCCCCCCCCCCCCCCCCCCCCCCAAAAAACAAAAAAATTGCACCCCCCCTTTTTTTTTTGGCAACAAATTATTTTTTTCACCAAACCCCATTTTTTTTAACCAAAAAAAAATAATATTTAAAGAAATTTTCCTTATAATTTCTGAAATCTGTGATGAGAAAAAAAAATTGTTCCCCCCCCAATTTTTTTTCACCTCCCCTCCCCCTCCCCTTTTTCCAAATAAGAAATCTTTCCCTCAAGATATGGTCATTATCTCAATTCAAATTTCCAATGGAGTTTGCAACCATAATTACAATAATAATAAAATAGAAAATGACATACATAATCATGTCTAAAAATAATTTATCTATAATCAGCATTTTTATTAGTAACTTTTAAAAATAAATTGACAGCTAATCACCTGAAGACAATACAAAATTTCTTTATACATAATTTTAAAGCAGTGTAAGGGAGGTAATCCAAATTTAACATTGTACTTAAAAGTGATTGTCCATTAACAACGAAACCCTTGTTTTTTTCCCCCCTTTTTTGTCCCTAATTCCTGAACGGTTTGAGCCATTACCCCCAAAAGCCAATCCTAACCATCCCTTTGTGGTATGGAAACTTGTACAATTTCAGAGAGATCCATACACCGTTCCACAAGTTATTGTCTGAAAACTAGAAAATTGCTTATTTGGGCCCCTTTTTTTGGCCCCTAATTCCTAAACTGTTAGGACCAAGGTTTTCCTTTTGAGGTTATAAACCTTGTGTTTAAATTTCATAGATTTCTATTTACTAATACTAAAGTTATTGTCCGGAAACCAAGTGTCTTCGGACAACGACGATGTGATACGAATATACGACCACAAAATTTTTTTGCGGTCGTATAAAAAATGAGGTTTCAGGGGAATAATATCTTTTTTTTAGCTTTTTTTTTAGTTAGGTTAATCTTATTAGTAGATTGTAGGGTTTACATCCACAATTCCAACTTGTTAACTTATTGATAACTTATTGAAATAAAATGCTCTGCTGGGTGCAGCTTGATACGACCGCAGAGGTCGAACCCTGAACAGTTGGAGCAAGTATGGACACAACATTCAAGCACTGAATTTGGATTGTGATTAAATATTTGACACAGAATGAATGTGGTCTAAGAACTTAAAAAATTTTAATTTACCTATTCAAACCATATCATTATTATTTGCTTTTATATATAAATCAAAAATAACCAATTTAAAATGGAAAATTTTAAAGAAAAAAAAAGGAAAAAAAAATCCCTCCCCAAATTTTTTGAACCCCCTTATGATTTATCACCCCCAAGTTCAATCCCAGCCTTCCCTTTGTGGTATGGAACCTTACAGTACAATTTCAGAGAGATCCATACACTTGGACACAAGTTATTGTCTGGAAACTACAAAATGCGTTTTTTGGCCCCTTTTTGGCCCCAAATTCCTAAACATTGAGAGCAATTACCCCCAAACTCAAACCCAGCTTTCCCTTTGTGATATGGAACCTTGTAGTACAATTTCATAAAGATCCATACACTTACACACAAGTTATTGTCCTAAAACTAGAAAAATGCTTGTTTTTTGCACCTTTTTGGCCCCGTATTCCTAAAATTTAGAGGCAATCACCCCCAAAATCAACCCCAGCCTTCCCTTTGTAGTATGGTACCTTGCAGTACAATTTCAGAGAGATCCATACACTTGAACACAAGTTATTGTCTGGAAACTAGAAAAATTCTTGTTTTTTTACCCCTTTTTGGCCCAAAATTCCTAAATGTTTAGGGCAATTACCCCCAAACTCAAACCCAGCTTTCCCTTTGTGATATGGAACCTTGTAGTACAATTTCATAAAGATCCATACACTTACACACAAGTAATTGTCCTGAAACTGGAAAAATGCTTGTTTTTTTTTCCCTTTTTGGCCCCTAATTCCTAAAATTTACAGGCAATTACCCCCAACATCAATCCCAGCCTTCCCCTTGTAGTATGGTACCTTGCAGTACACTTTCAGAGAGATCCATACACTTGAACACAAGTTATTGTCTGGAAACTAGAAAAATGCTTATTTTTGGCCCCTTTTTCCTAAATGTTTTGGGCAATTATCCTCAAACTCAATTCCAGCTTTCCCTTTGTGATATGGAACCTTGAAGTACAATTTCAGAAAGATCCATAGACTTACACACAAGTAATTGTCATGAAACTAGAAAAATGCTTGTTTTTTGCCCCTTTTTTGGCCCCTAATTCCTAAAATTTTGAGGCAATTACCCCCAAAATCAATCCAAGCATTCCCTTTGTGATATGGAACCTTGTGGTACAATGTCAGATAGATCCATACACTAACACACAAGTTATGTCTGGAAGTTACAAAAATGCTTATTTTTGGCCCCTAATTCCTTAACTCCTGGTACCATAACCCCCAAAATCAATCCCAACCTTCCTTTTATGGTATTGAACCTTATGGTAAAATTTCATAGAGATCCATTAACTTAAACTAAAGTTAGAGTGCGAAAACCAATGTGTTTTCGGACGACGATGACGACGACAACGTCATACCAATATACGACCACAAAATTTTTTTGTGGTCGTATAAAAAATAACATGCACAAAAACAAAATTGCAGGCCATCCTATATTAAATTTCTGTGATTTTTTTTTATAAACGAAATTTTCAAAGTAGGTGGGACTATAAAACTATAACAGAAACTGGAAACAGGATAAACAATACATGTACATCGACCTGTTGTTACACAGACATATTGTGTGTTCTAGTTGAGCTCCGCGTCAATAATTATATATACTTGACAACCATATCAGCTGGCGTTGACTGGATTCGAAAATTATTATGATCATTATTAAAGAAATGTCAGTTACAACAACTATCTATATTCATGCGTAAATTGCATAATATGTGATTCTGTTTTGACCTGCTTCTTTTTTCTTTTGGTGGGCTGTAAAGAAATCAAGCAATGTCAATTTTGTTTTTGCTTGTTTACTTGTCATCTTGGATCAACATGTGTTTTCTCTCTGTAACAAAAGGGCGCTTTACTAATATGTAGAATTATCCTTTTTCAAAGCGCACAAAGGATCGCATTAAAAATAACTACGGATGTCTCATTCCTTATCCATCTTCGTAAAGTTGTCAAGAATCTTTAAATATATTCTAACACGGACCTCGACGAGAACACCTAAACAAAGCGCAAGCAAAGACAATAGTCAATTCAATCGATAACAACTTGTTTTACGCAACAATAGCACAGTTTTATTTATTCTATTTTTATTTGGAAACACAATTTGAACCGGCGATTTCCTCAATTTGAAACGGGGAAATTTCGCCTGGTGCCGGTGCTTATTGAAAACCCTGAAAATTTATTTTTCTCATCTTAGTACTTTTCTTAATCAGCATAGGGAGAACACTGATCATGTTCTATCAATGTCCTGTATTCTAAATTAAAATTTACTTACTCTTTTTTGAGATGATCATCATGGAGTTTTTCACATGGACCTGAAATATGTACAACAGAAAAATAATCTTTTAAACCTAACTACAAAATTCTTCCGTACAGGCCAAAGGATGTTCAAAACCACTTATCAAATTTAATGTTTCCAATAAAACCGTTTTTTATATATCAATATCAAAAATAAAATCCAATTTTCAGCAAAAAATAAATGGTATTCAGTATCTTATGATTTAACAAGAGTGCACACGCTGAAATGTCTCGCCTTCTTTATTAACCATTGATATTATGTTGATAGTTCTAAATATAAAGCTTTACTTCAACTATCACATAAACTTAACATGATCCAAGAAAATGAGGTCAAGGTCATATAAACCAAATAAGAAATACATGTACACCTTACAATCATTCAATACACTAAATATAGTTGACCTATTGCTTATAGTTTCTAAGATACAGACTTAACCAAGAAAACTAAACATTGACTAATGAACCATGAAAATGAGGTCAAGGTCAGATGAACCATGCCAGGCAGACATATACAGCTTGCAATCCTTCCATACAACAAATATAGTTGACCTATTGCTTATAGTAATAGAAAAACAGACCAAAACACAAAACCTTAACACTGAGCTATGAACCGTGAAAATGAGGTCAAGGTCAAATAAAACTGGCCAGACTGACATGTACATCATAAAATATTTCCATACACCAAATATAGTTGACCTATTGCATATAGTATTAGAAAAAAAGACCAAAACTAAAAAATTTAACATTGACCACTGAACCATGAAAATGAGGTCAAGGTCAGAAGACACCTGCCAGCTAGACATGTACACCTTACAATCATTCCATACACCAAATATAGTAGACCTATTGCATACAGTATAAGAAAAAAAGACCAAAACACAAAAACTTAACTATAACCATTGAACCATGAAAATGAGGTCAAGGTCAGAGGACACCTGCCAGTTGGACATGTACACCTTACAGTCCTTCCATACACCGAATATGCTAGACCTATTGCTCCTAGTATCTTAGATATGGACTTGACCACCAAAACTTTACCTTGTTCACTGATCCATGAAATGAGGTCGAGGTCAAGTGAAAACTGTCTGACGGGCATGAGGACCTTGCAAGGTACGCACATACCAAATATAGTTATTCTATTACTGATTATAAATATAGTTATTCTATTACTGATTATAAGAGAGAAATTAACATTACAAAAAATCTTAACTTTTTTTTCAAGTAGTCACTGAACCATGAAAATGAGGTCATGGACAATGGACATGTGACAGACGGAAACTTCATAACATAAGGCAGCTATATACAAAGTATGAAGCCGCCGGATCACTATCCCTTTGTCGAGCTTTCTGCGACAAAAGTCGCAGGCTCGACAAAAATGAAGAAATGAAATCTACATTCTAATAGAAAATAACATAAATTTCAAAATGAGTTGTTTCTAATCCCAGTCTGCACCACTTAAAAATGGGAGCACATTTAAGATGTCTTTAAAAGACACATCTCCAACTTAACCAACCTGCAAGAGTCAGAAAGCTCTTAATTAAATATATGTTTTGCAACACAAATATCATGAATTTTAAAAATTAAGAAAAGTTTTGACTGATGTAGTTCTTTTTTATGTTTGGCCAATGCACACATTTAATGGTTGATTTTACTGGAACTGCAGTCTGAATTTAATAACATAACATCAGTGCCAATTATCTCACCTAAGTCTGCTCTTGTGTTAACAAACAGTTCATGTGGACAAAAACCACACAGATAATATTTACAAACCTGAAAAATAAAATATAATTTTTTTTTCATTTATTGACTAACTAAACTTCTATTTTTTTATTAACAAATTAACAAGATATCAGACTTAGAATTTGCAGAGAAAGCATTTTTGAAACTGTTCTAAACATTCTCCCCAAGTAAGTCAACCCCCATCCGGTCTCTCACTCAACTTGAATGCTGGAAAATCAATGAGACTTGAAAATTGGCATTTGCTGCCTCTCCACCAAGCATGCTGCATTCCAGAGTAAGAGCAAGGACTATTCCGCTTATCAGAATAATTTGTTGTGGTAAGGTAACATGTCTTCATGCAGACTATTACATTGTAAACTAGTTAGTAATACATGTAGTACAAAACAGGGCTCATATTCATAACTCATTAACATGATCTAGTCCAGATATAAATGTAAATTTGCCACTGGATGTTATACACCAATCCATCCATCTTCCAATGTCAGATTGATTAAAAGTTAAACAAACTTAAAAAAAAGATACCTGTATCCTGTATCCATCATTGCAAATAATGCAAAACACACAAAACAATGGTTACTTATTCGAGCTTAAGTCAATCCTTCCAGTTATGCCATTGACTGGACATAACCCAGTATAATCAGCAAGTTGATAAGGGTCATTATCAAATCAAATACAGTAAACATTGAATTATAGTCTGAAAAATCACCATCATCCGCTTTGTCGGACATCATAGGCATTTATGGGGGAATAGGAAGGCTTTGGACTACGATGTAGTCCGGTAAATCCGCCCACATAAGGCTTTGATTATATGTATTTCTGCTTAATTAAATACAAATTGTATCAAATTTAATTTAAATCGATTCACTGACAAATCAACTTTGAGTAGTTTATCTCATTTCCCCAAAAATATCTGAAATAAATTTTAAAAATCAATAAAACAAGTGGGTCATCCGTGTTTTTATCGGAAATGTGGTTATACGGTAAATCCGCCCATGCGCAGTAAATATGTATGGAGGGTCAGTTTATCACAAATTTATGAAAGGAAGAGGTGATCTATTTATTAATAGACAACTTATAAACTGTATTATGTATATCACTAGATATTTTTGATATAAAGGATTTAAAATTTGACATGCAGTGGTGATAAGTACAATTCCTATGAATAAAATAGCAGACGAAATATTAACGGAAGTGACAATTACGGAAGTAAATGGGAGTGGGCGGGTTTACCGGACGGGCGGAAATTACTGGACACTACTGTAGGTCTCAAAGGGAAATATATGTTGTCATTTACATGAATGTGTGCACAATGACATCTATTATTGTGAAATACAAAATTTTATTTATTTATCAGTGAAAATTTATAGCAGATTACTGATTTGTGGTATGATACCCTTTGGTGGGAACAAGGATTACAAATCCTTGGTGGGAATAACTCATTTATAAATCAGGATCTTTCCCAAATTCCGTTTTAAATACATGTATCATTGTAAACTAAAATATATCTTAGACAAATCGTTAACAATGCAATCTTAGTTCTGGATGACTATCAACGTTGCACCTTTCTGTGTGATAATGGCACCTTTTATAAAACATTTTTAGGCAAAGCTTGTGGCTATGCAACATGGATATGGTCACGTGACACATAACTAATCTAAGAGACGCCAGTTTGATCAGTGTGTACAATCAGTATAGCTTTTGTATATATTTACTTCTGCATCGTCCCATCGTATATCATTTTTTCTATCTGAAGGGGCTAGATTTCTATCCCTTCCCATTAATTCGTCGAGCATCGAGGCGAGAACGTTCGCAGCCATGATGCTCAAAAAGGCGATAGTAAAACATAAATTGTGTTCGGCTAAAACCCTATGTATCCGGTTTTGTTATAGTGTCTGATGTTCTATTATTTCATAGAACCTTCGATATAATCAGAGACATACTAGTATAATAATTGTATTATATGTCTCTCAGTCTGATATAATCTAAGGATAAGTTACTATTGATCCATATTTGTCCTGAGACTTTACAAAACAATGTCATTAAACACAATTCTGATTTCAATTTCCGACTATCTGTGACTATGGAAAAAGCCAGGAAGGCATACTATAAAATAAAGAAAACTATAGGTCTCAACAACCCATGTAGACTTCTTGAAAAATTGTTTGATTGTTTAGTTACTCCCATTCTTACATATTGTAGTGAAATTTGGGGGGTGGATTCACATTTTAAAGACTCTGATCCCTTCGAAAAACTTCATGTTAAATTTATCAAAGATATATTAGGGGTTCACTGTAAGGCATCTAATGATGGATGTCGAGCCGAACTTAATAGAATTCCCTTGAAAAATAAAATATTATATTCAATATTCAACTACCTGAACCATATAGTTTCTTCGGAAAATTCTTTGGCATATGATATATTCACTAAATCTGTAGATTCAAACCCTTGGGTCATAAAGGTCAAGAGTCTTTTGAATGGACTTGGAATGTCTTATATCATCAATAACTTTAATTATGTTAAAGGTAATTTAAATTCCATTAAACAAAGAATTAATGACCAATGTTTGCAAGTTAAAAATGCAAATATATTTGAATCAAAAAAGTTAGACTTTTTCAAGAGTGTATACATAATGGGCAGAAGACCACCCTATGTTGATATATTGAAAAACAGAAGTGACAGAGCTGCAATATGTAAGATCCGTATAAGCGCTCATATACTGATGATTGAAAGAGGGAGACATCTAAATATTCCCAGAAATGAAAGATACTGCTCTGTATGTAATTCTGGTCAAATTGAAAATGAAAAACATTTTCTTTTACATTGTGAAAAATACTCAACTAAAAGGGCCATATTTTACCAAAAAGTTTCAAACATAATCGTTGATCCTACAAAATTTCAAAAAAATGAAAATAATGTAATCTTTTTATTAAATAATAATTCATACACAATCCTAAAATTGACTTCCTCTTTCATTTCAGACAGTCTGAACCTGCGTAAAGCAGAACAAACTCTATAAAATTGTCATTATGTCTAATTCATAATCATTGTTTATAATATTACATATTAATATAGTCATTATTTGCAATACTTATTATGTATGATCAACTATGTAATTAATATACCATGAGCCTTAACCATTTATTGTTGATGAGTTTGTGCTAATAAATATTTGTATTTATTTGTGACAAAAAATCAAAAGACAAAAAATTTAAAAAAGAAGAAATATGTCATTCTGTCAATAATACAATTACTCAATGCAAAAATCCGTTATAATATCAAAAGGCGGGGGAGGGAAGAAGAAATGTGTCAAATCTGTCAAGAATACAATTACTCACTGTGTATCTTCTACAGTGTAAATTTATGTGGTAAGCAGTATATATCGGTTGGTGAGTCAGAACAGTCATTTCTCAAACGTATGAACCGTCGGACCATCCTCTCAGTCATCATTGGAGATCCCCTGACACTAAGTCAGATTTCAATCGACTGACTATTACCACCATTGGCAACAACATTGCTTGGTCTAGGGAGAAGAGAATCCGGGAAAGATTTTGGAAAAGTTTGAAATTAAAAACGTTGGCACCAATTAATATGAAATCAATGTAAAGGTGTAGTTCAGTGCTCACCACATCAGCAATGCGGGTGTGTTAGTTTCATTTTGGGGGCATACATACACAGAATCCGTTGTAACTACACTTATTTTGCGCGAAATTTAAGACTTTGGAATTATAAATGTGTGAATCGGGTTTTTATTTATATAAGATTGTTTTAGGAAAATCCGCGTAGATTGATAAGATCCATGATGTTATATCAAACTGATAAAAGATATCTGTCATCCGAAATATTTATTGATACTCGTATTTTCTTTTTCCTTTCGGTTTTTATTTTGGTGTTGGTGTTACGGGGAACCGAATGGGACTTGAACTTTTTGTAATCAAAATCAATTTTGTGTACACAAAATTCAATTCTGTCATAACAAAATTATTTTTGTCTTACAAAACTATGTGATACAAACTTGTTTTATGAAAACTTCAATTCTGTAATGACTAAATTCTTTTTGTAGACAAAATTCTTTTTTGTAGACAAAATTCATTTTTGTAGACAAAATTCATTTTTGTAGACAAAAAATCATTTTTGTAGACAAAAATTCATTTTTTGTAGACAAAATTCATTTTTGTCATGAAAAATTGGGGATGTTGTCAAATAGGTATGCAAATATAAACTTATTTCATACAAAATTGACTTTTGTTACCCTGATATGGAAATTAAAACACATTAGTCAATTTTGTCTCACAAAATTGAATTTGTACGCAATTAACATGTTGATTAAATCAGCATCCTGTGATTTTGTAATTAATATTATTTTTGTGTAGACAAAATTGAGTTTTGTTAGACAGAAGTGAAAATTTAACACAAAATTGACTTTAGTGACACAAAATTGACTTTTGTTAAATTTTCACTTCTGTTTAACAAAACTCAATTTTGTCTACACAAATGTTGTTCTCGTATTGGACTGGATATACCATACACTATACTGTATAGTACACTATCACATTTTTGAGTGACTGAAGGACAAAAATGCCAGTTGATAAAGGTTTCTATATCTAGTTAAATATATTCTGATATGCAGTCGAAAAATAAGAATGAGGATAAGGTTGGATATCTGTTGCGTTGTTGTTTTACTCCAAGCGACATTAGCTAATAATTCGACAAAATACGATTTGATTTTTCCACCAAACATTTATAAAAGCGGAATTTCGTCAAAAACGCTGAAAACGTCACTAGTGCATTATTGACTTGCAAGTCAATAATTCAATCCTTTGAATATGTATTCATGCAACCTTTAAATTTGACCTTTAGCAGAGATGGGTATGCATGTGTTCCTCGTGTGGCTCATTCATTAAAAAGAATGTCAACATTGACAAGTGAAACAAGGGAGCCACCAGGAATAACCATTTCATTTACTTATCAGGCCCACAAAATTCATATACAGGTAAAACGATGATTTACACTTCTAATGCATTGTATGTTTTAGAAAATTTAAAACTTAACTGGATTTTGCAGTGCACTTTTTTTCATTCCTCCAGAAGGTGCCAAAATAAACTAAGTTGGGAAAGAGGTTTGAGAACTTCGCCATAATATATTTGAATTTTATTCATCTAGAGCATGCTTTTCCTTAAAACTTTTCCAGATGCACAGGTTTGTCTGTACTCAGAGTAAATTTTGAGGTGAAAATGCAGCCATTTTAGACGAAGGGTCCACATGAACCTTAATGCACAGTTAGCGGGAATTCTACGGATAAAAAGTTATCACCTTTGTTATCAATATTTGGCTCGTTCTCCATGAGGACGCTAACTATTGGAAATAAGTTAGCAAGAAAGCCATAGATTCTGGTAAAAAGTAGAAATGAACATGATAAAAACAAAAACAGAATTACCATATGTTATCAGTTTCCTCTCATAAAATATAGAAACTACGAGAAGATTGGTTTAAATTATTGATTTTATGCGATGTACTAACCTCAATTTCTTTTTCTACTTGCTGTGCTTACGTCACAGAAACGCACCTATACTCTGTATATGATGAAGCTAGACCAAAGAAGTTTTATTATAAGATTGGTTTAGAATGTTGCTATTATGCAAATGTGTAGATAAAAGTTAAATCACAGAGAAAAAATAATTGTCAATTTTGATGTTTTCATGCAGATGAGAATACGATACAGCTTTGATCAGCTATATCCTTTAGTCTTGTGCCCTTTATCCTACCCTTTCCCGCACTTTCTTTTCTTCATCACATTTTCCCTTTTAGCATCCGTATTATTTTTTATACGCCTGTCTTAGACCGTGTCGTATTAATTACGGGATACGATAGTCCGTCCGTTCGTATCATTGTCACTTCGTTCGATAACTCAAATTTGCTTCAACCAATTCTCATGAAATCTTAACAGAACGGTAGGATTTGCGAAAGAAGGCTCCCCTTCCGGCGATTTTGACGATTTCAAATTTGCCCACGATCATTCCATGCATGGTTATAGGACTTTATTGATGGAAAATTTGACAATACCTCAAATGTTGTACAATAACTCAACTTTGCTCTAAAACATTTGCCTGAAATTTTAACTCAGGACTACAATAATAGAAGCAAGGACGTATATTAGTTATAAATTCTTGACAGAAGTAACGGCTCCTTTTCAATTTTCAAAATTTACTTTTGTCATTACAGAGAGAGTAATGGGACTTTATTTATGAAAAATCGAACATTCTTCACATATCTCGCACTTACTCAAGTCAGGTTTCAATATATATATATTCATGTATTGGTCTCAGTTCCAATGTGATGAATTGATTTCCTCAACATTACACTGTTGTTGAGATTGATTGATTCACTTTTGAATTTGAAAACTTTTTTGGTTGTCGTTCCAGAGTGACGGGACTTTATAACTGTCAAATATTGAAGAAATTTTTCACAAGTTGTACCACAATAGAGTATGGTTGGATTGATTTACTGGAAACTTAACATACGCATTGGAACTGTTGAAAATATGATAAATTTGATTTCAAGTTAATACCATAATTATGGGACGTATTAACAGTCCTATTTAAGGTAGATAGGGTGTCTTCCTCCATCTTGGATTTTGAAATACCAGAAAACAATTGGTCTAGATCTATAATAAAAGGTGCAAATTCTGAGAGTAGTAGGTAATTCATGTGTAAGAATTTTCATTTCAATATAGAAAATGACATACTTTATCATATTTATGGTTGTATTTTACAAAAAAACAGAATACTTTTGTTTGATTCTATATTTTCCAACTTTGCCACATAAGGGGAGGCAACTCAAATGTAAGGGCAGATAATTCACATAAAGTTACTTTTACAATAGAATGTGTTAGGAATTTACCTATTTTATTATGTAGCAAGAAAACGGGTCCGGTGACTCCATTTTTTCTTTTTCTTATCTGAAAGCATACTGTTGGAGCTATCTTCTCATATCTTATCTCAAAATTCTATGGTGTAGTTTTCATTTTATGGCTGAAAATTGGGTTTTCCATGCATAATCTTTACAAAATCTGTCAATTTTGCACAACCTGTAGCCTGAAAATAAAGTCCGTGACCCATTCTTTTTATTATTTTAAAAAAAAAAGCATGATATAAACTACATTTTGGCAAATTATTAAAAAATTCTATGGATTATAATTTAGACACCCCATCTACCTTAAGGCAATATTCATGCAATGAATATAAAAATAAGAAGATGTGGTTTTATTGCCAATGAGACAACTCTCAACCAGAGACCAAATGACATAGAAGTTAACAACTATATGTCACCGTACGGCCTTCAACAATGAGCAAAACCCATACCGCATAGTAAGCTATAAAAGGCTCAGAAATGACAAATGTAAAACAATTCAAACGAGAAAACTAACGGACTGATTTATGTAAAAAAAAACAATGAACGAAATACAAATATGATATACAGCAACAAACGACAACCACTGAATTACAGGCTCTTGACTTGGGACAGACACATACAGAATGTGGCGGGGTTAAACATGTTAGCGGGCGCCAAACCCTCCCCTAACCTAGGACAGCGGTGTGAGACAGTATACTGATGTAGTCTATACATTTTTTTTCTAAATCTTTGATTTTTATGTATACTACTGGTTTCCCTGGTGTTATAATACATAAAATGCATGTTTCTTTAGCTACCTAATTGTGTTATCTAGATTTTACTGTAGAATTAGTCATTTAAAATTATGGCAAATGTACTGTAATATTCCACTAGAAATTCTGCATGACCATTGAAATATTTTACAGATCAATCCGATTAAAATACAGATCCTGTGTTACCTTAAACAAGAATTTCTATACTATAATTATAAATCCTTGCCGTCAGATTCGTTTAAAACCTGAGACTACTATAACACATTATAGTAGTCTCAGTCAGTTAAAACGGTGAACTTTTCAAGATAAAAATATTACTTTCCGAAGTTTTTTCCGATATTGGTTTATTTTTACTCTATGAAACGTTTTCTTGATTCAGACTCTCATAACAAGCACTTCCGTGACGTCATATTTACACGCGGTGTTGAAATCTGGATTGTTCACTTATTGTGAAACTCTTTTCTTATTTTTACTCATTTATCAATCCAACAAATAGTTAAACAGAATGGCTTCTGAAAACGGCCGTATAAATGCCCCAGATTCTTGGGACCAAGATGACCAAGACGACTCCACCTCAGGGTTGTCAAAACCTCCCTCCAGCTTGAATGCGAATGCGGCTGCTTTTATTCCAGGAAAAAACCCTTACGCCAGCGAATTTGTACCGTCATTTGGAAACAAGAATAATCAGGGTAACTATTTTTTATCAGGTTGGTCGTTACAAACATTTTCGAGAAATGACGCATATGTTTTTTTTTCTTCAAGTTCAATTGCTGAAATATGTTGATTATTTTTGACATCTTTATTTACATATAACAGGTAAGACACTCTCCTACAAATAATTACATAGTAGTTATCAATTGGTTTGAATATATCTTAATTAAAATACACAGCTGAACTGTGTCTGTGCCTTCAAGTTCAACAACTTGTCTGACCAATCAGTGAATCAGTAGAATGGCTTTTTTGGGATCAGGGTTTCCAAACTGGTCCTATAGTCTGGACAAGGCTTGTTTCTATATATTTGTCTGATAATTAAATATTTTACCAGAATTACAGACTATATCTTCTGATTAGGCCAATAAAATATGCCTGCAAGAGTGCTTATTTTGTTTCATGGTGTAGTCCATTCATTTTTGTTAAAGCCAATAAAGGGGCATAAGCTCTCAAATTAATGTTTACCAATTTGACTCTATATTCCTATATTTGATTTATTACATATGCAAATGTCTATCTAAATTACAAAAAAACCATGAAGAAACAATTAAAAATGCATGGACTTGTTATAAGGTATCAGTATTTTGTGTATTTTAGACTAGACACCATCTAATTAACCATCAAGATAATCTCCAAAGAATAATTTCCCAGAGTCATACATTGTATAACCAGGTGTAAACATAAATATAAATATTAATACACAGTTTTGTTTCACTTTTCAATGTTGACATTCTTTTCTTATATAGTAACTTAACATGCTTAGCTCATATTTAGCCCATGCATTACCCATCTCCAAGGTCAAATTGATATTTGAATGAACAAAGATTTAAACATGTTGAAAGAGGTTGAATTATTTACCAATAATACATCAGCATTGTTTTGAAACGGTATCCAGCTTCAAATTTTGTGACTTTACATCAGATTTTAACATATTTTTAACTTTGCATTTTCATAGGAAGACCTATTTTTTATACGGCCGCAGAAAAATTTTTGTGGTCGTATATTGGTATGACGTTGGCGTCTTTCGGCGTCGTCCGAAAGACACATTGGTTTTCGCACTCTAACTTTAGTTTAAGTGAATGGATCTCTATGAAATTTTAACACAAGGTTCAATACCACAAAAGGAAGGTTGGGATTGATTTTGGGGGTTATGGTACCAACAGTAAAGGAATTAGGGGCCAAAAATAAGCATTTTTGTAACTTCCAGACATAACTTGTGTGTTAGTGTATGGATCTCTCTGACATTGTACCACAAGGTTCCATATCACAAAAGGAATGCTGGGATTGATTTTGGGGGTAATTGCCTCAAAATTTTAGGAATTAGGGGCCAAAAAAGGGCCAAAAACAAGCATTTTTTTAGTTTCATGACAATAACTTGTGTGTAAGTGTATGGATCTTTCTGAAATTGTACTACAAGGTTCCATATCACAAAGGGAAAGCTGGAATTGAGTTTGGGGGTAATTGCCGAAACTTTTAGGAATTGGGGGCCAAAAAGGGGCCAAAAATAAGCATTTTTCTAGTTTCCAGACAATAACTTGTGTTCAAGTGTATGGATCTCTCTGAAATTGTACTGCAAGGTACCATACCTCAAAGGGAAGGCTGGGATTGATGATGGGGGTAATTGCCTCAATATTTTAGGAATTAGGGGCCAAAAAGGGGCAAAAAAAAGCATTTTTCTAGTGTAAGTGTATGGATCTTTCTGAAATTGTACTACAAGGTTCCATATCACAAAGGGAAAGCTGGGTTTGAGTTTGGGGGTAATTGCCCTAGACGTTTAGGAATTTGGGGCCAAAAAGGGGAAAAAAACACATTTTTCTAGTTTCCAGACAATAACTTGTGTTCAAGTGTATGGATCTCTCTGAAATTGTACTGCAAAGTACCATACCACAAAGGGAAGGCTGGGATTGAGTTTGGGGGTGATGAATCATAAGGGGGTTCAAAAAATTTGGGGGGGGGGATTTTTTTTATTTCCTTTTTTTTCTTTTTTTCCTTTTTTTTTTCTTTTAAAATTTTCCATTTTAAGTTGGTTATTTCTGATTTATATTTAAAAGCAAATAATAATGATATGGTAGGAGATACACACCAAACAGGATGTGTAAATTATTGTGCAATAGCAAGAAATTTTCAATTGCACAGTATTGCACAATAGCAAGAAATCTTCAATTGCACATTATTGCGCAAGAGCAAGAAATCTTCAATTGCACAGTATTGTGCAATAGCAAGAAATATCCAATAGCACAATATTGCGCAATAGCAAGAAATTGTCAATTGTACAGTATTGCGCAATAGCAAGAAATATTTAATTGCACAGTATTGTGCAAAAGAAGATACTTCGTATAAATTGCTTATTTCTTGACCAATTTCAATGGGGTTGTATTCTTGAATTCTTGGGGTTCTTTAATATGCTGAATCTAACCGTGTATTAAGTTTTTGGATTTTGGGCCCCCTTTTTAAATTGGTCCACATTGAGGTCCAAAGGGTCCAAAATTAAACTTTGTTTGATATCATCAAAAATTGAATTATTGGGGTTCTTTGATATGCCGAATCTAACCGTGTATTTAGATTCTTAATTTTTGGTTCCGTTTTCAAATTGGTCTACATTAAGGTCCAAAGGGTCCTAAATTAAACTTAGTTTGATTTTAACAAAAATTGAATTCTTAGGGTTCTTTGATATGCTGAATTTAAATATGTATTTAGATTTTTGATTATGGGCCCAGTTTTCAAGTTGGTCCAAATCGGGGACCAAAATTAAACTTTGTTTGATTTCAACAAAAATTGAATATATGGGGTTCTTTGATATGCTGAATCTAACCATGTATTTTGATTTTTGGGCCCCATTATCAACTTTGTCCACATTGAGGTCAAAAGGGTCCAAAATTAAACTTTGTTTGATTTCATCAAAAATTGAATTCTTGGGGTTCTTTGATATGCTGAATCTAACCATGTATTTAGATTTTGGATATTGGACCATAATAGGTGAATGTCCAATTTAAAATTTTTAAGTTCTTAGACCACATTCATTCTGTGTCAGAAACCTATGCTGTGTCAAATATTTAATCACAATCCAAATGCAAAGCTGTATCAAGCTTGAATGTTGTGTCCATACTTGCCCCAACTGTTCAGGGTTCGACCTCTGCGGTCGTATCAAGCTGCGCCCTGCGGAGCATTTTATTATATATTTCAAAAGGTTTGCTGTGGTTATCTTAGATGAAGGAAGCTACTCTAAACAGGTTATTATGCTGCTACTTTCGAAAGTGGACAGTATTTTGTCATGGGGGTATTAGACTCTTCCTTGTACATTGTACCTTCCATCACAACCTTTTGGATCCACAACTGTTCCTGAACCGCTTGACAGAATTTTGTGAAAAATGTCACAGAATCTTATTCAAATGATGTACTTTGTATCACCTTTTGCATTTCTTCATCTGACTGATTTTTGGGGGGTAACTTTGGGATAACATGGACTTTGTTATATCTTCACACTAATGTTCACATTTGTATACTCTTCTCAGAAACCCCAATTGATAATTTTTTGGGGTTTCCCTTACCAAAGCATTATCTTGACATTGCTTCTATGGGGGGTTCCCATTTTGTATCCCTGTAGTCTGGCTTGCTAAAATTACATTAACTGTTTAAAAGTTCTGCTATTACATTTGCCATATTAGTTGAAAGAACATAACTTTTGCAACATTAGTTTCAAGAACATAAGTTTTGCCTCTTAATGAATAAGCTGATGCAGAATTTTGTTTTACATTAACAAATTGAAAGATATGGAAAGACAGCTGGCGTTTCAGAATTTTCTGTAATGTGATGGTGGCATCTACAATTGTATGTTCTGCTTAATAAGTATGATAAATTTATATTTACCAGCTGTAGATTCAACACCAAATCCACCAGAGAAAGAAGAGGAGACAATGAATACAAATAATGAAGGTATATATGTTCATAACGTAGCTTTAATTAGACAAATACTTTCAGCAGGGACTCACTGGATATACTTTATATGAATTATATAAGCCAGTAAGTAAATTACAATGTACATTTGTTAGAAAAGCTGAAAAATGCGGCTGTTCTACTAAATGTTTTGAAATGTATATTTTCTGCCAGTATTTTAAACAATGAAATTCACAAAATTATAGATATTGAAGAAAGAAATGGAGACAAATTGAACAGAATTTATATTTTGAACAGATTTACCTGCCAGTGAATATATGAACAATAAAAAACCACCTACATGTAAATAGCCAATTTTTTAAAACCGAAAGAAAATATAGTTCTAGCTTGGTTAGACCAAAATAAAAAATAATACATTTACTTGTGTTTTAAGGGTTTCCCTATGGACCATATATATTTTATTTCTCAAAATGTCTACCTCCAAGTTTTTATTGCCATTTTTGGTAGTGAATCTAGACAAAATTGCAGGTCTCACCATATACTCAAGGTATAAAAATAATCACTTACCTACCCTACTTTTGTCCCCCATGAACGCGTTGCCGGGGACAGAAATACTGGGCGTCCGTCTGGTCTCGTTAGCGCTCTCACATGTACAGTTCTTGCCAGATTTTTATGAAACTTATATCATAGGTTTATATCAGCAATGTCTTGAATGAGTTCGAAAAACAGTGCCAATCAATTATTTTTATATGACGCAAAAAAAATTTTGTGGTCGTATATTGGTATGACGTTGGCGTCGTCGTTATCGTCGTCGTCGTCCGAAGACACATTGGTTTTCCCACTCTAACTTTAGTTTAAGTGAATGGATCTCTATGAAATTTTACCGTAAGGTTCAATATCACAAAAGTAAGGTTGGGATTGATTTTTGGGGTTATGGTACCAACAGTTAAGGAATTACTCAATTAGGGGCCCAAAAGGGGCCAAAAATAAGCATTTTTGTAACTTCCAGACATAACTTGTGTGTTAGTGTATGGATCTCTCTGACATTGTACCACAAGGTTCCATATCACAAAGGGAAAGCTGGAATTGAGTTTGGGGGTAATTGCCCAAAACGTTTAGGAATTAGGGGCAAAAAAGGGGCCAAAAATAAGCATTTTTCTAGTTTCCAGACAATAACTTGTGTTCAAGTGTATGGCTCTCTCTGAAATTGTACTGCAAGGTACCTTACCACAAAGGGAAGGCTGGGATTGATTTTGGGGTTAATTGCCTCAAAATTTTAGGAATTAGGGGCCAAAAAGGGGAAAAAACAAGCATTTTTCTAATTTAAGGACAATAACTTGTGTGTAAGTGTATGGATCTTTATGAAATTGTACTACAAGGTTCCATATCACAAAGGGAAAGCTGGGTTTGAGTTTGGGGGTAATTGCCCTAAACGTTTAGGAATTTGGGGCCAAAAAGGGGCCTAAAAACAAGCATTTGTCTAGTTTCCAGACAATAACTTGTGTTCAAGTGTATGGATCTCTCTGAAATTGTACTGCAAGGTACCATACCACAAAGGGAAGGCTGGGATTGAGTTTGGGGGTGATGAATCATAAGGGGGTTCAAAAAATTGGGGGGGGGGGGGATTTTTTTTTCCTTTTTTTTCTTTAAAATTTTCCATTTTAAATTGGTTATTTTTGATTTATATATAAAAGCAAATAATAATGATATGGTTTGAATAGATAAATTAAAATTTTTAAGTTCTTAGACCACATTCATTCTGTGTCAGAAACCTATGCTGTGTCAAATATTTAATCACAATCCAAATTCAGTGCTGTATCAAGCTTGAATGTTGTGTCCATACTTGCCCCAACTGTTCAGGGTTCGACCTCTGCGGTCGTATCAAGCTGCACCCAGCGGAGCACTTTATTAAAAGAGTTTTGCCCCTTGGAAGTATTGATTATATGGAAAATTGCAATATTAGCGCTCTCATGTGTACAATTCTTGCCAGAATTTTATGAAACTTATATCATTTGTTTATATCAGCAATGTCTTTGACGAGTTCAAAAAATCAGTGCAGATCAATTATTTTTAAAAGAGTTATACCCCTTGGAATTATTAATTATATGGAAAATTGCCTGATGAGCGCTCTAATGTGTACAATTCTTGCCAGATTTTTATGAAATGTATATTGTAGGTTTATATCATCTATGTTTTTGACGAGTTCGAAAGTTACTGCCGATCAATTATTTTTAAAAGAGTTATGCCCCTGGGAAATATTGATTATATGGAAAATTGCAGTTAGCACTCTCATGTGTACAATTCTTGCCAGATTTTTATGAAATTTATATTACAGGTTTATATCATCAATGTCTCCGACAAATTTAAAAATCAGTGCCGATCAATTATTTTTGAAAAGAGTTATGTCCCTTGGATATATTGATTATATGAAAAATTGCATTGTTAGTGCTCTCTTGTGTACAATTCTTGCCAGAATTTTATGAAACTTATATCATAGGTTTATATCAGCGATGTGTCTTTGACACTTTTGAAAATCAGTGCTGATCAAATATTTTTAACAAGTTATGCCCCTTGGAAAAATTAATTATAACGGAAATCGCATTGCATTTGCTCTGAAGCCTTCATTTCTCTAAGATATTTAAAAATTGTTGTAAAGAACAAAAAAAAAAGTGATTGATTTAGTTATTGCCCTTGAACCTTGGATAGATAAAATATGTGCAATGCAGGGGACATTGGAACTCTGTTCTTTTATTTATAAGGAGGAAACCCTTAACTTGCATATCTTTTTTGATTGGCATAATTGTATTAATGGCTACAAGAAAAAAATGTTTATATTTTATTTTCGAAAGAAGCCTTGCCCAGTGGCATTATAGTATGAAAATATCAACATAACATTGTGTATTTTACAGTTGCCGCAGATTGGGAAGGTGAAACAGTAACAGAGCCTGAGAAAGCTGAAACACCTGAAGAGAAAATTGAAACAAATGATGATGGAGGGGGTAAAGATGAAGAGCTAGATGAAGAATCTGAGGAGGAGGATTCTGAGGAAGAAGATGAAGGGGGGACAACTTCTGTTGTCAAACCCAAGAAAATCATTCAAGAACAAGAATCTGGTGAAAAGAAAGATCATGTTAATGTGGTCTTCATTGGTCATGTAGGTCAGTATGTCTAGGAACAAGTCAGCCATGGACTTTTTTGTACCACAGGCTATTATGTTCCAGGTATTGGTAGTTCTCTTGTCCTGACTGAATGATTTAAATGCCATAAAATGAAAGGAAGATTTTTATGCCCCCGCTGTAGCGGAGGGGGCATTAAGTTTTACCCTTGTCCGTCTGTACGTTCGTCCGTCCGTACGTCCCAAAATTGGTTTCCGTTCTCTAACTTTAGTTTTCCTCAACCAAATGTTATGAAACTTATACACAATGCTAATTACCACAAAACACAGATCAATTTTGAATTTGGGTGGAGTCACTTTTACCCTTCTTGAATTATGTATGCCCTTTACAAATGGAAAAATTGCTGAATTTTTTGTTTCCGTTCTCTTACTTTAGTTTCCTCTACCAAATGTTATGAATCTTATACACTATGCATATTACCATAAAACACAGATCAAGGTTGAACTTTGGTGGCGTCGCTTTTGCCGTTCTGGAGTTATGCCTCTTTACAAATGAAAAAATTGCTGAATTTTTCGTTTCCGTTCTCTTACTTTAGTTTGCCTCAACCAAATGTTTTGAAACTTATACACAATGCTTACTACCACAAAACTCAGATTAAGTACAAATTTGGGTAGAGTCACTTTTATCGTTCTTGAGTTATGTCCCTTTATAATGTTATATGCAAAGGGGGCATCACTGTGTCCTATGGACACATTCCCCATTTATTTTTTATTAAGATAGAAGTCTGTCAGACAAATGGGATTGTTTATAGTGCCTTACAAGGTCATATGAAAATCATGTCAATCGGAAGCAATTTTTAATTCTGATTGTTAAATTACCAAAAAATGGATAGGTACTGAACATAAGCTGTATAGACTTTGTTTTGGTTGGAGAGTGGCCATTTAGATATTGGGTGTATAGATACTTCGTACTTAGCTAGCAAACCAGCATCATTGGAGCCTTTAGTTTTGAGAGGGAAACTTCTGTCTTCACATTTATACAGTGATATGAAGTATGTGAGATTGTTAAATATAAAAGTAAGGAGCTGTGGTATGATTGTCAATGAGACAACCATCCACCACAGAACAAAGAACAGGGATATAAACAATCACAGGTCTTCAATGATGAGCAAAACTGATATGTATGGTATACTACAAAAGGCACATAAGTAGCAAAACATGAATGTTCTAACATATAAAAACCATAAATTATAGATATTTAGATATATCTGTTCCATTTTCATGTGTTTACATAACTTAAGTTAAATCATCCAACTACTGTAAATTCAGAAATTAATGCGATGTTTTTATTATTGCGAAAACTGCGACAGTATTATAATCGCAATAATTTAAACTCGCATTTTCAACATTTTTATAAGAATTAAACAGGACTTTTCTCAATTTCGCAAAAATTAAAATCACATTTTAGTCTTAAATTACGAAATCGCAATAATAAATGCACGCAATAATTTCTGAATTTACAGTAGTTATACAGCTAATGTTTGAAATTTTGAAGACATATTTAGTCAGGGTTATTCCATTCAAATGGATGTTGATGAGTGAGTAGGTAGGAACTTCAATTTCTACCCCACAACAAGATACTGAGTAATTTTACATTCATCAAATCGACATACAACCATAAATGAGCAACAACCCATGTCCTAAATAAAAAAAAATTATTCCTATCCTCCCACATCCATTTTAACAGAATAGCCCTTAGTATTAATATTTAAACTGAAGCAAACGTGCAGGAGATGTTCTTTTAAAAGACATAATTTTTTTTCTCCAATTTTTCAGATGCTGGAAAATCAACTATTGGTGGTCATTTGATGTAAGTTTGATAATCTTGATAACATAGTACAATACACAGATATAATTCAGTAAAAAAAACACTACTTTGGGTGTCAGATTAACCCTGAAATAGTTTATATAAATATTCTATAGATAATCTATTAAAATGTCATAAATTTGAGCATTTTCACTTTCATTCACCAGCAATCATCAAGTTTAACTTTGGTAACACTTAACACCCATCAGAGTGATTTTTATCTGAGGGAACCTATGTGTATGTTGTAGGTGTATAAACTGCCTTCTTTTAAGCCTCATCAGTTAGTTGGTTTAAGTATGTCGTCTATATCTACCTGTGCAAGACACACCAGCCTTTCATTCAAGTTTTATCTGAAATAATACTAAGATGCGATTTTATTTTGCTTAAAATTATCTTTACTAGAGCTATAAATTAAAAGTAGTTTGGCTGTTTAATTATGAAAAGTAATTGTTTTTAAAATTGTTGACACATTTTTTTTAGCCTCATTTTGAACAGATATATCATGTTAAGGAGGGGTATTTGCGAAAAATACCAGTCAAGAGAATGTTAAATTTCGCGAGCCGTAAGGCGAGGGAAATTCATTCTCAAGACTGGTATTTTTCGCGAATACCCCTCAAGAACATGCTATATCTGTTTAATTACACCGAATGTTAACGTTCAAAAACGCATTGATGATCGTGACGTTACAAGCGTCCAGTCGGATAGAGTATTTTTTGGCAAATACCATGGCAGAGAGGGTAAAAAAAGCATATCCTTTTTGCATATACCCCGGCGGCGTTAAAAAATGAACGATATTCATTTGATAACAGTAAATTGGTGAAAAATACACTGGCTATCAACCAATCAAAACCCAGGATTCTTACATAAGGTGTAATTATGATAGAAATTTAGCAGAGTAACCTGTGTTATATTTGTGATTTTTCTAAGTTCTCATCTCATATAACAACCTATCTCAAAAGTGCAGGAATAATAATACAATGTGAAACTATCAACTTCCTTTAAGGGAAATTAACAGCATACTGTGTAAACTAGATCACTTCATCCTATTTTTATCACCCCATTGTTTCAAATTAGAGTTAATGTTCAAGTTTTTATCTCAGATACTAAGTGACCTTCATTTCAGTCCTTTTCAGACTGAAGTTTAATTTCACATCATAAAAACACCTTGTAAAAAATTAAATAAAAGAAATGATTGTAAATCTTAAATTGAAAATGAGTCTTAATTCATACAAAAAGGTACAACATATTAATTATTATAATATGATTTTATGGGTTTGTTCATTGCTGGAATGAAATATGTATCTGTTTGGTATTTTATTATTTTCAGTATAGTAGTTGAAAAGTTAATCTCAGAAGTTTTACTCAAATATATATATATATCAAATAAATATTTATAGGTATCTGACTGGTATGGTTGATAAAAGAACTCTTGAAAAATATGAAAGGGAAGCTAAGGAGAAAAACAGAGAAACATGGTTTGTACAAAAAATTACTATTGATAGTAAATTTACATAAAAAATGACATTCAGTTGTTACTAAAATAAACACTGAAATCAAATTGTTACTTAATTTGGTATGAACATGTGTGTTCACAAAAAATATAGTGTGTATTTGTATTGCCTGCAATATTGCTGATTGAAAAAAAATTCTAGTGTGCTGGGTAACCAGTTGGACAAATCTTTATTTTTCAGATGATAGAAAAGCTAAATTGGGGTAACACTGGACTAAAATAGTTTAAATTTTTTTGGAACCTAAGTGTCAATACTATAAAGGGCTTCAGGTATCAATTTCAAACAGGAGTTTGTAAAAATTGTTCTTGTTGAAAAAATTTGGTAACTATGAGTTTCTAGAGCTTAACCTTACAAAATCAAGTTGCTTTAATATTTACATCAACAAAATTCTTCTTGTCGAAATACTTTCGTTCATGAGAAAATTTTCAAAGCAGATGTATTGAGTGGATCAGAAATAAAGGTACAAGTTCTTACTTTGAGCGCACCCAGGTTTTTCATCCATAGATCTTTGTAAATTAAAATGTAATTATTTAAAATGGTGAACAATGAACAGTTGTCAGAGAGTTATAAAAATCATTCTATAAATAGTATATTTATTCAAAAAAATACCTATATGGTCTAAATACTCATATGGTCCAGCCCATTAGTTACCAAACAATATATACTCTTATGGTATTTATGTGTATGGTCATGACCATATACATAGCGTCCAAAAAATACTTGTATGGTTGAATTGAATTTTGTCAGTTTGTTACATACATAAAAGAATATTTAGTTCTGTATGATTTATTTCGATCTCAACAGGTATCTGTCGTGGGCTTTAGACACAAATTCAGAAGAAAGAGAGAAAGGAAAAACAGTAGAAGTAGGCAGGGCATACTTTGAGACAGAGAAAAAACATTTTACAATACTAGATGCCCCAGGGCATAAATGTTTTGTACCCAACATGATTGGTGGAGCTTCCCAGGCAGACTTAGCAGTATTGGTATGTTCTGCTTCTGTTATATTTAAATTGATATATCTGATTGGAAGATTAAACTGCTTAAAACAACATCACTCTTTTGAGTAGTCATTTGTAATGATGCATGATCAATGAATCTTTGGCCACATCTGCTAGAAAATGCAGCCCATTAATTAAATGTTATTGAATGGATTTCTTATTTAATCATCAACTCTAAAACATGAATGAAACCACTTCCTATCTCCACTGACACTCATTTGTGAAACAATTTACACAATTTTTATATGACAGTTACATGTAGTTATGTTGATATCCCCTTGGTGGCTTGGTTTTAATATGCAGGGTTGTTTCCTTCATATATGATTCTTAAGAACTGATAGCTATGGTTGGTATCCTTACTACAGAGAGAATATATAAGAAAAATGTTCATTAAATTTTCATTAAATGTGCATTAAGAAAGATGCATCTTTATTTTTAGGTAATATCAGCAAGAAGAGGTGAATTCGAAACAGGATTCGAGAAAGGTGGACAAACAAGAGAACATGCCATGTTGGTAAAAACAGCGGGAGTAAAATTTTTGATAGTTGTGATAAATAAAATGGATGACCCAACAGTCTTGTGGTCAGAGGAAAGGTAAACAATTTTATTTACATGCTTATATGTGAATTCCAAACCACCTAATGTTCATCCAGGATTGTTAAAGAACCTGTTGTCATGTGGGGATTTTAAAGAAATATGAAACATGAACTATCAATTTATGGCTACGCAAAGATAATTTCTTTTTCTCCAGACTTGCTCTCTCCAAAAAATTTCTGGATTTAAAAAAATTAATGTATTCCCATTTTTAACCGCATTTTCGAAGTAAAAATCGGTTATTGATTTGGGGATGTACGGCTGGCGTAATTTAGATATTTTGTTTCCTGCGACTAAATGAAGGTCAAGTTCGATTTTCACGATTTTAGCTTTTCTCGTTTGTGAGATATCGCCCTTTTTAATATCCATAAGTGGTATTTTTTTTGTGATTGAGTTATTTTACTTTGAACAGAACTTGTTAATTATATACATAAAGTTTGATTACACTAAGCCTTTATAGATAATTTTCACCTGTTTATATCAACGTCCGGTACAAAATAGTTTACCTGTTGCTTGAAAATTATGGTCTTATCGTCTTAAATACATTTTTTCGATAGTCTCAATTTATTTTGCTTAAAAGTAGTTAGATTTAAACCAGGAACGTTTTTAATTTTAATAAAAAAATATCTTCCGAAAAGATCGATTGATGTCGGGTACAAATATTTGACTCGACACTGGTGATCACAGGTAAATCTAACCTGTTTGACACTTATAGTTAATTAACATTGATTGTAATGAGAGGGGATTACAGTAGGGCTTCTTTATAGATTACTGTCACTTTTATGACCAGAAAAGTGTGGCTGTTTAAGGCACAAGGTCAAGTCTAATTGGTTGATTTTTCTGAATCGCATGAATGTAAAAATGGCAAACCCACGTAGGATGTCCGTTTCATGCTTGGCCCAGTCGGACAATGTCCGGTAAATTGACATTTGTCCGGCAAATACGACCGTTTTGGAAGCCTTGGTATTAATCACTTGCTCCCATAAGATTCCTTAAAGTGAATTAGAAACTTTAGATATTGCTGTTTCCACTGCATATTTACAGTGATTCAAGACTATCTTATAAATTATGTATTAGAAAAATATATATAATGCTTGCTTACCCCCATTTTTAACCTAAAAAATCCCTAAAATGTGAAATTAATGTTGTTTAGCCTTACCAAGTCTTAAATAAAGTCCACAAAAATTATGGTCCTTGTTTCATGCATTGGTTATTTCACCAAGTGTGATATTTAAATATTCTTATTTTAGATATATTGAGTGTAAAGAGAAATTGATTCCTTATTTACGGAAAGTTGGATTTAACCCAAAGACAGATATATATTTTATGCCCGTGTCTGGTATGACGGGAGCATTCCTTAGGGATATACCAGATGAAAGTATTTGTCCATGGTACAGGTATGTTACGCTGAGATTAATAGCCTGATTACTCAAAATCATTTGGCTATGCAGGTTTTTAATTGACAATAGTTAACAAACCAAGATTGATATTAACATTAAACATAAGTCTCCTATATCTCTCAGTAGTCTATATTATCAAGTAAGTTTTAGTATCCCATCATATTTCTATTACTTTTACTACAATAATAATGTGATTTGTTTTTGCACATATGTGTAAGCTCTCTTTATATATTGGTAAGATATTTAAATATATTTTTTTCCAAATTTTTAATATCTCCCCATGAAGACCAATTCCATTATTAAAGTTTTTTCGGTTTGATGTTCTTCATTGTCATTAGCTCATTGAAAACAAAAGTAATCAGTACAAAAAACTGTTTGATATGCTTAAGAGGTATTGTTAGGTATGAGAGGAATATGGGTATCAATTTTGAGTAATCATCTCCAAGTTTTCAACACGGATCTGATCTCTAAATTTCACAGCCTGTTACAAAATTTGAAAATATTTGAAGTGAATAGGTCAAAGATCAAGGTCACCGTTACTAAAAAGAAAAAAAGAAAAAAAGAAAAAATGGTTTCTGGATGGTAACTTAGGTTTTCCTTGCTTGATTGGAACAAAATATTTACAGATGGGAGATACACTGTAGGGGAAGAAGCCAATGTTGTTTTTTGGGTCAAAGAACAAGGTCACTATTACTGAAAATAGAGGTAGAAAAAGTGGGTTTTTGAAGTGGTGTCCAACTACAAATTGTAACACATTTAGTCGGATGACTTTAAGCAGTGTTCTCCCCAGAAATTTTGGATAGCATCACATTTGGCGTAAAAAAATAAACTGTATATTTTTCAATGTCATTTGACGCGTCGCGGCGATGCTCTATTTCCTTTATGTTATATATGTTTATATTGTTCAATTCATAACTGAGAATACAATTAAACTATAACCATGATAACAGTTGTTTCAGTTTATGTTTTCTATATTCATTTATAGTTACAAAATTATTTTTTTCCTCTTGGGCCAAATAAAAATATATATGTGGTTCCAGTTACCCTACCTACTCAACTAAATGAATGAAGAATGAATGAATGAATGAATGGTTTATTATAGTGCAACCTGTATATACAATACTAAATACCTAGCAAAAAAAAGAACTGGTTTTTATATAAAAAGGGAAGAGAAAGTATCATATAGCAATAAAACTTCAATTAAAAACTTTTTTCTTTATCATGTCTATGAAATTCATTGTTTCATGGTACTCAATGAATTAGTCCCAGTTGTTTCTTTATATCAAAATGATATATATTTTTAACAAAGTTAAGCTACTTTAGTCAGTATATTAAAACAATGCATTTTCAAAAAGATTACATTTAGCAAAGATATCTAATAAATAGTCTGTTAATGCGTTTGGAAAGCGTAGTTTATTCTTTTGTAATCATTTTTTCTGTCTACTGTGCCATGTGTGCATCTGTAGTTATTATCGGAAAAATACGGAATTTTGTCATATCTGGTCCGGTTCCGATACGTAGTTTACACATATATTTCAATGGCGGCGGAAGAAAAATATACGAAAATAAACAATGTTAGACTAACCCGAATAATCCAGTCGTTATATTACGCTCCCTAACGATCACTACATTAAGGAGGACAATGACCGTAAGGGGGCGCTGTAATTATTTGAGTTAATGTTAGACAAGAGGGGAATGCGTATGACGCTTTTAATGCATTAAATGGATGACATAAAACAATAACTAAAGCCAATTATGATCTCTTTCTAAAGTAGTATCAAACTTTTTTAACTCAAAATCAAAATGTTTAATATACGGCATGTACGCTCTCGATTAACTAGATACCGGAAATGAAAGAAAGTAATTTTTTAAAAGTTGTAAAAATATACAACCTAACCTCTTTTCTAAAGAGAGAAATCGTTTGTATCTTTGATTTTGGATTATGCAAACGTAGATTTCGAATTTTTTCGATTTTCTGATTAAATTTTCTCCATGTTGAAATTTGCGATTGGACCACGTGGTATTAGTCATGTCACAAGTGTCAGCTTGGGGTATTCGTATCCATTCAGTTATCACCCAAAGGGCAATTAACACCTATTTAATCACTCTTAATTGCCTCTATTGTCGGACTTGAAGGGATTACAATTAAAGGTGATATAATTTTTATGATCACAAGCGGTAATTAGATGAAATTTCAAAATTTAGGACATGGTTTTGCGATATAGAGACGATATAGAGACTAGAAAAATAGTATCCTCAAAATAATTATAGCGTCGCGGAAATTATTATAGCATCACGGGAAAAAAATATAGCGTCTCGGTGCCGCGACGCTAAAACGGCCTGGGGAGAACACTGCTTTAAGCCTGGTATCTATGATGAGTTTATTTACATAGACATAAGTTTTTATGAACTATAAACATGTGCCAGCAATTGATTCCTCACCAAAATGACCAAATAAGTTTTGTTTCATCTTTATTTTGTGACAAATGTCTTCCCTTGCCTCCCCTAAATCTTCTATGCTCTTTTTGTAGGGGTCCAGCATTTATAGAATATATTGACCAGTTGAATCTATCGAGTAGCAGTGAAGATATTGATAAACCTGTAAGGATGCCTATAGTTGACAGATATAAGGTACGTTTTTCATATATCATCTTTTTAAAAAGTTCTAAAGTTCATTTTAGGAAAAAATAATCATTCAATAATTAAGCAATGTTCCATGTTGTAGGGTTGATATTGTTTCTACAGTTCTACAGTTTCATAAATCTTACCAAAAACTGTGATGAACTCAGGGGCGTCCAAAGGGTAATTGGTTTCTTGTTCCCCTGTTGGTATCTGTTATATTGTTAATGACAACATCCAGTTACAAGTCATCTTCTGTGATGTCATAAATAATGAAAGGAGTATGACATTGTGACTATAATAACCGAACTTAGCTGATATGAACTTGTTATTATTAAGCTTATTCAATTTTTTTTTTATTAGATTGAATATTTAAGTTATTTAGCTTGTCTATAAATGTGAGAAAGTGTAAGTGATGAATGAGATCAAGTTACATTTAAATTTAACATTATTGTTTTATTAAGCTAAAGTTTTTGCATTGATGAAAAGTTAAAATTGTTTTGATTGTTTTTCAGGACATGGGAACCATTTTACTTGGAAAATTAGAAACGGGTACTATCAGCAAGAACCAAACATTAACTATAATGCCTAATAAGGTAATATGTTATGCTGTATCTTCTTACTTATCTCAATAAGAAGTTCCTATCTAGGTATGGCATGAAGACTTATCATACATACATGACTGGAAATAATATAAAATGTATTGTCCTTTTTATACGATCGCAAATTTTTTTTCGTTCGTATTATGTTATGGCGATGTCTGCATCGTCGTCTGAAGACATTTGTTGTCCAAAGACATTTTGGTTCGCAGAATATAACTTGAGTATTAGACCCCGTTCACACTAGGACATTTAGATCGATTTAAACTAGATCGGTTCACTTTAGATCGATTTAAGGGTCAATGTGAATGCGTTGAATCGATCTTCAATCGGTCTAAACTAAAACACCAAAAGAGGTATACGTAGTTTAGTTTGAATCGATCTAAAGTGAACCGATCTTACTTTAAATGTGAACGCAGAGATCGGTTTAAAATAGTACGATTGAATCGAAAATAATGTATGCGCATGTATAGCGGCACAAATATATCAATGGTTCGTTGTTTAACCCATATTTCTCTGTTAACAGACCTTTGTGTACATGCACGTAAAAACAAACTGAAACATGTTGTCTTCGCCGTAGCATAAATTTGCGAAATCTGTGTCTTCTTTTTTTAGTTGATTTTTCTTTTCAGGAACCACAGTATTTTGTCGTGTTGTAACTTCGTTTCTACAGTTTTTGTTTCAAAATCAAAGAAAACTGCAAGAACACCAGTATCAAAATTTGAACTTGTGATTCAAGAGAAACAATAACTTCGTCCATTTTTTTTTCAAGTGTGTGTATCAGTGTATCAACACATCAATTTGGTAAATTAGTTCTATTTATACACAATGTTTACAGTTTTACGGGTAATAAGGCCAGATCAATTGCATTTTTAATTGTAGTGTGAACGCACTGGTTCAGATTAGACCGATAGAGATCGTTATGATTAATGATAATGTGAATGCTAACTGGTTTTATTTAGATCGATTCAAATTAGATCGATTAAAGAAAAATGCTAGTGTGAACGAGGTCTAAGTGTAGGGTCTCTATGAAATTTTAGCACAAGGTTCCATACCACAATAGGGAGGTTGGGATTGATTTTGGGGGGTTATTGTCGTAGCTGTTTAGTAATTAGGGACCAAAAACATTTGTCGTCCATAGACATTTTGGTTTGCAGACAATAACTTGAGTATAAGTGTATGGATCTCTATGAAATTTTAGCACAAGGTTCCATACCACAATAGGAAGGTTGGGATAGATTTTGGGGGTTAAAGTCATAGCTGTTTAGTAATTAGGGGCCAAAAAGTGGTCAAAAACAAGCATACAATAACTTGCGTATAAGTGTATGGATCTCTATGAAATTTTACCACAGGGTTCCATACCTCAAAAGAAGGTTGGGATTGATTTGGGGGTCATGGTCAATTCAATCACAATCCAAAGTCAGAGCTGTATCAAGCTTGAATGTAGTGTCCATACTTGCCCCAATTGTTCAGAGTTTGACCTCTGCGGTCGTATCAAGCTGCGCCCCAACGGAGCATTTTATTATAAAATTACAATGGACATTATTATTATTATAAATAAAAACAAAACAAAAACTAATTGATAATGATTCATGTAACATAATATTTACATATGAAAAAATTGTGTACGTCAAATCTCCTGACAAAAGCATATGAAAAGATACTAATGGAATATAAGCAAGATGTTACATGTATTTATCTAGAACAGCACAAAAAGTGTGAAAAAAAGTAAAGGTATTTAATTTAATAACTGAAGATTTCTGAAATTCCAGTGAGATAAGTATACATCACATAATAATAAATTAAACAATGTTAGAAATAAGTAAAATATTCTTGTATACATGAATGATATTAGATAAAATAGTATAAATGTGTAGTTTGATTAACAACAAGAATCCAATGAAATTAGACAAGTTAATTAACCAGGCTGAAAAGTGATATGAACTATTTGAATGTAAACACTAAATTTATTAGATTTTGTTTGTATTTAGCAATGTATATAGCATTCCAACTGCCTAAAATAACAAAAAATTCACTATCCTCCTAAATTTCATTGAAAAAAATATATCATGTCTATGTATACGTTTGCTTTTTCTATTTAATATTTTTTTGGCAGAATTTAATATTGTTGCAAAAAAAATGTAAAAATTAGATAAAAACGAAATTTAACAGTTACAGAGTTTTGTAGAAGAATTACAAGCCAATTATTCTCTTTTGGACTCAATCTCTAACAATTTTTTTGCCTTTTTTTACCAAAATTGTTCTATAATGCATGTATACATCTGTGTGGAAACTGTTGTTTATAATGGAAAGACAATTCCTAATTACAAAAATAGTCAAAATCCAATGTCCTGGTTGGTTAATTACACAGTAGTGAAAAAGGTTGGACAAACCTTGTAAATTTAAATACCTGTTTTATTGGCAGTTTATTTTGAGAAAGACTTACTAATGTTCAATTTGAATTTCAGCAAAATGTAAAAGTAATGCAGATGTGGTCTGATGATATTGAAACAGATAGTGCAAACCCTGGGGAAAATCTCAAAATCAAAGTTTCTGGAGTAGAGGAAGAGGTAAGATACCAACAGGGATATTTCTGGGATTGTAGGAAGAGATAAGAATCCCAAGCAGAGATACACACTGCTGTTTATATATAGTAACCCTTTATTTGGTTATGATAATTAAAGGAATGGAATGCATATGGTGACAGAATTAATTTTGTCTTGCCTGTAGTGTTACAAAATTTTAAACTTATCACATGAATTGAAATATTTCAGTCAAATTTGTAGGGGAAAAAAAACATCTTAGTATTACCTAATTGTCCACGATTGTATTGAGAAGTATAATCTATTGATGTGAATAAGTATTTTAATTTGATAATATTAACTTATTATAATTTTCATTTATTATATTATTGTGGAAAAGTAAAACAGTAGCTATATTTTTGTGTTTAGATAATTGATTTATTGTTTATTCATTTATCAATACTCGCAAAAGGTATCAGCCAAAAAGAGAGATCTGGAGCAACTTCACTATAAATTAAAATGATACGTTCCATACTTCATCAAATCCATTCCATGTTTTCAAAAAGATCTAATTTATCGCAGTATACTTTCATGCATAGTTAATGAGCTAGATTCTAATATACTGTGTAATGCAGTTTTAGATTCATAGCTGGCTGAAATTTGATTCTGCTTTACTGTGTAATGAGTTTTCAGAGTCATCGCTCATCAACATCCTGTTTACTGAATTCTTATAGCAGGGGTATCATAAGGGAGCAGTACACTCACAGTTTTACTTGTTATATGAGATGACAATTAACTATACTTTTATCTTGTATATTTTAATAGGATATAACTGGTGGTTTTGTGTTGTGTTCACCTGAAAATTTATGTCATACAGGAAAATTGTTTGATGCTCAGGTAATGAGTTATATATAATTTAGAGATGTTGCAAGTGAATGATTCACTTACAATGTTGTATAAAACAATGGCAAGCTCTGGTTATATAATTATACCCCCGCTTTAAAAAAGTGGGGGTATAGTGTTTTACCTCTGTCTGTCCATCCGTCAGTCCATCCATCTGTCAGTCCGTCCATCCGTTCCAGGAATATTTTTCGTCACATTTTTCTCATGAACTACAATACAAGGATTTCTGAAATTTGTTTGGTTTATATAAGTGTTTACATTGTATTGTATCCATACCTTTTGTTTACATAGTAGACATTACGGTGTTGACAATAGCGAGTCACCATTGTGTTTATTTTGTATACCAAGTCTGTACCTTTTTATTTACATCGTTCACATCGTAAACTTTGCGATGTTGACAATAGCGAGTCAACATCGTGTTCATATTGTATGCTTAGTCTATACCTTTGTGTTTAAATTGTTTACATCATAGACATTGTGATGCTGACATTATCCTGTCAACATCGTGTTAATATTGTATACCGAATCTTTACGTTTGTGTTTATATCGTTCACATCGTCAACATCGATGTATATTAATAATAATTTTGTTTATTGTGTGATACTTATTAATTTGATTGTGTTCATTTGCTATTTATCTGTAAAAGTTTTGTGCATAAGAAAAACAATTTAATTAAATTGAAATACTCATATTCATGAAATAGTTATGTTCTTTATGCATTTTTACCGCCATATTAATGCCAAAAATAATTGATTTTCGTTTACTCTTTTAAAATTTGAAATAATTGTTTGATAAGCAATAATTGAAAAATTATTGAGAAAAGTTGGCTTTAATTGGCAATAACTCTTATAATTAGCCATAAATGTAAACGTTTATCGCGTTTACATCGTTTATACATTGTAAAAATCTTGATGTTAACGATGTAAACGATGTAAAGAGTATATAAGAGTTCATACACTATAAATGATGTTGACACGATATCGTGAACAATGCAATGTAAGCGATGTAAACATGATAATGATAAAACATTGTATACATTGAAATGTTAACAATGTCAACGATGTAAACAGTAATTAAGAGTTGTTACAAATTATAGGATTTTGCCACAATATCTCGGGCACACATTTTTAGAATGAAGTGCTTCCACGCTTCATACAAATTGTGCTTCGGTCATTACTTTTACACCGCAATAAAATTACATAAAGAAGCATTCATTTCTTAGATATTTGATGAATGCGTGTGATCCTGAAAGAAAAATAATTCATTTCTTCCTCTAGCATATCTGTCCCTTTAAAAACTTTGATATATCAGTAATAGAAGTACTATTGGTTATGTAGCTGTTGTTTTAGTTTCATAAACACATTATAATGATTGTATCTTCAAATATGGTTTGAAAGCTGATTTTGTTTTGCTTTCATTAAAGTAATATCTGAAATATATACTATAAGTCATATAACTTCAAACTTTATTTTGAATATGCTTGATACGTTTTTTTGTTTAAAAAATAATACAAGTGGTATGTGTTCTCAAAATGAATTCTAATGACAGAAATTTGAATTTTGCATAAGGGAAGCTTGTTATTTTCAAATGAAATATATGCCTGATAATTTTGTTTTATAAGTACGAACTGATTATATATACTTTTGTGTTCCAGATTGTTATTTTAGAACACAAATCTATTATTTGTGCGGGATACAGTGCAGTTTTACATTTACATACATCTTCAGAGGAAGTTACGATCAAGGCATTATTGTGTATAATAGACAAAAAAACTGGAGAAAAAACTCAAATAAAACCCCGATTTGTTAGACAAGATCAGTTAGCTATAGCAAGGATGGAAGTAAATGGAGGTTTAATCTGCCTAGAAACTTTCAAAGACTTCCCACAAATGGGACGATTCACACTTCGAGATGAGGGTAAGTCCAGCATGAAAAATCTGTTCTCTTCCCCAAAAAAACCTGTCTGTAATGTGATAATTTTGATTTGATGCTCCAATATGGAGAAGAGCTTGATTGGAAAGCAATTTTTAGTTTTTTTTGCAATTTTTACTCCCTCATTAAAACATTGATATAATGGAATGAACAAAATAAAAGTTTTCACCTTTTATAAAAAAAATTACAAACGACAATGAACCAACGCCTGGTAAATCTTCAGTTTGATAGAATCCCTAAAGTGGATACTTCGGGTATGCAGGGTTGTTATGATAAAAAACACTTTTTTAAAAAAAGATTAACAAGGGGTTGTTTGAACATTTACAGTAAATACATATCACAGGGTTAAAACTACAAAAAGATAATTTCTTCATGGGTTCTATGGTATGAGAGTTGTGTAAGGCATAACCTTGAGACTGATTTAGGGTTAAACTTGGGTTCCCTTGAAGAGTCATCAGTTCCTGCTTCACCATTGACACTTGTTGCTAGTCAAATAGTTTTGTTCTGCATCATTTACCTTTAAAAGCTACCTTAAATGCAATGATCCATTCAATAATGTTTATAAATAGCTTTGTTCTGCATCATTTACCTTTAAAAGCTACTTTAAATGCAATGATCCATTCAATAATGTTTATAGAATGTTGTTTTCCTGTGAATAATTGTATTGTTAAGATTTTAATGTTTTGTTTTTTTTTTCAGGTAAAACAATTGGAATTGGAAAGGTGCTGAAAGTTTTAGACTAAATAAACCATTAATTCCACACCACCTGTTAGTATGCAAAATACACATATCTGAATGCCACTAAACAGGTTTTGGTGCCACTTCTTTGTCAAATTTGTTGCTTATATTTCCGACTTCAGCCTACTAGTATTTTATGTCACAGTGAAGTAAAATAAAGTTGTTCCTTGTATCATGTGTCAGAAACGTAACACTTGATAACCAACAATTCCAGTGAGGACCAAATTAAATTGTACAGAGTGATTGATATTAGTACTCTAAAAAAGACTAGACTATAATTCATTTGGGTACTAATTTTTGTAGATGAAGGTTGACTATGAATTTAAGTGTCAAAGAATACTTTTATAGGCTTGTATGGAGAATTTGCAAAAACAACAAATCAAATATCCACAAAAATAATTTTTTTCTGCCATCCACAAAAATTAGTACCCACTTAGATAATGAATTCACAGTATACACTTTTCTGGAGAAATATGTTACTTAGAAAGAAAATAGTTGTCTTGAAATATGGGGTATCAACAGTTAATAATGAATTTGTGACCTAAAAATTTACTTTAGAATTCCAACAGACTTTTCAAAATATTTGACTTTTGATAAAAGCAATCATATATTCTCAGAGTATGAACTGTAAGTGAATGTAAATTTGCCCTATCAATACATATAGGAAAATCAAGACTTAACTTGAAACATTTATCACAGCCTTAAAGGTTGAACTGTTGCAATGGGTTGGCATTCAAACAAAGGGAAGAATTTTTTTTTAATCTGAATTGAAAAATGAATGAGTCCGTATTGAAAATCTGAAATACATTATAACCGTGATAAGAAATTTGGTATGCTCTCCCAGCAGACCAGAACAGCCAAAAGACAATCTCACACTAACAATAATACCCATTGTAATATCAAGCTAAAAACTGTGATGTCAAACAGATCAGTACAATTAATATGACAATAAGTCTTGTTGGACAACGTCGCATGATCCTGTCTTTAGGCTGTGTTGCATGGATTACAAAATTTACAAAGGATTGTATTGTAGATGCAAGTATAAACTATATAGCTGCTGTTAATTGGTCAACTTTATTTGACTTCACTTATTCTAGATGGGTCTTTCAGTCTTTAATGTGACATTACATTATGGTTGTTTCTAACTATTGTTCTTACAAGTGCTGTGTGATGAGAGAAGTTAGAGATGTGATGATGATTGCTAAAACTTTGTTCAAGTCTACCTTTAATGCAACTTAAGACGATTCAACATTTGCAGTAAATCAGTAATGATATGTAAATGATGTACAAATAGTGCTGAAAGATTTGTTAATTTAGTTACTTTGTTATTTTACCAGAGAATATGATACATGTATTTATGATTGTGCAGTTTGCTCACGGAGACAAACAAGGTCTGTGTCTGCTATTGCAGTTAACTGTCGGTCTGTCATCCATAAGCCTTTTCATCAACTTGGCTAATCAGTAGCAAAGTAAACTGCAAAGACCCTTGTGATGTCTACTTTCAAAACTACATATGATGTGTCCATTGACTTACTAAGATGAAAGCTGTTATATGGATGACACTAAAGTTTCATTTTAATATGATTTAACAGCAAGGTTTAGATATAGCTGATTGTGGTTATTTTTTTTATTTACTGTGGATTTCTTTAATCTATGTACAATGCAGATTTTTCTCAACAAGACAAGATTTCTTTAATCTATGTACAATGCAGATTTTTCTCAACAAGAAAAAAAAAAAAGGGAGTATCAGTCATTCAGGCAATTTCAGATACTTGTCTCAGTCTGTGAATGATGGCTTAGGTTTAAACAGAAAATAATGGAACATTGTTTTGAATTCTTGAGAAACAAAGCTCTATATAAAGTGAATGGACAAACATTTTTTTTTTAGTTAAGATGGGAAAACATTCAAAGCATTCTTTCCAACAGCAGAGTTGTTCAAACTTATTCAGTCGGAATCATCTTCTTGTTGACAATATTTGCATTCATTTTATTTTTTTCGGTTAATTTTGTTTAAAATAAAATACGTTGTATTTTAAAGTAGACAACACATGACCAATTTTGATAGTTTTGCTACAGGAAACAGCTGAGTACTCAAAACCAAAAGATGAGAGCTTATCTTCATTATATCAATACATCTGCATATCACACATTTATTGAGGTTAAAGGTTGTCCAATATTTCAAGATGAATATACCAAAAAGAAATTTGAATTTCATTTTTCATAGAATCCTAAATATGTATCGATTTTAGAATCTAACTATGCTGGAAAAATTGAAAATTAATTGTTTGTTGAAAATGTGCAACTGCTGGTTTAAAACAACATTTTTCCCTTTTAAAAGTATAATTAAGAAGTTTGTTGTCATTCCTATTAGGGCCAGTAATGTTAAATTTTTTCATCAATTGTATTGCATTGTATCTTTATCTGGGTTGATATATTTTTCATAAGTAGTTTTTACTGGTTTTCATTCATGATACTGTCTACATAAAATTCATAATATTTTACTCTGTATTGAAACTCAGCTTATGTTTGAATTGATTTATGAAGATGATATATATAACGTATTCCTTCTAGATGCACTATTGATTCATTTATTTTCAAGGGTACCAATTTTCATGGATTGAGGAAGAATTGTAATTTTTGTATACTTAATTTCGTCATTTTTAACAAATTCTATATACAAGCCTAAAGACTCTTTGTATTTTGTTAAAAAGTTATTTTTGAGCTTCACAGATACCCATGAAATCAAGAAAATTAGGGTCCTGTGAATAATAATGAATCCACAGTACAAAGGAATTTTATGTTATTTTTGTGATGACTTTTGTTTAATGAGCAGAGTCTTGCCTTGTATGCTACATTGCACTTACTAATTTTATTTGATGCATCGTGTACATGCTTGAAAAACCGAAGAATCCTCCTAAAATTGTTTCTTGGAGTTACCATTACAAGTATTGAATTTTGTTCCTGTAACAAAGCTTTAAACAAAAAATCTTTTATGCCCCCGCCGTAGCGGTGGGGGCATTAAGTTTTACCCTTGTCCGTCTGTACGTACTGCTGAATTTTTCGTTTCTGTTCTCTACTTAAGTTAGCCTCAACCAAATGTTATGAGACTTACACACAATGCTTATTACCACAAAACTCAGATCAAGTTCAAATTTGGGAGCGTCACTTTTACCGTTCTTCAGTTATGCCCCTTTATAACTATATGATATGCAAGGGGGGGCATCATCTGTGTCCACATATGGACACTATCCACATTTCTTTTTTTTTTTTCTTTGAAGTTGCTAGAAGTAATCTTTCTTCTATATGACCTTGATGCTTCATATAAGAAATATTTGCATGTTAAAAATCTTAATTACACACAATTAAAAGCGAATAAGTGTAAAATGTTATGTAATTGTGCTAGTGCTGCGTAAATGGAGTGCTTTAAAATGTTGATTTTTTTTCCTGTTTGTTTTTTTTTAAAGCATACCATCAGCCCAAACGAAATAGATGAAATCTATTAAAACTTTCTTCAGAATTTGTTTCTATTACAGAGTTGTTATGCTCATACATACTCATTGATTATATTGATATATGTAAGATATTTTGTATAAATAAACCAAGCATTTTGTTTTCAATTTTAATGTGTTTTATTGTCATGATTTATTTCAGTAGTTTGTCATGTGATGGGTTTATTTTTAGCTCTCCTGGCACATAGAGTCAGTGAGAGTGATTTGCTTTCACTTGGCATCTTTCATCCTTTAGTCATTAACTTGAACCTTTTTGTTAAATTGAAAAGCAAACATTGCAAGATGTATCTTCATGAACTAGTAGCAAATTTTTTCAAAATTATTTAAATAATATGATGGTTTGAAAATCTTTTCATAATTTTCATTTGGTGCAGATTGGATGTCACAGAAGCAGCCAGAAAAATTTTGATAAAAGAGGATTTACATTGAATCCGTTCGTAAAAACGATTCATTTACTAAGTATATGAAGCTCATTTGATTTTATGTTCAGTATAAAAAAAATGCTGCCAGAGGCAATCTTTGGTTGTAATTGTCAGTTATTTCGTTAATTTCGTTTCAACTGAAAATACAGGGCATTACATTAAAAAGGAATGATAGTTTGGAGACCATCTACATTAAGGTTCCTCAGTTTGTGCTACGATATCATACAAGGTGATTATGGTGACACACTGGACCTAAATCAAAACGGTAGAATGAATTCAATAGATGCAGAAATATTTTGATAATATGCTAAATTAACCAGTGGTTTTAGTGTAGAAAGTGATGTCTTCAGCACACACACATTCCTTTGCAAGTTCACCAGGTTAGCTATACAGACTTGTGGATTTTCTGGTTTTATAAAGGAATAGTCAGTAATTTTGTAGTCCTGAATTTTCCCACCCCAATATAAAGCCATGCAAGGTATTTTTATGTTTGGTACAGAGGTAAATGTTTGTTTTCCAGATCTGTTTTATTGAAAATACTTTTAAAAAGATACAAAATTTTGTTTTTACAATAAATTCCTGTTTAGTTTAATGTATTGACTTTGTTTTCTTTTTATATTAAATAAGAAAAGTTGAATGCTTTGTTATGATAAATGAATACTTTGTCTGAAATTCAAAGGCAGGAAATGCACCAAATGTCTGTAAATTGTAAAACAATATGGAGATAATAAAAGCTTGTATAAATGATATTTTATTTATGATAATTTGTTTACACATTTATTGATTCAAAAGATGTCACAGTTATGAAATTAACTGAATAAACATATGAAAGATCTTTAACTTTGTGTTAACTTATTAAGCCAGGAAAGAAACAAAAGTCATGATTCATAAGCATCCTAAACAATGGATAGTGGGCTGTTATATTAATGTTATTTTCATTTTGGTGTTAACACAATGAAATAACCTCAAAATTCTGATACTTCCAATAGTTGCGATAAGATAGATCTCTTTCAAAGAAGTTATAATGGAATTTGTTTCTAAGTTAAACTATCTGAAATACAGAATTGTATCAGATTCCAGACAAAAAAGCAGTGTAAAACATGCTTTAATATCACAAAAAAAGTATTATTTGAGAAATGTAATTTTACTTAATAAATCAGGAAAGTATTTGATCAGATCTCTGGAATAAATGTAGAACTATTAGCTTAATGTTGATTAGTCTGGACAGGATTAGACCAGATTTAATGCACAGCAGACAAAATAAAATGTGGTTTGTTACCTTAAAAGTTGGGACAAGATTAGATCAGATCTACCTTATTAAGCAGGACTAGTTTGGATCAGATCTATTACAGACGCTGTAAAATGTGATTTGTTGACTTTATAAGTCAAGACAGGATAAGATCAGATCTACCTTATAAATCAGGAGAGGATTAGATAAGATCTTCCTGATAAATAAAGGCAACAGTAGTATACCGCTGTTCAATAGTCATAAATCAATTAAACGAACAAATCCGGGTCACAAACCAAAACCGAGGGAAACACATCAACTGTAAGAGGAAAACAACGGAACAACAGAAACACTGAACTGCTACAAAAACAAACCCCAACATACATAGAAACGGACTATTTGATAACAAATGCCATATTCCTGACTTGGTACAGGACATTTTAAGAAAAAATAATGATGGGTCAAACCTGGTTTTATGGCTAACCAAACCTCCCGCTTAAATGGCAATGTTAAAAATACCGCTAAAATGACAACATTACGTGACAGGAATTCAGTACAAATAAACGTAAGAATACTCAGGACAGAGAAATACATAAATAAATAATATAATAGTACATTACAACATGTAAACCACAGAATAACTTGTAAATCAGGACAGATTAGATCAAATCTTCCTTATAAACTAGGACAGGATTAGATCAAATCTTCCTTATAAATCAGGACAGAATAAGATCAGATCTTCCTTATAAATTGACATGATCAGATCAGATCTTCCTTATAAATCAGGACAGGATTAGATCAGATCTTCCTTATAAATTAGGACAGGATAAGATCAGATCTAACTTATAAGTTAGAACAGGATAAGATCAAATCTTCCTTACAAATCAGGACAGGATAAGATCAGATCTTCCTTATAAATCAGGACAGGATAAGATCAGATTTTCCTTATAAATCAGGACAGAATAAGATCAGATCTTCCTTATAAATCGGGACAGAATAAGATCAGATCTTCCTTATAAATCGACACGATTAGATCAGATCTTCCTTATCAATCAGGACAGGATTAGATCAGATCTTCCTAATAAATCAGAACAGGTAAGATCAGATCTTCCTAATAAATCAGGACAGGATAAGATCAGATCTACCTTCTAAGTTGGAAAAGGATAAGATCAATTATTCCTTACAAATCAGGACAAGATTCGATCATCTTCCTTATAAATCAGGACAGGATTAGATCAGATCTTCCTTATCAATCAGGACAAGATCAGATCTTCCTTATAAATCAGGACAGGATAAGATCAGATCTACCTTATAAGTTGGGACAGGATAAGATCAGATCTACCATTTAAATCAGGACAGGATTACATCATATCCTCCTTATAAATCAGGACAGGATTAGATCAGATCTTCCTTATAAACCAGGACAGAATAAGATCAGATCTACCTTATAAACCAGGACAGGATAAGATTAGATCTTCCTTATAAATCAGGACAGAATAAGATCAGATCTTCCTTATAAATCAGGACAGGATTAGATCAGATCTTCCTTATAAATCAGAACAGGGTAAGATCAGATCTTCTTAATAAATCAGGATAGGATAAGATCAGATCTACCTTATAAGTTGAAACAGGATAAGATCAATTCTTCCTTATTAAGCAGGACCAGTTTAGATCAGATCTAATACAGACGAGGTAAAATGTGCATTTTTGACTTTATAAGTCAGGACAGGATTAGATCAGATCTTTCTTATAAATCAGGACAGTATTCGATCAGATCTTCCTTATAGATCAGGACAGGATTAGATCAGATCTTCCTTATCAATCAGGACAAGATAAGAAAAGATCTACTTTATAAGTTGGGACAGGATAAGATCATGTCTACTGTTTAAATCAGGACAGGATGAAATCATATCCTCCTTAAAAGTTGGGACAGGATAAGATAAGACCTACTTATAAATCAGGACAGGATTAGATAAGATCTTCCTTATAAATCAGGACAGGATTAGATTAGACCTTCCTTATAAATCAGGACAGGATTAGATTAGACCTTCCTTATAAATCAGGACAGAATAAGATCAGATCTTCCTTATAAATCAGGACAGAATAAGATCAGATCTTCCTTATAAATCGGGACAGAATAAGATCAGATCTTCCTTATAAATTGGGACAGAATAAGATCAGATCTTCCTTATAAATTGACATGATTAGATCAGATCTTCCTTATAAATCAGGACAGGATAAGATCAGATCTTCCTAAAAAATCAGAACGGGGTAAGATCAGATCTTCCTTATAAATTAGGACAGGATAAGATCAGATCTACCTTATAAGTTAGAACAGGATAAGATCAAATCTTCCTTATTGTTTTCCCTTGAAACTTGAATCTTGACATTTTTTAAACCAAAACTAGAAGGTAAGAAAGAAAATCGTACAATGAAAGTCATGGTCAAATATTTAGTTCATCTTAGTCACCCCTGTGCATATGTACAAAAATTGTTTTGCTCTCTAACTTTTAAACTCCTTGGAGTTTGGTAATGACACTTGGCATGATTATTCACCATTACTAGAAGGTGTGTCTGGTATAAGAAAGAAAACAATATATTGAAAGTCATAGTAAAAAAAACTTAGCCATCTTTGTGCAGATGTACAAAAAATATTTCAGCTCTCTTAACTTTCAAACCACTTAAGTTTGGGAATGAATTAGTATTGCATCAGAAAATTGGAAGTTAAAGAATAATATCATGGCAATCAAACAAAAAAACAACAACAAAAGTACTCAAGATATTACACAGAAACCAAAAAAGTTGAGCAATACTTTCAAAAGTGGATAATAAAGAGTAAGCATTCCAGTTCCACTGGTTGCACCTATTCAATGAAACCAATATTTTATGCTTATTTGGTCTCATTTTCATGCACCAATGGTCAGTTACTGTGACATGACTGTAAGTGTTGCTCTCCACCTATTGCAATTTATTCAAAATTCTGACTAAATTGCAATTTGTTTTATAAAACCAAACTGTTCAACTGGTCAGAAATTTGAACAAACTGCTGTAGAAAACAACAGTCAAGTCATGCAAGTGCAAGGTGACAAAATAAAGCATACTTACAATCCTATAAGACCTTAATTCCACTTCAATGATATCATGAACAAGAGTGCACACGCTGAAATGTCTCGCCTTCTTTACTAATCATTGATATTATGTTGATAGTCCTAAATATAAAGCTTTATTACAACTGTCACATAAACTTAACATTAACCAAGTAAACTAAACATTGACCAATGAACCATGAAAATGAGGTCAAGGTCAGATGAACCATGCTAGGCAGGCATGTACAGCTAACAATTCTTCCATACAACAAATATAGTTGGACCTATTGCTTATAGTTTAAGAAAAACAGACCAAAACACAAAAACTTAACACTGAGCAATGAACCTTGAAAATGAGGTCAAGGTCAAATAAAACCTGCGTGACTGCCAAATAGATCATAAAATATTTCATTACACCAAATATAGTTGAACTATTGCATATACATTTGTAGTATTAGAAAAAAAGACCAAAACTCAAAAAACTTAACTTTGACCACTGAACCATGAAAATGAGATCATGGTCACATGACACCTGCCCGCTAGACATGTACACCTTACAATCATTCCATACACCAAATATAGTAGACCTATGGCATACAGTATAAGAAAAACAGACCAAAACACATAAACTTAACTATAACCACTGAACCATGAAAATGAGGTCAAGGTCAGATGACACCTGCCAGTTGGACATGTACACCTTGCAGTCCTTCCATACACCGAATATACAAGACCTATTGCTTATAGTATCTGAGATATGGACTTGACCACCAAAACTTAACCTTGTTCACTGATCCATAAAATGAGGTCGAGGTCAAGTGAAAACTGTCTGACGGGCATGAGGACCTTGCAAGGTACGCACATACCAAATATAGTTGAACTACTGCATATAGTATTAGAAAAAAAGACCAAAACTCAAAAACTTAACTTTGACCACTGAACCATGAAAATGAGGTCAAGGTCAGATGACACCTGCCCGCTAGACATGTACACCTTACAATCATTCCATACACCAAATAAAGTAGACCTATGGCATACAGTATAAGAAAAACAGACCAAAACACAAAAACTTAACTATAACCACTGAACCATGAAAATGAGGTCAAGGTCAGATGACACCTGCCAGTTGGACATGTACACCTTACAGTCCTTCCATACACCGAATATACAAGACCTATTGCTTATAGTATCTGAGATATGGACTTGACCACCAAAACTTAACCTTGTTCACTGATCCATAAAATGAGGTCGAGGTCAAGTGAAAACTGTCTGACGGGCATGAGGACCTTGCAAGGTACGCACATACCAAATATAGTTGAACTATTGCATATAGTATTAGAAAAAAAGACCAAAACTCAAAAACTTAACTTTGACCACTGAACCATCAAAATGAGGTCAAGGTCAGATGACACCAGCCCGCTGGACATGTACACCTTACAATCATTCCATACACCAAATAAAGTAGACTTATGGCATACAGTATAAGAAAAACAGACCAAAACACAAAAACTTAACTATAACCACTGAACCATGAAAATGAGGTCAAGGTCAGATGACACCTGCCAGTTGGACATGTACACCTTACAATCCTTCCATACACCGAATATACAAGACCTATTGCTTATAGTATCTGAGATATGGACTTGACCACCAAAACTTAACCTTGTTCACTGATCCATGAAATGAGGTCGAGGTCAAGTGAAAACTGTCTGACGGGCATGAGGACCTTGCAAGGTACGCACATACCAAATATAGTTATCCTATTACTTATAATAAGAGAGAATCTAACATTACAAAAAATCTGAACTTTTTTTTCAAGTAGTCACTGAACCATGAAAATGAGGTCAAGGACATTGGACATGTGACTGACGGAAACTTCGTAACATGAGGCATCCATATACAAAGTATGAAGCATCCAGACCTTCCACCTTCTAAAATATAAAGCTTTTAAGAAGTTAGCTAACGCCGCCGCCGCCGCCGCCGCCGCCGCCGCCGCCGCCGCCGGATCACTATCCCTATGTCGAGCTTTCTGCGACAAAAGTCGCAGGCTCGACAAAAACCAGTTTAACAATTTTTATACAAATTTAATTGTAATTGTCATGCTAAAGGTGATAACTAAGCTTTCATACAATTTTTTTTTCCGAAAAATCTTCAATATTCATAAGAATCAGACATCATTTGAATTAAAACATCTTATATTCAGTAAAATATATGTAAAATTACAATACGTTGTTAAGAATTTTCCATGGGAGATAATCAATTTTTCTTTCGAAAGTCTTCTATATTCAAAAGAATAATGATTTTAGGTTATCTCCCATGGAAACTTATTAACAACGTAATGTAATCAGGTTTTGCTGATTGTTGAAGGCTGTACAGTGACCTATAGTTGATAACTTCTATGTCATTTGGTCTCTGGTGGAGAGCTGTCTTGTTGGCAATCATACCATATCTTCTTACTTTTATAATTGCAAGCTCTTGCAATGCAATTTTCCATATAATTAACATTTCCAAGGGGCATATTTCTTTTAAAAATAGTTGATCAGAACTGGTTTTTCGAAATTTGTCCTAGACATTGCTGTTGATATAAATTCCATAAAAATCTGGTAAGAATTGTACATGTGAGAGTGCTGCAATTTTCCATATAAATAATAATTCCAAGGGGCATAACTCTTTAAACAAGAATGCACACACTGAAATGACTCGCCTGCTTTACTGACCATTGATTTTATGTTGAAAGTCTTAAAGATAAAGAATTTACTAAAAGTATCACATTAACTTAACATTTTTAAAGATCTATGACAATGATGTCAAGGTCAGATAAATCCTGTCAGACATACATGTACACCTTACAATTATTCAATTCATTAAATGTAGCTGACCTATTTCTTATGGTAATTGAAAAACAGACCAAAACAAAAGAGTGCTCACCCTGAAATGTCTTGCCTGTTTTACTGACCATTGATTTTATGTTGAAAGTCTTAAAGATAAAGGTTTTACTACAAGTATCACATAAACTTTAACATTATTGCTGTGTGTTTGGTCAGGTTGTTGTCTCTTTGACACATTCCCCATTTCCATTCTCAATTTTCCATGAAGATCCATGACAATGAGGTCAAGGTCAGATAAAAAATGTCACACAGACATGTACACCTTACAATTATTCCATACACCAAATGTAGTTGACCCATTGCTTATGGTAATTGAAAAACAGACCAAAACACAAAAACTTAATGTTGACCAATGAACCATGGAAATGAGGTCAAGGTCAGATAATACTGGCTATACAGACATGTACACCTTACAATCAACCCCCCCCCCCCCCCCCCATAAAAATCAAATGGTAGCTCCCTTAGTATTTGAAAAACAGACAATAACACAAAAACTTAAAATTGACCAATGAACAATGAAAATGAGGTCAAGGTTAGATGACACCCACTAGACAGACATGTACACCTTACAATCATTCCATACACCAAATATAGTTGACCTATTGCTTATAGTACTTGAAAAACCGACCAAAACACAAAAACTTAACATTGACCAATGAACAATGAAAATGAGGTCAAGGTCAGATGACACCCACTAGACAGACATGTATACCGTACAATCATTCCATACACCAAATACAGTTGACCTATTGCTTATACATGTAGTACTTGAAAAACAGACCAAAACACAAAAACTTAACATTGACCAATGAACCATTAAAATGAGGTCAAGGTCAGATGAAACCTGCCAGTCTGACATGTACCCTTTACAATCATTCCATACACCACATATAGTTGACCTGCTGCTTGTAGTATCTGAGAAACAGACCTAATCATGTTACTTTAACCTTGATCACTGGTCCATGAATTGAGGTAGAGGTCAGGTTAACCCTGTCTGACGGACATGTAGATGTTGCAAGGAACCCATATACCAAATATAGTTATCCTATTACTCATAATAAGTGAGAAATTCACACGACAAATAAACTGTAATTTTTTTTCAAGCAGTCACTGAACCATGAAAATGAGGTCAAGGACAATGGGCATATGACAGATGGAAAGTTTGTAACATAAGGTATCTGCATACAAGGTATGAAGCATCCTCTGAAATATAAAGCTTTATACAAAAAGTTTACGCCGCCACCAGATAGTAATACCTATGTCTCGCATACTGCAGCGAGACCAAAACTCAACATTAACCAATGAACCATGACAATGAGGTCAAGGTCATATTATACAGGCCAGACAGACATGTACACATTACAATTATACCATTCACCAAATATAGCTGACCTATTGATTATAGTACTTGAAAAACAGAACAAAACACAAAAACCTAACATTGAACAATGAACCTTGAAAATGAGGTCAACATCAGATGAAACCTGACAGACTGACATGTACCCTTTATAATCATTCCATACACCACATATAGTTGACCTACTGCTTAAGGTGGTACCAAACACCTTGACTAAAATTAATTTGGCTCGTTTAATTTTCATAAAATTTTGACAAAATATTTAGTTTGACCCTTTGACAAAAATAAAAAAAAAATTAAAAAAATTTAACCACACACTTTATCGGAAAAAAATCATTGGATTTTACCAGTTTGACAAACACTAGTTTTGATCATTGAGAAGCCTAATATTTCCTTAACAATAGAACATGATTAAAACCTTCAGATGATTTTTACAGAGTTATCTCCCTGTAGAGTTATGTGCCACCTAAAAGTATTTGAGAAACGGACCTAATCAAGTAAATTTAACCTTGATCACTGATCCATGTTATGAGGTTGAGGTCAAGGGGACACTGTCTGACGAAAATGTAGACATTGCAAGGAACCTATACACAAAATATAGTTACCCTATTACTCATAATAAGTGAGAAATTCACATGACAAAAAAACTTTTTTTTTTTCAAGCAGTTGCTGAACCCTGAAAATGAGCTATAAGACAATGGACATATGGCAGACAGAAACTTCTTAACATAAGGTATCTGCATACAAGGTATGAAGCATCCAAGTCAGTCAGGGACCGCGCTGGGATTCACCAATGTCGCAAATTGCGATTTTTGATTTCATCTGGTGACAAAATACGGCTGCTGGCAATATTTCTGGCGCCAACATTTTCCCATGTCAACATTTTCATTTCTTGACTGTTACAGTAATATTATTGATTGTCATTTAAATTGGTAAAAGTAAAAAAATTAAGAAGACCGTCTTCTACCTTCTGAAATATAAAGATTTATACAAATAGTTTATGCCTCTGGATAATAATCCCTAAGTCTTGCATACTGCAACTTTTATCACAGATCTATTTTTAAACTTATCCGAAACATTACTGCTATAAACCATTCAGACTCAAGTCCACTCACTGTTCAAATTGAAACTGTAAGGTGGTCATATATTTATATACATGTAATTAATTCACATGTGCATACACACATACAAATTGCTTCATTTGCTTTCACAACCATTGTGAGGGATAATAATAGATTTGTACACAGTTACAAGTCGGTACTCAATATCTGCAGATTTAACTTTTCATGTTATGTTAAAATACAATACAAAATTTTAAGTTTTAAATATAATTTTATTCAATTTTTATCACAGAACATACAAAATAATTTATAACAACAATTAACATTCTCACATTTATACTCTTTCAGATCCAAATACAAATGTTTTATTCACACTAAAAAGGAACAAAGGCATGTTCTGACATTAAAATCTCTCATCTTCTGAGATTAATATTACATAAAACAAATTATTTTAACAAACACCTTGAGGTTATATTGTAGCATTAAAACAACCCCTCCATCTAGCTGCATTATATTAAAATACTGAACTAGCATGATTTTATATATGAATAATAAGAGTGATGGGTATAATGTCAGCATCCCACCAATACAATAACAAGATTAATTTTATATTTGATAAGAGTGTTTAAAATAAGCTTATCATATATTTTACTCTGATACTGGTAATTCTAAATAGTTGTTAACTTAAGACAAAAAAATCTATTATCTTACCCCTATGTTCTATTTCTATTGGCTCGGTAGATTTGAGTTTAGGTCATATATTTCAGTGAAAACTATGAACATTGTTCATTTAAAAAGATACTATCTCATGATAACTTAAATTAGTATATAGATAAAAGAAGAATGTATCTGATGACATGAATGCCCCCGCTCAAGCTTTGCAATTTTCCAAGTTAAAAAGGGGCATAACTCTAGAACAGTTAATGACTTCCAACCTGAATTTGCTCTCTGTCTGCGTGTTCTGGTTCTTAGCATTGTGTATGAGCTTCATAAAAATTTGGATGAGTAAAACTTAAGTTAGAGTGCGGAAACAAAAAAAATGCAATTTTCGCAGTTATAAAGGGCATATGTCATGGTGTGTTATTTGGCTTATATTTGTGTTAGTGTTATTTTGGATAAAAAATATGTTTTATTTTAAGAAAGAAAAATTTATATTTGTATTTTGTAAAATTTTTAATTAATTTTGGTTTAATTGATTTTTACCTATGCTGTGGCATTAATACTCGAAATGTCACAGTTTGCTCAAAGCACTTTGTTTTGAAATATTAATTGTAATTAGCATGTCACTAGGATATTTTAAGTTTTTATCAAAACATGAAGGGATTTTGCTTTGTTTAATTATATTCTATTTTGCTAATGAGAGTACTATTTACATATTGTGTCATGTTGATTAGTTTTTGGTTTTAGTATAAATAGCGTTGTGAAATTTAGGAAAAGCAGTCACCTTTCGGAAACCTAAACTTGCACTGCTAAAGTCTACTATACTGGATCTGTAAGACTGTTGATCAGTCTACCAGTTGACTTTGTAGTGTTTAGACAAAAATGTTATTTTTGACTCACCTTTTATTTTTTGATAATTTTTTAGAAAACAGTCAGTGTTTCGGAAGCGTAACCTCTCACTACTCACGTCATGATACTGGACCTATAAGACTGTCTACCAGTCTACCAGTTGACTGTGTAGTGTTGAGACAAAATTTATCTCTGACTCATAATTTAACTTTGGAAAATACTTTTGAGAATCTTTTATTTTTGAGACTTTTACATTTTGATTTTGAGATTAAGTTCATTTTATGATTTAGTAGTTTTGGCATTTATTTTACATTTTACATTGTAAGGAGAAATAGTTTTACTTTGGATTTGATATTTAGATTTGATACTTTGTACTTTAATTATTATTATTATTTGGCATTGTTTACTAATTGATTGTTATCATCATTCATCTAAATTGTTATCGTTAATTAAATTATGAAAACCTTCCTTGCGTTTTAGCTATGCCTATCAGAACATTAAGTCTAGCGATAGACTGACCCCCTGTCCCTTGGTTCCAGCACATACGAGTTAGCTCCCCCTTTTCTAACAGTGCTCTGTGGGACCTTGGTGACACATAACTCTAGAACAGTAAGTGACTCACTACCTAAATTCGAACCCTGTCTGTGAGTTTTGGTTCTTAACATTGTGTATTAGTTTCATAAAATTTGAATGAGGCAAACTTAAGTTAGAGTGCGGAAACGAAAATGGGACGAATGGACTGAAAGACAGTCAAGGGTAAAATTGAATGCCCCCGTTGCCTACGGTGGGGCATAAAAACTCAACATTTTAACAATTGTTTGGAACAGGCACACCATGAGCCCATTTTTATTTTTTCTTATACCCTCATCATCAACTTGTCTAATATCATTAATTATTAACCCTTACAAAAAGGGAAATAACTAAGGCTGAGAACAGAATTTCAAACTGCCAAAGAGGGCAATTACTTATTACTCAAGAAAACTATCTTCAAGTTACCAGTCTATTGCACTTGCTGAAAGACAATGGTTTTATGGCCATTAAAAAACTATACTTGAAATGAATCTCAGAAGTACAAGTAGTACTTTGACAACAGTGTATAATAAACTGTTAACACAGAGATATGTCTCGCCTATTTGTTATTTTGATAATGCAAATGTTGAAATTAAAATAGCAATATTTTAACATGTAAGTTATGCAAATATTCAAAGTCATTAACCATGACTGAAGGTACAGGGCTAAACAATCTCCAATGAGATGTGACAATGCTAATACAGCTACATACCAAATACCATTGACTTTTCATAAGTCATTCCGTTTAAACAAACCTAAACACAAACATTAACTTGTAAACTATGTAAAAATTTCAAAGTCAATGAACCATAATGACGGGGTGGGGTTATATACTCTCCATAAAAATGAAACTTAAATATCATTGACATTAGTAGTTTATCTTAAACTGAACTAATCACAAACTAACACATGAAAATTAAGCAAAGTTTCAAAGTCGATAGACCATGACTGAGGGGGCAGGGCCAAAAAATCTTCATGGAAATGAGATATGTCAATGCTTATACAACAGCATACAAAATATCATTGAACTACCACTAATGGTTCCCCATAAACTGACCTAATCACAAACTAATTAAGAAAAGTTTCAAAGTCAATAGACCATGACTGAGTGGGCGGGGTCAAATAATCTTCATGGTTATGAGATGTGCCAATGCTAATACAACTGCATACCAAATATCATTGACCTACCACTAGTGGTTCACCATAAACTAGACCTAATGACAAACTTATACATTGTTGACGCCCCCGCTGCCGACGCTAGAAACAGCATACCTATGTCTCGCTTTTTTACTCCGTCAAGGCGAGACAAAAATTACATGATAATCACATGATAATTTTATGTTTTACACAGGTTAATTTGTAGTAAAAGATAAATACACAGCACAAATCATAATCACCACACAAGTATTCCATTATATTTTTGACAGGTTCTGTTTGGCCAGTGTGTAATTTAATAAATTTTCTTCACACAATTGCTTACAAAAATTCATTTACTTAGCTTTAGGTAATGTGAATATCCAAGAATCTGCATCCATTTAAATGTCAGAACAAAGTTATCTAATGAAAGCAATCACAACTATTGAAAACTAGACGTGTCTGAATGACATGTCTAGTTTTCAACACGAATGGCCCAGCTCGCAAAAAAAAAATCTTGAAACCATTTTTTAGGATTTGAAATTTTCAAAGTCCAAAGCCCCTAAATTCTGCAAAAATCAGCGGTGCGTGATCAAAAATAAATCGATCTGTAACTCATCATACAAGACTCACATACTAAAAATCAGCTCAATATATGAAGGCGTTTAGAAAAAAAAGTCTGTATAACTGTTTGTTGAAGAATGACAGAATGATGGATAAGGGTAAAACTATATGTCCCTGACCTAAGTCGGAGAGGCCATAAAAATCAATGTTAAAAACCATTATTTTCAAAGATATACTTCAATGTCTATATAGTTTTACCTAACAGGTGTTCTAGTACAAATTTTGAAAGAAAAGTCAAGAACACTGACATTTTCTAAACAAAAATACCTTTATGAATGTAAGTACTTAATATCCTAATGACTAAAATAACTAAAGGTAAAATATAACAAAATCTGAGACCACTGATCCTATTAGACATATGTACACTATTTTCTTTCTCATAATGAAATCATGTGAGGTGTGTGTGCCTAAGAATGATTTAATTGTTCTTCTTATTTTAAAGCGATTACAAGTGTCCTTATTTCTCTACATTATGTTCATGATTAATACATGTATTATCTTTCTACAGACCCAGTTTTATATATTTATAAATGCTGACACTTCGTTCAAATATGAATACATTTTCAGTCACTACACATTTTAAGTACCGGTATATATTTTCAATTCAATTCTAAAAATGCACATAAGATGAAAAGCAATTGTCTGGCAACCCATCACCAAAAGTTGAGGCTTCCACTTCAAATAAGCAGAATGATCAAAGTGATTTTAGTTAAAACTTGTTACAACATGACTTTAAAACAATAGCATAGCTTAGTGTAAGGCTTGGTCTAAAATTGGCTATCAAAAGGATGCTAGCCACAAGTAGCTTCAATTTTGCTGACAAACATGATTTTTAAAATGAGGAAATGCACTCCTGAAACAGAGGATTCTTCAGACGAAAGTGACGATGATGGCAAAACATCGCTGGAAGAATATGAAGAATCTGATGTAGCATCATTGTTGACTGGGGAAAAGACTTCATTTGTAAAAGCCGATAAACTGACACATCTACAGCAAGTATGATGGATGAAATAAGGCAATAATAATAAATAAATGCTTAAGGCTCAAAATTCCACTTTGTATATATTGTTATGCAAAACAGTGTCCCACAGTCTCTTTGTTATATATTTCAAATGTAAAAAATTTTCATTTTTAACAAATGTAACCAATATATTTTTGTTTTACTGTGCAAGTGGCATTAATGACAATTTATTTAACCTATTAACTTTAAACGACACAGAATGTCTGTCTTAGATTCTTTCTCATCATACTGAAATTTGTACATTCCCTTTGCCAATGGAACAAAATGGAAAATATGAAGTATGGATCTTGGACATATTATGACGCCATAAGCATGGCATGATACGAATATCAGTTTGGATTAACTTATTGTGTTTTCATCAGATGAGTATGATAATACTTGCAGGAGCTGAAACAAATACAGCTAAACAGTGGACCAGGCCTGATATAGCATGTTAATTACTGGCCATTTAACACAGACAAAATTGATATATAAACACTAAATGTGTGATAAAAATAATTACGTAACTGATGTCGTTTCACAACTAACCATGGGACTATATAGTTAATATTAAAATAGATGACTCACTTAGATACAGAATTGATGAAAGTATAATAAATGTGATAACATCTACATGCACAAATGATATGTACAAATAAAATGAAATCATTAGATGCTTCTATAGCAACTTCTTCTGTCAGTCACATTCAGGGTTTCCTCTGGGTAAGACATTTTTGTGGCCTAAACTTTCGCCAAACTGAAACACAATATTTTTTAGCCACTTGAAAATCTTTTGATCCACTATTTAATAACTAGGCAGTAAAGCAGCTTAACTGTGGATTCTGTATTATTTTTCGACTTTTTGGTCTTGGATATTTGGAGTGATTAATATTCCAATATATAGTTGTTAGTTTTGTAAGGAAACATAGAAATGATTTAGTTTTCTTAATGGTACATATCAAGGCAACAAATGGTTACAATCAGCTGATAATAGATACTTGTTTTTTTTCCCTTTCATGTCTCATCATCTAAATAAAAACTAAATGATCCTAAATTTTTGTGCCACTTTCTTGATCCAAAATGAATTATTTTTCACCACAATTATATTTTTTCATAAATCAGGAAAGTGCCCTCCAATACCAGAAACCCTGGTCACACTCATACATTATATACGGTGTAGTCATGTACAGTAAACAGTCATTCATGTGTGTTGCAAATCTTAATAATTTAATAATCTATGAAGATATGAGCTTATTTACCTGCATTTATTTTTTTTTAAATGGACTGCATAAAGATTTTTCTAAACCTGTGCCATTAGTAAACATTGAAAAAAAAGTAGCATCTGATAATAAAATTTCAATTACAAAAGAATCAAAGTTTTATCAACTTTAATGAACTAAAAATTTAAATGTGCACCAATAAAGACTGTCGTAAAAAAATATGTCTCAAAATATTACATTTAAATAAATAGTACATGTATATATTATACAAATTCACCAAACACTTTTGTAAAACTAGGGACTGTAGGATACCATCTAAGTACCAGTAATGCAAACTATATTAGTCATCACTAATGGCTATATCATTAGATAGCTGAGTTGTTTTAGAGGTTATTCTTCCATATAAGTTCATGTGATCATAAGAACAAACAGTGATATACCATGGTGGCAATATTTTTCATACATCATTAAAAAAATCTTCATAGTTCTTACAATTTTTTTTTAAAGTTTACAACTGGTACCAAGTGATGTCAACAAGCCAGACTGGCCATGTCTTTTAGTGATAAAAATATGGATTTCAATAAAAATGATACACATTAATTTATTGCACTTTTACCACCCTGAACACCATGCTATGTAAAATGGAACTTTCTTCATAAATAATGCTTGGGAAAGACTGCATGATCTGTACATGTTTATACATTAGGGATGTCACCAGGTTATGTGTCATCTTTATCAGTCAAACAATTACCATGTCATACATGTTAAATATATTTTACCACATAAGTTAACAAACAATTGAAAACAATTAAAAATTCAGACAATTTTTTTCTAACTTGTTATTTGAATCCATTTATAAAAATATATTTAAGCCTAACAATAGTTCACTTAATTAAAGCATGGTATAATTTGCATTAAACTGAAATCTAAAAAAAAAAAAAATCATAAAAGATAGAACATTTTGGGGCTATTGATCTGTCAAATTACACACAAAAAATAATGAAAACCTTGATGTAATATCATTAAAACCTAATAAATTAAAAGGTAAGAAACACATAATGTACTTGCACCTCAAAATGAAATTTTTTTACTACCATATTAATTACATAATTATCGTACTCAAATTCTACATGTACATATGCATGTACCACATATTTATATACACATATGTCTCGAGTATTCTTGCAAAAATAAAGCACTCTAATGCTAGATAGTTATTCTAAACTATTACACAAATTTCAGTTAAATAAATGGCAAAAATAATGCCTCAACATGCCATGAGACAATTAAACTTAAAATTATTATTACTGCTACTTAACATTTTCATGAACATGTATATTTTTCTATTGTAATCAATCTAATTAAAATTAAATCTCCGCACCCGCTCATTTTTTAAATAAAAAATGAGTGAGTGCAGAGATTTGATTTCAATTAGATTGGTATTGTAATATAATAGTAAGAAAAATAATGTCAATAACATGTTTCTTTTACTAAAATTAAAAGTAGCAAAATGCTAATTGTTTTTTAAGACTTAAACATAGATTACATTTTGCTGTATATGTTTCATTTTTTTTTACGAAAAATATATTACCATTTCCTCTACTGTTTTATGGAGAGTAAATCTAGTATGACCAATGCAGTCATATAATATACATTCTTTAACTAAAAAGGATTTGTACAAGGCTTAAACAGCACTCAAAACAGTGTTTAAAAAATATTTATCATAAAACTAAAATTTCACATAACCTTTAACTACAGCAGAACTATCACAGTTAATATATTGGACTGATAAATATCAAAATAGCTCTTTACTGTTTTTTTTATATTAGGATTATTACCATGTGCAATGCTCTCTTGACTTACCAATTTCAGTTCAGAATGACAAAAATTCTTGTCAAAACATCAAATGCAACAAATGTTAATTGTAAAGATCAATCTTCTAAAAGCCTATGAGATTTAGATTTGTTATTTAAGACTAGATAACATCAAGTGGAACTTAAATTCCGTCATTCCCCACCCATAACCCCTCCTTGCTTTTTGTTTATTTTGTACATGCTTATTTTTGGCTCTTATTTTAAAAAAGGTTGTTGATGTCTTCTTAACATGTCAAATGAGTAGAACCACCTGTGGCACATGCTCATATGTCAAAACACAAAACACATATTCTATAAGTTCGCCATTTAACTTAAAGTTTTATAATGCTGCTTTCATGCAACTACATTGTGTACTACCACAACTGACTAAAATGTGTGATAAAAAAATACAATGTAGATGCAGCTAAAGAATATCACTAACAAAAATTAAATGGTTTTGATGAATATCTGGTCGGATATTTGAATGAAATACAATCACATTATACGTGAATATACAATGTGTTATTGTTATTTGGTTTAAATGTACTATCTTTTCATTTAAAAAAAGATGAATCTAATTATGAACAATACTATACAAATTCTATCCCTTCATATTTTACATCACCTATTTTTATATCAGGTAATAAAATTTCACCTGTAAGTGTAAAAACTGTCATATATGAGGCTAATTTTCCTGAAACCTCCTGAGATTTCAGTGCTACTATCAATTTATCGTCTGTCCATGGAATAAATCTAAATGATGAATAACCTTTTGTTAGCTGTTTCTTTCCTATATATTTGAAATTTACGTCTGTAAAATCTTCATTAGCCGACAATAAAATGTTTGTAGCTCTACTTTCATCAGCTGTTTCATCATATGATTGTTCACTGGCTCGACGAGGAAGAAAAAACCAGCGCTGATGGACATCACTCCACATCCCAGATTCATGAATCATGTAACCTAAAAAATTTTTAAAAAAAAGCATTTTATATACATGGTGTTTGTGCATTGTAAAAACTTCTCCAGAACATTTCTCTCCATTCTAACAAACTAATTATATATTTGGAAATATTTTTTTATTTTTTTTGAATGATTTATTATGAAAGTATGCAAAAGTGGGATATTTGTTAATGTCAGAACTAGTAACCAATGAGATCCCCCCAAAAAAAATTAGATGCTCACATGAATAGTTGTGCTTATATACATATGGAATAACTTCGTTTCAGAATGATGGGCCTTTCCTTCGAAAAAACAACCCTGGACAATACCAAGTCTCAATGAAATGTATTTCTAGGCATAACATAGTGATTAGGTCATTATTAACCCTGATTAAAATGCAAACTAAAGTTTGTTACAACATTGAATTCATTTGATAGTAATCATGTGTTGTGTTGTGTTTTTACTGTATAATATTCCATCTTTTTAATCCTTTTTCATTATGTTTTTTTTACAGAAAAATCTTCACAATGTCTATTTTCTCCCATAAAAATATACATACAGTACTAGTTTTACCCTGCAATACAAAGTACCCTAGATATTATTCTCTTGATAAGTGGTAATAAATCTTCTTTTGTTTTCTCTTTTATCTGGGGAAATTATTATTATCAATTCATGACACAAAATCATGTTATGCACTTGCCAAAACAAACAACAAAATATTGCAAAACATGGTTGATGTGTTTCCCTGGGTTTTAGTTTGTAACCCGGATTTTTTTTTCTCTTAATCGATTTATGATGTTTGAACAGCGGTATACTACTGTTGCCTTTATTCATCTCAAAGTCAAAGTGAAGCCTTAAAACACCTTCACACATCACATCTCAAGTTCAAGGCAGTTTTTAGCAGTGGTTTGGGCAGAATTGTTTCCTTTTTATTTAAAAGGATTCTCTTCTAATATACAGATATTAACCTATAGCATTTACCTGGATAAGAATAGCCAGAAACTTTTCTGATTTTGTTATAAACATGTTTCCAATCAATGTGTTCTACATCCCCCTTTGGTCCTATTGACTTCACCCATTGTGGATTGGTGTTAAGAACCTTGCCTTCAGCAGATGTCCACTCTTTACCCAGTCCACCTACATATAACCTTCCATGTTTTACTGTTGCCCATTCACACTTAAATCCTGTACGATAAACATGATAAATAGCAGAAATAAAATTTACATTTTCAAAAATTATAGAAAAACAATTGCAAAATTATAAATACAATTTATATATAAGGCAATAGCTTTCACAAAGAAATGAATCATTCAGAAATAACAGTTCATTCATGTTTTGTCTATTTAATATCTGTTACCAGGACCTGTACATTGTAGTGTTCTGCACAGGGCCTATGAACATCATTGTAATGTGATGTTATAACTTCAAGAAAACAAGATGGTGCATTGGTAACATTGTACATGTATTTCAAAATGTTTTGTTAACCAGGAAAAACAGCACTGTACCATGTTAACTGTGAATCTTTAATATACGTGTAAGATTTATGTTCAAAATCAACAGTTGTAATTTTAACATATATAGTTCTAAGTGAAACAGTTGTCTGTTACAAAATAAAAGTACAATATCAACAGTAGATTCATGTATACAATAGAATTGTATATATTCCAGCCACTGACTGTCACTTTATAAGTCACTTATTTGTGATGCTTTAATTGTCTTACTGTTCATACATGTATATGTTTTGTGTTTTGATTTTATTGCATTTTGTTTAACAATTATCTTTCTCATGATGAAAATATTGCGACAATAAAAACAAAAATATTTAAGTCAAATAAAAATTTTGAAGATTTGTCCCTAGAAGAAACCAGCGAGACAAATGTTGATGCAAAAAGGGGCAAAATAAAAATCATTTTACTCTGCTTTTACCCTAAGAACTATTGAAAAAGAAAAAAGAAAAGATTTTATGAGTCTTAAAATTAGATATTTAATCTAATTTTTGTTTTACCTTTGAACGTCAAATGACTGCTCCCTTACAAAATATTGTTATTTGTGTTAATTGTGTATTTGCAAAACAGATATTCTTGAATCACATGCAATACTTGTCCTAATTGATCTTCAATTGAACATGGGGGGCCATGTCTGTAGATAGAACAGTCAGATTACAAAAATTGTTTTATATACACGGAGCAGTACAATGTATTACATGCATGTATCCCCTGTGGAGAAGTGCAACATGTACAAATGTATAAAGAAGACTTTTTATTACCACACTATTCTGCAAACATTCATACATATGTTCACATAAAATATACCTTTCCTACCCTCTTAAAAAGCCATAATACAAAAGTATGTACATTGTAGATTTATTCTACAATAATTATTAACTGTTTGAAAATTTTTCTTACATTGTATGTTACAAATGTATGATGATCATGTTGTTGATTGCAGCATTTTAGGTATGTAGTTTCAAACACGTTAGAATCTGATGTTCACTCATTTTCACAAGATTATCTCTTACAGAAATTTATCTCCTATGTGTTTTGTTCACTCATATGCCATTAAGAATGTAAGGAATGTATAGTTCTGCTAATATCAAGATTATATTTTTCACTTGTCCCTCTGAAAAAGTACTTGTAAAAAGTTTACAGACTAAGAATTAGCTATAGAATAAGAAAACTTCTCAGAAAGCATACTGTTCTGACAACAGCCCTTGTAAGATCTGGTTACTTTCATGACCATTTTCTTATTATTTTGTAGGTATATTTGAGCTGCTTCGGATAGACATCGACCTAATGTAAATGATTAAGACTTTGATTGATTTTGGAACATTGCAATACAAATTAAAGATAAATTTCGGTCTGATTTATAGAGTTCTTACATATATATATCGACTCAATTTTCAAACAGTTACAGACTTTGTATAGTGATTTTTACAACCTGCGGCGCAAGAAGGTAACAGATGTATTGATATTCATTTGCATAAGGTCGATTTCTATCCGAAGCAGCTCATTTATTAACATATTCGTCCTATTTGGGAAGGGTAGGTAAAATTTCTAAATAAAGAGATAAATATATGTATATAGGTGTGTTTGCATACCTGCAAACTTAAGAGGATCTAATGCAGCTCTTATATTGTCATTAGTGTGTGTTTTTAATCTACTACTATATTGTTTGAATAAGAATGTATGTGTTTAAATACCCTTTAAACTCATTTGAATGCCTGTTTTGAGGTGTTCAGTTTATGCAATAAAGAATTTCAAAATTCAGGGCAACACCTCTCGTGGGGGAAATCCCTATAAATCATGAAAATTGGCAGGTCTGTGTTTGGTGGTATTTGTTATTCAGTGGTGTGTATGCTGTGAATACGGGTCCGTTCGCCCAAAATCACGTCCCCTTTCACGTTCGCACCCTTTTAATTGGGATTGTGTGTGGAATTAATATTTAATCATGTTTAAGTAAGTGTATTCCTATAAACAATTTTGTTTTATTGTTTCAAAATAAAGTGACATTATAAAAACGTAAACAGGTATCCTTTAGTGTTTTATTAATTATTTTGACGAAATGAATCATGATTAAAAAAATGTCACGATGATCTTGGACTATTATACAATATATGGTGTCCCAGTGATGATCAAAGCAAAGTTCGTTCATGTAAGACTGTAAAAGAAAGGCGGAAGATACCAAATTCTTCATTGAGTTTAATCATACCAAGCTAACTACGTGCAGTATTAACGTCTAGTTATAACAACAATCATGATTTTAAAACACAGAACAATAATACCAAATGTGGCTTTGTAAATACCAATTAACAGTAATCACCAAATAAAATATTTCATTTAAAAATCCCGAATTTTTATTCATAAAAGTTTAAATATTTTGATAAACATGATAAATACATCTAAAAAACAACCAGTGTCTAAATAAGAATAGAATGGGAACAAACCCAGGGGGCGAACGTGTGGGGTGCCAACGTGTATAGTGAGCAAACGGACCCGGTACCGTACGCTGTGTTTGGTGATAAAAAGACCAAGCAGTTTGAAATACAAAATTGTATACTGAACATGCTGAACATCACTACAATTTTATTTTCAGCAGCAGATTTGTTATGATGCACATAGTACATACAATGTATATCAGTCAGAGCTCTGACATAAACAAGTCAGAATAAAATGACTTCTTCAAGTCAGAAAGTGTTTTGAAATTCTGACCTGTACGCGTCAATTTTTGTTTTGCGTAGTTTTCACTCGAGTCCGTCAAACCAGAAGTTATTTTGAATTTGCCGCCGATCTACGACACATACGATCACGTGGTTTTTTGCAAGAGATCACGTGTTTGAGAGTCGTTGTTTTGGAAGTGTCTCGAACGAGAAGTCATTGAATATTATATTGATTATTTACGATTTTTAGTGAAAATCTAGGTCATTGTGGGCATTTTTAGAAAGGTAATTCACATTACCTCCGTATTTTCATGGGCATTTTTATATTTTTTGCCTATAAAGAAGTTCCTTGCAAGTGATTTTTTTGCTGTTTGATGAAGGCGCGCGACCTGTAAATACGGACGCGTGGTCTTTTAGATGACCTGGTGTTTGACAATTCTGACTTGTTCAGGTCAGAAAATGTTGTTATGATAATGAATTGTTATTTTCGGGAGATAACTCGTGTTGTCTTAAACAATATTAACATTATTAACCAGTCAGTGCAATTTAAAAAGTAAAATTATTGCTTCGAGCTGAACATCGTCACGTGATTTTTCTATTTTTAAACTCAATCACAAACTGATTTTTTAACCTTTCTGATTCGTTTCTCCCTATGAGAAAAACGATCATTGTGAATATTGATATGATGATAATGAAACGAAAATGGGAAAAATTTTAATAAAAGAAAAAGGAAGGGAGGGGTTTAACTAAAGAACCCAAGGTTTTTTTTTTAATTTTTAAAGTTATAACTTGAGAACAATAAGTGATGCACACACCTGGTCTTCATTTACGATCATGGGACATGATAAAACAAATCAAATGAAATGTAGGGCAAGTCACCAGGGATCACCCCTATCCCTGTCATTTCTCTATTCCTCTATAATGTCAAACTGATTTGAATGAAATATACCGGGCTAGTCTCCAGGTTTACCCCCACCCCCTGCCATTTGCAAATGTTCTTATATTTTGTAAACGGTAGAGATCCCCACCCCTAAACCATATATATTCTTGTATGGGACAATTTAACAAATCAAATGATATGTTGGGGAGGTCCCTGGGGGTCACCCCTACCCCTCCTGTTTGAAAACTTGTAAACGGTCGAGATCCCCACCCCTAAACCATATATTTTCTTGAATAGGACAATAAAACAAATCAAATGAAGTATAGGGGAAGTCCCTTGGGGTCACCCCCACCCCCTCCTGTGTGAAAACTTGTAAACGGTCGGGATCCCCACCCCTTAACCATGTATATTCTTGTAAGGGTCAATAAGACAAATCAAATGAAATAAAGGTGGAGTCCCTGAGGGTCACCCCACCCACTCATGTTTGAAAACTTGTAAACGGTCGAGATCCCCACCCCTACACCATATACATTCTTGCACAGGACAATAAAACAAATCAAATGAAATATAGGGGAAGTCCATTGGTGTCATCCCCATCCCCCTTTTTGAAATGTTCTGGATCACCACACCTAAAGGTAAACCATATGATATTCCTGTTCGTCATTTCAAGAAGATTTGAATGACATGCAGGGTCAAACCCTAGGCGTCACTTATGCATATCACTTTACTAGACAAAACCAATTTGTACTGGAACTTGCCCAATGTCAGGCAACCATGGGAATGACGAATTATGGGAGCTTAAATTTGTTTGGGAGACTTCGTAACAGCATCCTGTTACAATTATTTCTTGTTTATTTTAATCTGCTGAGAGACCACCTTTACATATTATATTTTTCAGTGTTTGTGCAAACAGAATTGTCTATTCAGTATTATTTTCCTCTCACATGCATCACATCTTATTAATTACATGGATATAGGAAGATGTGGTATGAGTGCCAATGAGACAACTTTCCATCCAAGTTACAATTTATAAAAGTAAACCATTATAGGTCAAGGTACGGCCTTCAACACGGAGCATTGGCTCACACCGAACAGCAAGCTATAAAGGACCTCAAAAAATTACTAGTGTAAAACCATTCAAACGGAAA